AACCCAGGGCCTCATGCATGCAAGACAAGCGCTCTACCACTGAGCCATCTTCCCAGCCCTCCCTGAGCTTTTTTTAAGGCTAGCATTCTACCACTCACTTGAGCCACAGCCCCACTCCCAGATTTTTGCCAGTTAATTGACGATAAGAATCTCATGGACTTTCTTGCCCAAGCTGGCTTTGAACTGTGATCCTCAGAACTCAGCCTCCTAAGTATCTAGGAACTGACACAGAGCTGAAAATTTTCTTTTTTCTTTTAAAAAAACAAATCATTATTTTTAAAACATCAAACATATACTGACTATAAAATCAAATTAGAACATTTTGTACAAGGACAAAGATATATGGAAAACTTATAGTAGTAGATGCTTTATTTTCTGAAAAGAATACTGCAAGTAGAATGCAAACTGCATTATCAAATTATGCCTTGACTTCCTAAAATGTAAAATACCAATAACAAAGCTTTTCAATATCACATTGAAAAAAATCAGAAATGCCCAGCATCATAGTAGAAAAAAAAAGCTAAGAATGCTGGGTGCCAGTGGCTCATACTTGTAATCCTAGCTACTCAGGAGGCTGAGATCTAAGTAGCACAGTTCAAAGATAGCTTGGGCAGGAAAATCTGTGAGACTCATCACCAATTTAAGAAACTACCAAAAAGTCAGAAGTGGAGTTGTGGCTCAAGTGATAGAGCACTAGCCTTCAGTAAAGAAGCTCAGGGGCTTGAGTTCATGCCCCAGAACCAGCACACACACAAGAAAAGTTTATGAAAATTAAAAAAAATACCATAGATCGCTTTCGACATGACAACTTGTACTTCTCATTGCATGTAATTGTAACCCCTCTGTACAGTATGTTCACAATAAAAAATAAAAATTAAAAAAATAAAAAAATTAAAAAAAAATAGAGGACAAAAAATACCATAGACTTATAAAAAGTTTCATAAATCAATAGCGTATTCTGTATATCATGTGTAGACAATTACAACTAAAGCAAGGTAGGTGTTATTAGTTGCATCATTTAGGAAGCATGAGAAAAATTTGACCTGTACTTGTAAAAGACTACAGACTTGCCATTGAAATACTATTTCTTGAGATAATGGGGGTGGAGTTCCCATTTCCTAATAAAGGGTTTTTTCACACAGTGAAACTGAGAAAAATATAAATATATCCTGAGAAATCTTTTTTTCCTCAAGGAATTACAAATACCTCAAAGTAAATCTTTGAAAACATTCATTTTTATCTCACACTTGAAGTAGGTTTATGATTAAACATACACAAGTATTATTACTTGTCACCATATTTTTTAAATAATTGTTTAAACTACTATACTGTTCTTAAATTGTCTTGCAAACTTGTATATCTGCTTTTATTTTCTGAATGAAAACTGTTTAATGACAATCTATATTGCTTCTACAATGTACAAGCAAGGTACAATTCATTTCAAAGCAAAAGAAATGATCAGTATTTTGAGAATTGTTTTAATAGTCTATGGGAGGTTGTTCATTCTGTGTGTGATTCTAGGGTCTGAAGTCTTCAGGAAAGACAGCAAGGTGGGATGGGGTGAAGTTGGAGAAAACAATACTTACTAGAAGTTTGCAAAGTAAAGCTAGATATGGACTAAAACCTGCTTCAGTCCCATAATACCTCCAAACTCCCAACTTTGATGCTGGGATAATTTGCATGTAAGGTTTACCTATTTCATCAAAGGGCTAAATACACAACCTTTTTCAGGACTTGAAAATACTGAAGAAACTATAAAGAGCTGGAGATCATATAAATTTGGTCACTGCCCTGTGCCAGCCAGGTAAGCCAACAGTGACAATGTGTGTAAACTGAAAATCAGTCTGTTGTATTGGCTCTGGTGTTTTAAGTGTAAACATATGGATGCCTATTTATCTATCATGATATGTAAAGTTAGCCCAAAACTTAGTGGCTTGAGTTTTAAAAAGCTATAGTTTTTGTAGGCCAAGAACTTTTGGAGAGATGTAGGTAAGTGATTCTGGCTTGGGGGGGGGGGGGCGGTGTGGGCAAGGTCTTTGATGAGGAAGCATATGACAGCAGGCTGCAGTCATCTGAGGGTTTGACTGTGTGAGAGATCCACTTTCCAGATAGCTGTTGCTAGGGTGACCACCCCACAAAAAGACCTCAGCCTTGCTTTAATTCTCTGATATCAGTGTGTTAAAGCATTTTTACTGGAGGTATGACTTGAGCAGCAGAGTGTTAGCCTAAGAAGCATGGTACCCTGAGTTCAAATCTTAGTATGGCCAGAAATATATGTCAATTAATAATATTAATATTGATTTAATAAATTTTATATTTTAGTGAAACAATGTGACAATAGAGCATGCACATGAGTAGAGTAACTAAATGCACGCACAGGTCCCCTTCCATTTTTGTACTCTTGTTTGCACATGCTTTTTTTACAATGCCTGTGAGTATGGAAGGTAGAGTGCTAGCCTTGAGCTGAAGAGCTGAGCGACATCACCCAGGCCCAGAGTTCAAGCCTCATGACCAACCAAAAAAAAAAGCCCTCTAAGTAGACATCATGTTTTATAGAATTATTTAGAATTTATTTTATGGTTTCAGTAACCAAATAAATGTTATGACTTTCCAGTAAAAAAGTCTCAGTCTTGATTACCAATATGAACAAAATCATAACACATAGTGTCATGTATTATATACGTAGAACTCTATATCTCTATTATTGCTAGAATATAACATTGGCTCCAATGTATATTTTAGCTTTTCTTTAATTCTGCATTTTACTGCAAATTTGTGCCTCCTGAATAGCAACTCTCTATTTTTCTCTTGGTGTTTTGATCAGCTCTTTTCCAAGATTGAAGCTCTGTTTCTTATTGCTTTTATCTCTCATGAATTAGATCTCTTTTTACTCTGAGTTCAATTTAATCTGGTTTTCTTTTCTTTTTTGTTTTTTGCCCATCTTGGGTCTTGAACTCTGGGCCTGGGCACTGTCCCTAGGCTCATTTTGCTCAGGCTAGCACTCCATCACTTGAGGTACAGCACTACTTCTGGCTTTTTCTGTAATTAATTGGAGATGAGAGACTCACAGATTTTCCTTCCTGGGCTGTCTTTGAACTGCCATCCTCAGATCTCAGCCTCCTGAGAAGGTAGGATGACAGGCATAAGCTACCAGTGCTTAGCTTTAATCTGTTTTCCCAACTTATTATTTTTTTTTAATAGCTTTTTACATTTATTTATTTTTTTTGTAATTTTTTTTTATTGTAAAGCTACTATACAGAGGGTTACAGTTACATGAGTGAGGTTATGAGTACACTTCCTCTTGAACATTGTTACCCCCTCCATTGTTTTCCCCCTACCATCCCCTCCCTCCCTCCCTTCCCCGAGGTTCTTTTTTTTTTTTTTTGATTGTGATTAAATGATTACATAATTTCAAAGTCACAAGTTCATTCTAACTTCCCTGGAGCAAATTGTCTACCACAGTCTGTAATATATAACAGTGTTCACATGTTATATACCATATTTGTGATCAGCAGCATGGGGATATTTAGTAGTGGTTCAATCAGATGAGCGGGAGTTCTTTGTTTCTTAAGTCCTGTTAGTTTTGTCGTATCACCTAACTTTTTGGATTTAGCATCCACTTATCAGGGAGACCATGTACCGTTTGTCTCTTCGTTCTTGGCTTACCTCGCTCAACATGATTCCTTCTAGCTCCATCCATTTCCCTGCAAATGCCATTATTTTGTCATTTCTAATGGCTGCATAATATTCCATTGTGTATAGATACCACAATTTTTGGATCCATTCATCTGTGGTGGGGCACCTAGGTTGTTTCCATATCCTAGCTATTGCGAACAGTGCTGCAATAAACATGGAGGTGCACGTGTCCTTGTATATTGGTTCCTGTTGTTCAGGGTAGATGCCTAGAAGTGGTATGACTGGGTCGTAAGGGAGGTCAATCTTTAGCTTTCTAAGGACCCTCCAGACTGCTTTCCAAAGTGGTTGTATAAGTGTACATTCCCACCAGCCCAACTTATTATTTTTTAAAAATATACATTCTCCTACTCAGTGCCCCTGTTTATGTTTTTAAATGATTGTTCATATTTTTAATTAAAAATACAATTCTTAAAGTCATTTGTATGTGTCAATTTTTTATTGAACACAATTGAACAATCTAGCAGGAAGAGCATTGGAGAAGATGCATACAATATCACAACATTAAATTAAGTTTAAGAATGGTTAAAATTTTATAGAAAATAAAACCATGTCATCTTTGGAGTTAGTTTTCCCACCAGGCTATAGAACAAAACAATATTACAGGACCATAAAACTTTACATATTTTCACTTTCACCATTTGTGGATTGTGACTATAGTGTGGTAGCTATGTTACAATCCCCGAAGATGTCAGATCAGGGTCATCCAGGATTATGAGGAAGGGCACTAACATAGGGGAAAATCAGCCTCTTGCATGTTCTTAAACGGAGACAAAGTTTTCTCTTATGCTAGGAGCTCCCGTTTTCAAGTGATGCCGATCTGCAGCATCCCCTGACTGCTCCACTTAGCCTTGCCATGAGGAGATGTTGGTGTAGTTCTAGTAAATGGCACAGACAGAAGGAACAGTGAAGCATTCCTAAGCTTCTGGAGTGGGGCAAAGTGAAGAATGAGATGGAACAGTGTGTTCTGTATTTAATAGTTAATTTTCTTTTGATTCCTTGGAATTCCAACTATTTAGGAGGGACTTTGGTTTATAATTGTAGTACAATCTTTGCTGAGTTGTCTCAACAGGAAATTAGGTGAGGGAATAAAATGAGTACATTATTAAAATGATAAAATTTATCTCTTACCATAAATTGTCACAGATTTTCCTTTTTTTCCATGCAAACCTTTTTGTTTTGCCAGTCCTGGGGCTTGAACTCAGGGCCTGGGCACTGTCCTTAAGCCTCTTTTGCTGAAGGCTAGCACTCTGCCCCTTTAAGCCACAGCGCCACTTCTGGCTTTTTCTGTGTATGTGGTACTGAAGGATCGAACCCAGGGCTTCATGCATGCTAAGCAAGCACTCTGCCACTAGATCACATTCCCAGCCCAATGCAAACATTTTGTAAACAATGTGTTTTAAGCCTATTATGAGCATTCCTCTTCTTGGCCACCACAAATTTCAATAGGACGTTGTCACTTCAATTTCAAGGTTCTGGATAAATTCTATACTTCTAATGTATTTTTTTGTTTATTGGAATTAAGATAAAATGGCTTCATTTCTACATCCTTCTGAGATTGTTTATTTAATCAAGTAGACTCTAATATAGCAATTCTTCTATTATCTTCATTTTACTTCATTTACTGTCAAAATTACTTGCTTTTTTATTTCACATCTATGCAGATAAGATCCCCAAACATGTTTTATTTCATGATCCATTAGGATAATAAGCACGAGTCTAATTCTAAATGTCTGAAGTTCAGCCTGATGCTTATATCATGAATATCTTCTGTGAATACAAAGAATATTTTTCTTAACATCAAGTTTTTCTACAACAAAGGTGTAGCTCTGTCAGAAACCTAATCCTACATTTTAAGAAATGCAGGATTAATACTTCAGGAAGCTTCAGGTCAGTGTCTGCTAGCATTATGTAACTTAAATACATATTAAAAATGCATGTGCCATGGACAGTGTCGAGGTATTGTATAACCTGGAAGCCTGAAAGGGACCCTGGCCTGGAGTTGAGGAATACCTGAGAGCTGATGGACTTGGTGAAGGGCAGATCAGGACTGTAAGGTCCTCAGTATAGTTGCTGGGCCTCGCAACCCAGAATCTCTATCCTCAGAGCAATCTGGTGGGCCCAACTCTGGGGGTGAATTCTAAGGTAGCGAGTCAGCAGTGGTGGGTCTAGAGAGTTCATCACAGGTGTGAAGGAGTCTTGATTTCCCTGAAAAACCTGAAATAAGGAAGATATGATCTATTAATTATCTAAAAAGAAACAATTTGTGAAGTTTGTAACTCATGCCTGCTAAGCTTCTTAAATTCATCTGCCTCTTCCTCTATCAATAGCTGTTCTTCCAACATGGCCCTTGCTCAACCCCCTTGGCATCATAACATCCCATTGTGCTGCATGCTAGATAGATCAGTGATATCACAAGATCCCCCAAGGCAGTTTGTGTTTAGCTATTAGAGCAAAAGAAGTCTAAGCCCTGTTCTTGGCTCCATCTTCCCCTCTGGGTTCTCATCTTTGGCTGTTTACTGAAGTCATCTCTAGGGAGTTTTCTAAAACTAATGAGGCTCGGGCCAGCTCCTCCAGAGATGCTGATTTAATCGGTATATTCCTATCCTAGCCTCTTTAAGTGGTGCCCAGAAATATCTCAATACATAAAACTGGACATGCCACATTTCTGATTAAAACTTCCATGCCACTTAGAATGAAACCTAAACGCAGTTTCCAGGCTCTGAATGATATAGCCCTAGCCCAAGTCTCTGACTTATCTTCTTCCTTTTACACTGAAGAGGAGACATACTGGTCTTTTGTTCCTGGACAGTGCCAACTCTTTTTTTTTGTCCGTCATGGGTTTGAACTCTGGGCTTGGGCACTATCCCTCAGCTCTTCAGCTCAAGGCGAGTACTCTATTGCTTGAGCCACAGCACCACTTCCAGTTTTCTAGTGGTCTATTGGAGATAGAGTCTCACGAAGTTTCCTGCTGGGGCTGGCTTTGAACCGCGATCCTCAGATCTCAGCGTCCTGAGTGGCGAGGATTACTGGCCTGAGCCACTGGCACCTGGCTAGCCAATTCTTTTTTTAAATATGGAATTCTCTGTATGATGATTCCCTCCATTTGGAAGGCTCTTTTCTCTTTCTTCTTTTTTTATCTAGTGCTTTTTTATCCTTCATGTTTCAGTTGAAATTCCATATCTCTAGAAAACTCTTCCTTACTTCAAATAGGACTCTTCTTTATTTTAAATCATCTTATTTCATTCCTTTGTACCATGTATGCTGTATGTTGTTTATAAAGACTCAATGACTAGTCTGCCTTCTCCCTTCAAACATTATTGCCATGAGGACAGAGGCCTTGGTCATTGTTGTATATTGTCTTTGGCACATAGAACATTTGTACCTAAATTGACTAACAGGAGCATTTGTTGAAGTAAAGTTCTTGTGCTTAATTGAACTTTTAAAACATTACTGCTCTTATTCTGAGAATCTTTGATGAATATTTTATTTTGGAAGTTGTGTATCTTTTGTTAGATTTAATCTTATTAAGCTTTTATTTTGAAATTTTACTAGCCTAAGGAAAATGAAAGTATAGGGGCTGGGGAAATGGCTCAAGTGACACAGCACCTACCTAGCATTGAGTTCAAATCTCAAATAAAAAGAAAGAAAAAAAGAATAGTGCAATGAATATGCTTAAGTACTTCACCTAGTTCACTGTTAACATATTGAGATATTTTATCTCTCTTACTCATGTGTTGTACACAAATTTTCAATGAACCATATGGAAAAATTTTAAACATTAGCGCATTTTACTTCTAAATACTTCACCATAATCTGAGGAAAGGTCCTTTTTCAAACACAAAACACCAGTGTTTTACCAACAAAAATATTGTATAAAATTAATACAATATCACTTAGTATTTTCATTTTCTAGTTCTATCAATTCTAGTAGTATGTAGATTCTTTTTTTTTTGTATACTATCATATCCTCTACACTTAGGTTTTTGTTGTTGTTGTTGTTGTTGTTGTTGTTGTTTTGGGGCCTGAATTCTGGGCCTGGGCATTGTCCCTCAGCTCTACAGCTCAAGGCTAGCACTCTACCACTTGAGCCTCAGTGCCACTTCTGGCTTTTTCTGTTTATGTGGTGCTGAGGAATGGAACCTGGGTCCTCATGCATGCAAGGCAAGCACTCTACCACTGAGCCACCTTCCCAGCCCCTACATTTAATTTTTTAATCTTTTCTAACACTTACGTACTCATATGTTATTTGTTCCTTTTCTCATGCAATTTTGAGAATATTATGTTCATTTTTCACCCTGGATTTTGGACTTGGAATGTCTTGGAGTACACCTGAGCTAAATCTCTCCAGTGACCATTAGCCTTCTTGCACTTGGACTTTTGTATCCTTCTCTAGGTTTTGGAATTTTTTCTTATTATCTTTTAAGACTATCTAAAGGGGCTGGGAATGTGGCCTAGTGGTAGAGTGCTTGCCTAGCATGCATGAAGTCCTGGGTTCCATTCCTCAGTACCAAATAAACAGAAAAAGCTGGAAGTGGCACTGTGGCTCAAATGGTAGAGTGCTAGCCTTGAGCAAACGAAGCTCAGGGACAGTGCCCAGGCCCTGAGTTCCAGCCCTAGGACTGGCAAAAACAAAATAAAAACAAAAACAAGGGGATGGGAAGGTGGCTCAGTGGTAGAGCGCTTGCCTTGCATGCCTGAGGCCCTGGGTTCGATTCCCCAGCACCACATAAGCAAAAAGAAAAAAAAGCCGGAAGTGGCGCTGTGGCTCAAGTGGTAGAGTGCTAGCCTTGAGCTGAAGAGCTGAGGGACAGCGCCCAGGCCCAGAGTTCAGGCCCCACGACCAGACCCCCCCCCCCAAAAAAGAAAAAAAAAGACCATCTCAAATTTTTATAAGGTTTCTTCATTTCTCTTCATACTTTTTTTTGTTTATTTTCCTCCTCCAACTATGAATTTTCAAATAACCTGTATGTGAGATAATTAATTCTTTGTTTCTGTTTGGTCTATGCTGATACTAATGCCTTCTATAGCATTTTAAATTTTGTTGAAAGTATTTTTTCAGCCCAATGATGTCTAATTTGATTTTTAATTACTTCTATGTCTTTGCTCTAAATTTCTTCTAGTATAGTTTATTATTTCTCAGTATTTTTTCAAGTTCATTAATTTCTTTTAAAACAGCCGTTTTAGGTTCTCTGAAAGTTCTCCTGTACTGTTTACTGACTGGCCAGTTTCTGGCACATTGTTGTGAATACTAATAGTTCTTCAAGATTTTTTAAATACTCTTGGCATACAGTATCATCTGGGTACCAAAGTATCAGATGTTTGATGCACTCTTCCCAATCTATCTTTGTTCTTGTATTTCCAAAAATTCCAAGTAAGCTGCATTTTTTTTTTTTTTGGGTCCGGTCATGGGGCCTGAACTCTGGGCCTGGGCACTGTCCCTCAGCTCTTCAGCTCAAGGCTAGCGCTCTACCCCTTGAGCCACAGCACCATTTCCGGATTTTTTCTGCTTATGTGGTGCTGAGGAATAGAACCCAGGGCCTCATGCATGCGAGGCAAGTGCTCTACCACTGACACAACTTCCCAGCCCAAGCTGCATATTTTTTCTTTCTTTTTTTTTTTTTTTTATTGTGAAAATACTGTACAAAGGAGTTACAATTACATGGGCAAGGTAATGAGTACATTTCTTATCAAGCATTGTAGCCTCCTCCTTTGTTTCTCCTCCCCATCCCTTCCCATCCTCTCCACGCCCCCCACCAAATCCTCCCCCCCCACTGCATGAAAGTTGTATTTGTTTTTGACATAATGACTTGTACATCTCATTGTTGCAATGGGTCCACCTGTATCCCTATTTAAACGATTTGTTTTCCCCCTTCCCCTCCACATATTATACTAACATCAAATACAGTGAAAGCAGGGGTTATACTGTGGGGGAGGGACATACAAAGCAACAAACAAATAATCTTATAAATGTGTTAGAAACAATCACATGAAAGAAAAAAACATTTGAATACATATCTTAGGGTTCATTTCCCAGTAGATGAATGGATCAAGAAAATGTGGTATATATACACAATGGAATTCTATGCCTCCATCAGAAAGAATGACATTGCCCCATTTGTTAGGAAATGGAAAGGCTTGGAAAAAATTATATTAAGTGAAGTAAACCAGGCCCAAAGAAACATAGGTCCCATGGTTCCCTTATTTTCAATATCTAGTATATGTCTGAGTCAAGCAGAAAAGGTCAGCTAAGGTGATGTTAGGGAAATGAACTCAAGCTGCATATTGTTTTGAGCCTGCAGTCACTTCTAATGTTTCTCAGCCTTGAGTTGGCTGGCTATCTATTATCATTGTTTTACCACTAGAGGGGGATCTAAGCCAAGGTTTGTCCCAAATCCCAACTTGGTGTGTTGTTCAGAATGAAACAAGTGAGTCCTTAGAAAGAGTAATGTGCCTGATATTGGGGCTGAAGTGGGTCCAGCGGGTTTGTTCACAGCTATTGGCTTGTGCTCAGGCACCGTAGGATTTTGTTTGGATTTCAACAGAATTACTATGAATGGATCAACCTCAGGCTCCTACACAATGACAGGCCACCAATGTCACATCCTGATCCCACAATTCCCAAGATCAGCACAACACTGAGGAAAAATGAAGGTCCATGCTGCTATGTGGTATTTATTGCTCAGTCTAATAGCCTGATTCTCCTACAACCGGCTACATGGAATAGATCATGTACCTCCCCCAAAGCAATGCAGCTAACGCAGAAGCTGTGTCAAACAAGCAGGCCTATGGATAGAGGCATTTTGGACCTGCCCAAGGTGAGGATTCATCAGCCGGTCACTAAGTTCTAGGGCAAAGTCTTTCCTCCAGTGTGCTGCCCAAGGGTGTGGTATTGGTAGTGAAGGTAGTTCCTTGGCCAGTCAGGCTGACACCAAGTGACATCACTCCTAAATCTCAGTCACAGACACCTATACAGTCTCAAGGACAGTCTCATCAGTTCTGTCTTATCATTAGGCTGAAACTTGAGTCCATCTACTAGCATGCTGGTACTAGAAAAGCTCCATCTATGAGCTCTGGCCTGAATATACGTTTATCAGTTTCTACCTAGTAACTGAGTCTCACCATGGTATGCCTGACATTAAGCAGCAAGGCCAAGACCTGTGCCAAATTTTATGCCCTGTTCCTCAGTGGATGAAGAGTTGCACCCTCTCTGTCACCTCAGGTTTGGGAAGGGGTGGGAGGAGCATGGTAGGAGCAGGTCTAAGACTGAATTTTCTTTTTTTTTTTTTTTTTTTTAAGAATTAAACTTTTTTTTATTTTTTTTTTTTGAAGCAAAGTCTCACTCTCACTCCCAGAGTAGCCTGGAACTTACCATGTAACCCACATTCAATGTATGCCTATGCCTCCTGAGTGCTAGGACTTAAAACATTTTTTCTTTTTGGTCCGTCCTGGGCCTGGGCTTTGTCCCTCACCTCTTCAGCTCAAGGCTAGTGCTCTACCACTTGAGCCACAGCGCCACTTCTGGCTTTTTCTGCTTATGTGGTGCTGAGGAATCGAACCCAGGGCCTCACGCATGCAAGGCAAGCGCTCTACCACTGAGCCACCATCCCAGCTCAAGACCGAATTTTCATTTCCGTTCCCTTCCCCAAGTAGGAAATCCCTCTCTATTTATCTCTCTCTGTCTCTCTGTCTCTCTCTGTCTCTTTCTTGCCTCTGTTTTCTCATTCCTCCTCCCCACCCTGTGGTGCTACTTGAAGTTGAAGAAAGGGTGAGACAGGCAACTCTTTATTTCCTGCCTTCTTTAATGCAATCTTTTTTTAAAAAAATACCATGTGCTCCACTTCCTGAAATCATATATGTCCAGCATTATATATTTTCTTCTAGGTATTATTTTAGGGACCTTTGCTATATAATGCTTTATCATTCAGTTCAGAATATTTCCAAGTTTATGATTTTTTCTTTGACCTCTAGATTATTAAAAGTGAATTTCTTGATTTCTAACACTGTCATGTCTTTCTTAATCATATCTATATTGTGATCAGAAAAGATGTTTGATATTATCTAATATTTGAAGTGCTTTAGTGATAATATATTTATAGTGCAAAATGGAGCACATTTCCTTTGTGCTCATAAGGAGTATATAATTCTATAGTTTTAAGGTATAATCTTGTAAATACGTCCACAAGATCAGATTTTGTGAATTGTTAAATTCTATTTCTAAAACTTTTCCTTTGTTTTTTTCTATCAATTGATGAGACATTTAAAAGTCTGTGAGTCTAAATTGTGAATTTATTTTCCTTTTCCTTTTCTCAGTTCTTGTATTAAACTGTTTGAGGATATATAAACTGTAATATAAATTTAACATTGTTGCATTTTCTTAGAGAATCCATATTATTATTAACTCATATTCTTAACTTGGTAATATTGTCTTGTCTGATATTAATAGAACGACAACAGGTATCTTTTAGATACTATTTGTAAAATTCTTTTCTATTTGTGGCTTGCTACTTGTCTGTATTTAATATTTTACAGATAGCTCTTGTAAAAGACAGTTTTCATTGTGATCCATTTGACAATCTTTGTCTCTTAACTGATCCATTCATATAATATATGATTATTGTTATATATGGATTTAAATCTGTCATCAGTTTCATTCTGCTTTGCTTGCTTCATTAAGATTTATTGATTATATTTTATCATTTCATATTTTTGTACCATTTGAGAGTCCTACACCCTATTTTATATTCTATTATTTATTGGTTATCCTAGAAATTGTGACATGCATTAAACTGGCCATGTTTGTTATTAATCAACATTTTTACTTCTTCGATACTGTAGTAATTTTAAATTTTCTTGTTCTCCTACTTCATTGTTGGTGGGAGTGTAAAGTTGTTCAATCAGTTTGGAAAGCAGTATGGAGGTTCCGCAGAAGACTCCACATAGAGCTCCCCTATGACCCAGCAATCCCACTGTTGGGCATTTACCCAAATGATCACAAACAAGGGTATACTAAAGCTACCAGCACAACTATGTTTATTGCAGCATTATTTACCATAGCTAAGATATGGAACCAACCCAGATGCCCCTCAGTAGATGAATGGATCAAGAAAATGTGGTGTATATATAAATGGAACTCTATGCCTCCAACAGAAAGAATGACATTGCCCCATTTGTTAGGAAATGGAAAGACTTGGAAAAAATTATATTAAGTGAAGTAAGCCAGACCCAAAGAAACATAGGTCCCATGGTTTCCCTTATTTGCAACAACTAGTATATGTCTAGGACAAGCCGAAAAGATCAAAAGCTATGTACATATGACCAGATAAGATGATGTTAAGTGAAATGAACCCCAAGATAGGGATACAAGTGGTTTTTTCTTTCTTGCTATTTTTTAAACACATTTATAATGTACTCTGTGATTTTTTTTATTTCTCTTGTATATTCTTTCCCCATGGTATAACCCCTGTTTTCACTGTATTTGATTTTGGTGCCCTGCATCTTGTATATACATTTTTCTAAATTGGGGAGGGGAAGGGAAATAACAAAATGCTGAAATAAGGATATAGGTTGACCCATTGTAACAATAAGGTATACAAGATACTATGTAGAAAATGAACTTTACAACTTCAGGGGGGGAGGGGGAGAGAGGAGTTGGAGAGATGGGGAGGCAAGGGATGGTATGGGAAAAACAAAGGAAGAGGTAACAATCCTGCACAGAAAAAGTCCTCATTACCCTGCTCATGTAACTGTAACCCCTCTGTACAGTATTGTTACAATAAAAACATACAAAAATATAAAAAAGAAAAAAACATATATCTAACCAAATATCTATCACAAAAAATAAATTTTCTTGTTCTATTCATCTCAATTATGACATTTAAGTTTTTGTTGTCATGTTTTCTAAATGAACCTTTTATCCCTATAAGTTGGCTGTCTCAGGCATTTGTTACAGTAACAGAGAGCTGACTAACACACCCATCAGGTTAATACTTAGTGACAAAGGAGATTATTTTTAAAAAACAAAACAAAACAAAACACCACAAGCCTGGCACCAGTGGCTCATGCCTATAATCCTAGCTACTCAGGAGGCTGAGATCTGAGGATTGTGATTCAAAGCCAGCCCAGGCTGGAAAGTCTATGAGACTCTTATTTCCAATTAACCACCAGAAAGCCATTAGTGGAGTTGTGGCTCAAGGTGGTAGAGCGCTAGCCTTGAGCAAAAAAGCTCAGGGACAGGGGCCATGTCCTGAGTTAAGGCTCCATGATTGACAACAAAACAAAACAAAAACACCAAAAACCACAGGTATGAACTGTTTTTTGTTATTGTTCATGGGATAGTACAACTTTGTGTTCTTTCTATAATGAGTATAATTTGTTGAATTTATCTAGCAAATCCAGATCAGGAACAAAGACTACCTAGACTACTAAAGATCAAAAAAGCCTAGAAATCTACATTACTGGTGAGGCTACAGGAACCATTAAACATTTAGCAAGTAACTCTTTCCAGCCTTCTAATTCTTGCTGTCATCTTGGATGACATCGAGAAGAATCAACACTTGGCTATACTCTTTCCTTTTCTTAGATTTTTACTTCCTTGCTTAAATGCACTATGTTCTCTCAGAATGTCATTCACCATATTTTATTACCACAGGTACTCTGCAAATGCTACTCTGATCAAGTTGGTTACATCTCTCAATGTCAAGATCTAAGAGAGATTTTGTCTTTCTTTGAGAACATCGTACCTTAACTTTCCCATTCTGAGAAATGAGAATCCAGCGATGGCCATCCTGACTGCTAGAGATGAGAAACTCCTTCACAAACATGCTGGTAAGGAGAGATTTCACTCCCTGGGTGATTATCCCTGTGATTTTCATTGTCTTCTGGAAGTCCACTTGTAGCCACTCTTTTGGATTATTCACCTTAAAAAAAGTGTTGGATGAACATCCTGTTGGCCACTATTTGTTCCCAGAAATCCCCAAAGACTTTCTTAACTATACTACGGCACTTATCACTCTGCATTTTAATGGTTTGTCAGCTTCTTTTATTTGACAAAGAAACCTAAGGAATATCCATTTAATAGGTGCCCAGCAAATGCTGAATAACTATAAGAGCCTTCTATAGATTGGATAGAGTGTTAAAGATTGATAGCCTATTTTGTTTAAACTAATCTTGGAAAACAGAGAGAGTTAAGTACATTCACACCTCTTAAGAAGTTATGAGTATTAACAGATATTTTTGGTGCCAGTCCTGGGCCTTGAATTCAGGGCCTAGGCATTATCCCTGAGCTTTTTGGATCAAGGCTAATGCTTTACCACTTGATCCACAGCACCACTTCTGGTCTTTTTGGCATTTAATTGGAGATAAGAATCTTACAGACTTTCCTGCCCAGGCTGGCCTTGAACCATGATCCTCAGATCTCAGCCTACTGAGTGGCTAAAATTATAGATGTGATCCACTGGTACCTGGCTTATTAACAGATATTAACATAGTACTGAAAACAGTTGTTTCTGTGAAGAGTTTCAATTAAAGTTCATTTCCCTCTCCAATGAATGCTCTCTGAAATCACATGGAACATCCAATAAATGTTTATGGGGGTGTCTTCCCATAGTCAAACCTTCTTAGATCCTCTTATTAGAAGCACAGTCAACAGAAATACCTATAAGAAACAAGATCCTTTCCTATTTTTCCCAACGTCTAGTCCCTGCTCTGCTTTAGTTATGTAGTAGATATTTTGCCTCTTACATGAGGTCGCCAAGCATTAGTCTTCCCCTGCAGGTTAAGTCGAGCTTGTGAAGGAGACCAGGTTACAAACATATTGGTGAAGTAGGAAGAGGCAGTAATCTGTGCATCTGATATTACTTTGCTTTCCATTCCTAATGGTATGCTGCAACCTCAAAGAAATGAAAGGACAATGTTATCACAAGGAAAGTCTGCAGCTTACTGGGCCGCCTCCAGTTCTCTAGGGTTACTATTATCCTGACAATTTTTCAGGCATTAACTCTTACACAAATTCAGTTATTGTTGATATGACCTTGTTTTCTGGTCATTTCTGCTCATATTTGCTTGACTAATTTTTTTATTGGTAGAAATATAGGAGGTGGCTGACTCCTGGGAATTTCATGGTTAGGACAACAAATTCCTGTTTTTATTTTTGTTTTTGCTTTTTCTGCATTGTGTTGGTTTTATCATTAATAATTCTGTGTCCAGCAACAGAGATCCCCTCCTCCAAGTTCTACAATAACTAGGACAGTTGGTTATACTACTTGTGGTTGGGAAAGGAAATGATAAGGGATAACTAGACACTTACTGTTTAAATCACAGCCCATCAACTCCATGCGAAGAGTACTGCGGCCGCTATAATGAGTTGGGTGCAAACGGATATACCGAGCAATAATTGGAGGATTAAAAATATTGTGCTTTATCCCAGATGAATCTACATTGCCAAAGAAGACCTGTTTGGAAGGATGGGTAGACATACATGGAAAGTGATTGTAAAGTGAAACACAATTTCTCCTATTTGAAGTTTCCTTTTGATTTTACCTTGTCCATTTTTCAACAGTATGAAACATCCAAATAAAACCATGCTGGATATACAGACGTTAGAATGTTATACATGGAGGAGATAAGTACCAGGAAGAGAAGCAGAACAAGAATATTAGGTCTGGTCTGGGGAAAATGAAGTCATTTTCTTCCTTGGCCCACTGTAAACATCTTACAAAAGGACTTTAGGATTTAGGACTTTGCTACTCCTACTCTTACTAGAGCAATTAGAAATACAATGTTTGGAGAGTGACATCACCAAATTGGTAAAATAGGAGGTCCCTAGCTCTCATCCCACCTACAAGAATAGTCTTGGAAGACATCTGTAGATAAAATTGCCTCTATGGAAGTCTTGAAATGCAGAAAGGAGACTGAAAAATCCCAGTGAAATCCGAATCCAAATATAGATGCTTTCATAAGCCAGACCTGTATTTTGGCTGAGGTCTTGGTTATGGACTCAGAAGCAAACAACCTCCTTCAAATTTAGCTCTAGTTCCACTTTTGTGTAGTTCTGACATTAACCCTATCATTCCAGAGGTTTGGAAAGCCTGTCCCTCACTGGCACCCCTATAACAGCTGTGGTTTAGATGCTGTTTGTCTCACAATTTCATGTGTTAAGATATTGGTCCCGAGTGTGGTGATATTAAAAAGTGGCCTAAGAGCTGATATTAAAAAGTGGCCTAAGAGCCTAATGAGAGGTTGTTAGGGGCACTGCCTTCAAAAGTATTACAGGAGATCTCATGGATTACAAGACTGAGTTGTTATTAAAAAAAAAAAAAAGAGTGAGCCTGGCTTCTAAATCATTCTGTACCTCCCTATATGGTCATGTGATCTTTCCCTCTCACACAGTTTTCCATTACTGTGACACAATCTACTATTTGGTCCTTATCAGTGCTCAGAAGTCAGTAGCATGGCAATAAACCTCTAGAAACAAGAGCTAAATAAATTTCTATTATAAACTATGTAGCCTCAGATATTTTGTAATAGTAACAGAAATAGACTAATACACAGGACTTTGGAATAGCTCTATGACTCAGCTGTAGTCCCACACTCTTATGGTCTGAGAGCATCTCTACTTTTTTTCAGGTAACTGGCAGGAGCTATGTCAGTCCATGATACGAGAAAGAGACCTAGCAAATGGAGCTGAATAGAGACTAGGAAACCCTTGACATGGTGCCACTGCACCATGGTCGGGAAGAAATTGTCTTCACATGAACCTGGTGGGAGCCGTGTCCATCTCTGGCCCAAAACAGCCTTCTAACTATGGGCTCAACTCAGGACCCTGGAACAGCCCAACTCCAGACTTGCCTCATTCACCATGGTCCAGATACCATTCTGTTCACCCATGAACCCAGAAGGAGCCACACCCATCCTCACCCTGAAGAAACTACTGCAGAACTAGAAAGGTGCCTTTCAAATGCAAAAACACCACCAAAACAAGGCTATACAAAGAAGTTAGGATCTATCACACCAGCAAAAGAAATTAATAAAGCTCTAGTATGGGCTGGGAAGGTGGCTCAGTGGTAGAGCGCTTGCCTTGTAAGCCAGAGGCCCTGGGTTCGATTCCTCAGCACCACATAAGCAAAAAGAAAAAAGCCGGAAGTGGCGCTGTGGCTGAAGTGGTAGAGCGCTAGCCTTGAGCTGAAGAGCTGAGGGACAACGCCCAGGCCCAGAGTTCAGGCCCCACGACCCGGCCCAAAAAAAAAAAAAAAAAAAGCTCTAGTAACCAACCCCAAAGAAGTGGAACCTCATAAAATATTGGACAAATAATTCAAAATATCTATTTTTAAAAGTTCAATGAGCTATAAGAGAATATAGACACTAACTAAATCAGAAAAAACAATATGAACAAAATAAGTTTAAGGAAATGGAGGCATGGCTCAAGTGATAGAATACCAGCCTTGAGCAAAAACACCAAGGCACTGTAAGAGGCCTTGAGTTTAAGTCCCAGTATGTACCCCCCCCCAAAGACATTTAATGAAGAAAACTACTTTAAAGAGGGCCTAACAGAAATCTGGAAGCTGATGCATACAATGATTGAATTGAAAAATTCAATAGGAATCTACAACAGAAGACTCAATCATGTAGAAGAATAACTTGAGTTAAAGAAAACACCGTATTTGAAATTATCCACACTTAAGAGTAACAAAAAGTGGGCAATGGAGAAAGCATATAGAATTTATGGGACACTAACAATGAAAAGTCTGTATTACATAGGAGCCTTAAAAGGGGAGAAAAGACATAAAGGAATCTCAAAGAAATAATGGCTTAGAACTCCCCAAAGGGAGAAAAATGGATATCTTAACTTATAAAACCAAAACCCCCTAAACTTGAAGAGGTTTATACTGAGAAACATCATACTTAAATGATGAAAAGTCATAGACAAGGGCTGGGAAGGTGACTCAGTGGTAGAATGCTTGCCTTGCATGCACGAGGTTCTGGGTTCGATTCCTCAGCACCACATAAGCAAAAAAAAAAAAAAAAAAAGTGAAAGTGGCACTGTGGCTCACGTGGTAGAGCACTAGCTTTGAGCTGAAGAGCTGAGGGACAGCACCCAGGCCCAGAGTTCAGGCCCCATGACCAGACCCCTCCAAAAAAAAAGAAAGAAAGAAAGAAAAGAAAAGTCATAGACAAGCCTAGTGCCGGGCTCAGGCTTGTAATCCTAGCTACTCAGGAGTCTGAGATGTGAAGGTCCAGGTTCAAAGCCAGCCCAGAAGGAAATCCATGAGGCTGTTATTGCCAATGAATCACCCAAAAGCCAGAAGTGGCATTGTGGCTCAAGTGGTAGAGCGTTAACCTTGAGTGCAAAAGCTAAAGGACAGCGTCCAGGCCCTGAGTCCAAGTCCCAGGTCTGGCACACAAAATGTTAAAAAGTTTGTGAGAGGGCTGGGAATGTGCTAAGTGGTAGGGTGCTGCCTAGCCTGCGTGAAGCTCTGGGTTTGATTTCTCAGTACCAGACACACAGAAAATGCCAGAAGCGGCTCTGTGGCTCAAGTGGTAGAGTGCTAGCCGTGAACAAAAGAAGCTAAGGGACAGTGCCCAGGACTGGCAAAAAAAAAAAAAAAAAAAAAGAAGAAAACTTTTGAGACTCCAATTAGTCACCAAAAAGCCAGAAGTAGAGCTGTGGCTCAAGTGGAAGAACGTTAGCCTTGAGTAACAGGGCTCAGGGACAGTGCCCAGGCCGAGTTCAAGCTCCAGATCAGCACCCAAAGGAAACAAAAGGAAACAAAACGTTTGTGCGTCTCCATCTCCACCAATGGTGGGATACAGTGGCATACATCCAAAAGCTCAAGTAAGGGGATCACAGCGCAGGCCTGCCTGCCCGGGCATGCAACAAGAGCCAACGGCTAAAATAACCAATGCAGATCGAGGCTGGAGGCCCGAGTGCAGAGGCAGAGCACCTGTCCAGCAAGCTGGAGGCCCTTGCCCTTTCCCAGCATGATCCAGGTCGGGTGGAAGCACTAGAATCGCCGCCTGAGGGGAGACGCAGGCTCCCGGGGAGCGACGGCACCTGCGCGCGACGACACCTGCGCGCGACGGCACTTCCGGACGGGCTCGGGCGGACTGGTGAGGTCATTACCCGCCGCCGGCAGGCCCGCGTGCAGGCAGTTGGCACCGGGTCACTGTGGTGCCCGGCGTCCCTTCCAGGCGGCGGCTGGGACAGGAGCCCTCCAGGGTACACTTGGCTCTCAGACAGCCCCCGAGTCAGGCCAGGTGAGGTTGCCGGGACGATGGCATGCTGGGAGCCACGACGAGGGCCCCGCAGGCCCCACGTCTGAAGGCGATTGGGGTGGGGCTGGAGGGGTGGCTTGGGCTGCCAGGAGGCCCGGTGTGCAGGTCAGGACGGCCCAGGGCCCCAGCCGGGTTTGCGTAGAGGACCACGCCGGTGTGGGTCCACGTCCCACCGGCTGTCATTCGTGCCCCCAGGGCGAGCCGGCGGCCAGGCCCAGGTCCGGATTTGCGGAGCGTCAGCGGCGGTGCCAGGGCAACCCCCTCCCCAGCTGTGACTGCGAGCGGCGTGCGCTCGCAGCCTCCTCCCGGACGGCCTGCTGGTTGCCAGGCAACGGCGGGGCGGGAGCGCGGGCGGTCTACCGCGCACCCCGCGGGGACGCACGGCACGTCGCGGCTGGCCCGCTGCGTCAGCGCGCTCACCCGGAAGCGGCGAGTGGTCGACATGGCGGCCTCTTCGTCAGGCCTGGGCCTCGGCCTCGGCCTGGGCCTAGGTGGCGGCGGCGGCGGCGGCGGCGTAAGCCCAGGGGCCGAGGCCGGGGACTTCCTGGCTCGGTACCGGCTGGTGTCGAACAAGCTGAAAAAGCGTTTCCTGCGGAAGCCGAACGTGGCCGAGGCCGGCGAGCAGTTCGGACAGCTGGGCCGGGAGCTGCGCGCCCAGGAGTGCCTGCCCTACGCGGCCTGGTGCCAGCTGGCCGTGGCGCGCTGCCAGCAGGCGCTGTTCCACGGGCCCGGGGAGGCGCTGGCCCTGACCGAGGCCGCGCGCCTCTTCCTGCGCCAGGAGTGCGACGCCCGGCAGCGCCTGGTCTGCCCCGCCGCCTACGGCGAAGCTCTGCAGGCGGCCGCTAGCGCCCTGAGCGCCGCTGTGCGCCTGCACCTGGAGCTGGGCCAGCCGGCCGCCGCCGCCGCCCTGTGCCTGGAACTGGCCGCCGCCCTGCGCGACCTCGGCCAGCCGGCCGCCGCCGCCGGCCACTTCCAGCGCGCCGCCCAGCTGCACCTGCCCCAGCTGCCCCTGGCCGCGCTGCAGGCGCTTGGCGACGCTGCCTCGTGCCAGCTGCTGGCGCGAGACTACACCGGTGCCCTGGCGGTCTTCACGCGCATGCAGCGCCTGGCGCGCGACCATGGCAGCCACCCCCTGCCGCCGCCCCCGCCGTCGCCGCCCCAGCAGCCGGGACCCGGTGCGGCCTCTGCGCCGCTCCCCGCGAACTCGGGCTCGGCCGCGCCCTCCCCCGCCACGCTGGGCGCCTTCTCGGACGTGCTGGCCCGGTGCGAGGTGTCCCGCGTACTGCTGCTGCTGCTCCTGCAGCCGCCACCCGCCAAGCTCCTGCCCGAGCACGCCCAGACCCTGGAGAGGTACTCCTGGGAGGCCTTCGACAGCCACTGCCAGGACAGCAGCAGCGGCCAGCTTCCTGAGGAGCTGTTCTTGCTGCTGCAGTCCTTGGTCATGGCCACCCATGAGAAAGACACGGAAGCCGTCAAGTCGCTGCAGGTGGAGATGTGGCCACTGCTGAGTGCCGAGCAGAACCACCTCCTTCACCTAGTTTTGCAAGAAACCATCTCCCCCTCGGGACAGGGCGTCTGATGAATCCCAGCAACCGAGATGCCCTTTTGCCAGAGACCCAACCACCCCACAGCACGCCCAGTACCTTTCCCCTCCCCTCCCCTCCCCACTTTGCCACTGGGGAGAAATAAAAGATGGTCTTCTTGCTCCTGTGTTGTCTGTCATTCCCATCGTCACCTTGGGCGTGATTCATGGACTGAAAGATAGCTTCTAGATGCCCAATTTAAGGCAGCAGGGTGGGAACAAAGCATAATAGGTAGGTCCTGTTGGTGTATGTGTGTGCTTGTTGGTACCCCGGAACTTGAACTCAGGCCTCTAGCTCCCTTGACTTTTTCCCTCAAGGCTGGTGTGCTACCACTTGAACCAAGGATCCCCGTCTGACTTTTTTCCAGGTTAATTAGAGATGGTCTCACCGGCTTTTCTCCCTGGGCTGTCTTAGAATCAAATCTCTGTCTACTATGGAGTGTCTGAGAGTTAGTCAAAGGCAAATGGAAAACCAGTAGCTATACTGTTTCCTTAAATTATGTTTTATACCAGATACCTAACTGTATTCATTCCTCACTCTCCCCTGTGCAAGCAGGTTAGACCAAGACTTCCATCCAGCTGATTGCAAAGGTAGAGAGGATGCATGCTCCTGGTTTTTTGGGAATGCTCTTTTCAACTCTGGCTTCAGACCAGAGTACCCAACTTATTCTGTTACATTTCTCTAACAGAAAAGTTTAGGGTTCTGGTTCATGCTTGATGATGACTTAGTTTGGATTTAGGTTTTTATATCAATGCTAACTTGGATTAGTTTGGAAATTCTGTAATTAACACTGATTTCTAACATGCCAAACACATTATCAGTGTTTTTGCAGTACTAAGATTTTATCAGGGCTTTTCACTTGTTAGGCAGGTGCTTTACCACTTTAGCCAGGCCTTCAGTCCTTTTTGCTTTATTTTTGACAGTCCTGGCCCTTGAACTCAGGACCTGGGCATTGTCTCCAAGCTTTTTTTGCTCAAGGCTAGCTTGCACTTTAGCACTTGAGCCACAGCTCCACTTTTGGTTTTCTGGTGGTTAATTGGAGATAAAAGTTTCGTAAACTTTCCTGCTGGGGCTGGCAAAGAACTACAGTCCTCAGATATCAGCCTCCTGAATAGCTAGAATTAAAGGTGTGAGCCACTGGTGCCCACCTTTTACTTTATGTTTTATATCAGCTGTCAAATGAGTGCTGAGTCACAATTGTGAGCCTGAATCACAATTCTTCGTACAGCTTTCCTTGTAGCTAGGGCAGTTTGTTTGTTGAGATGAATTCTCATGTTTGCCTAGGCTAGTCTCCAAATACAATTCTCAAGATCTTTGCTACCTGAATAGCTGAGACTACAAGCATGAGACTGTGACAAGTCAAATGTTTTCACAAATAAATACAAATAATTATACCATTAGTCAGCTTTTTTAAGTTGGAAATTGGGAAGGAGGGGATTTTTATTCCCTCTATGTATTGATAGCACTGGGGTTTGAACCAAGAGGCATGTGCTTGTTAGGTACTTGACCTCTTGATCTCATGACCCCAGCCCCTTTTGCTTTACTTATTTCACAGGTGGGGGGGGTCTTTCATTTTTTTCTTCAGGCCAGATGAGACTATGAGTTCTATAAATACTTGCCATGTATCTGGGGTGATGGGTGTGCATCACCATACCCATCTTTTTTTTTTTTTTAACTGAGACAAAGCATCACTAACTTTTTGCTCCATCTGACTTAAGTCACAAGTCACAATCCTGATCTCTGACTCTTGAATGCCTGGGACTACAGAGGTAAGTCAACACACTCAAGCAGTAATTACATTTTATCCCTCTCAGTATAAAAGAAAGCTTTAAAATAAATGGATTAAGTATTCAGCTTTACGTTCTAGAAGACAAAAATTAACCAAAAGAACAAAATATTTTTTATAAGAGTTGAACAAATGAATTACAAAACAGCACTTCCTAACCTAAGTTTGAGGTTTTGTTTTTGTTTTTTCAAATCAGAAGTTGATTCTTCGAAAGAAAGAACCCAGTGCAATAGAATAGCACTAGCCAAAGCTGGAGGATCAAAAAGTAGAAAACAGATATGTATGTGGGAACAGACCGGTGGATGGCATGGGAAGAATGGTAAGACTACTGTGCACATTACAGTGATTTAAGGTTACAGAAAATAAGGGTGCCAGTAATTTGAGAAATGGATAAGATAGTCAAAGTAGTACCACCAAATAAAGCACAAGGCTCAAGTAAGTTTTTCTTCTGACTGGTTAAATATGTGATTACTTAAGGTATTCTAGAGTAATTCTTTCATTGAAAATATGGAAGCTTTCCCAATTTATGTTCAATGTAATCTAGATTCCCAAACTCGATCAATGAAATTTCTCTTAAGTAAACCAGTTTGTGTGTGTGTTCTGGACTTGGGGCTTGGACTCAGGGTTGGGCACTGTCCCTGAGCTTCTTTTGCTCAAGGTTAGCTGCCTACCATGAGCCACAGCCACAACTCCACTTCTGGCTTTTTTTTTAGTAGTTTAGTAGTTTATTGGAGATACTCAAACTGAACTCTATAACTAATCCTTAGCCCCTCAGCCATAGATATCTACAACCACAGGATGTGAATTCCTTCAAGGCTCAAAGGATGCTTTCTGGCTTTCCATGTATGCTAATTGATTTTTTAAAAATATCTCTATAAAGTTTCATTTCTTTTTTCTATGCATGCCCTCTAGAGTTGTAAAAGGATGACAAGTCACTCTGTACTCAGCTGATACTATAGCTGTTGTGATAGCGACTGAATATCTCCCGATATCTTAGAATGTCTGCAGCTTATCCAATAGTACTGTTAGTGGCAATTGGAGTCATTATATCATCACACGTCATGGGTTGCTAATCTTTTTCCTAAACGAGGAAGCGATCCCATGTTCCTTTGAATATGATTGCACAATTGCATTTTGCAGGACTGTTTCCTGGGCCATCTTCTGGCACCACTTACTGTATAAAATAAGGGTAAGGATCATGGCACACTAAGATCTTACGATGAACAGAAGGCAGAGAATAAGAGGAATGTGACATAATAGGCTGAATGTGAGGTATGGGGCCCCAGACTGCTATTACCATTAAAAATGAAAACTGAAGGAAGAGATATAAGGAGCATAGAAGTAAAGAATTGAGCAGATTGGTGGGGCAGCTAATCAGGGTAGGAGAAAATAAAAATGAGAGAAGTATATGCAATGATGTATAAGCCTGTTTAATCAGAAGTCTTGAGATCACTGCTAGAAAATTAATCAGTTCTCAATGATTTTATCCTTTTGTGCATAAGATATAATCTTTATCTCTGGTCCAGGTTTTTCCCCTTAAACTCAAGTCTTTCAGTTGCTGACTGCCGAACCTTTCAATCTGATTGTCCTTAAGGAAACAAGTATAGTAGACTATACATTTGTCTTACTGAAGAGAGCCCTGACACTCCCACTTCCTTTTGTCCATGTCTGTAACCAGTCCCAGTGCCCATAGGTACAACATTCATTTTTGGAGATAAATTTGCAGACATTAAGAGTGTTTGTAACATATCTAGTGTGTCTAAAAGTATGAAACCCAATTATGCATTCTCTTAAAAGAACTAATTACATACCATTAAAGTCCCAGTGGAATTCCCTCGGTAAGTCCACCACTTCTTCCCATCAAGACTATACATGATAATAAATTGAGAGATGTAGAGGCTGGAGAACTTCTGACGGGCGCCCTGGGTCTTGATGCCATGAATAATCATTGGTGCCAACAGATCCACCTACCAATGAAAACAATTTATTCTAACCTGGTTTTAAGTGTGTGTACTCCAGAAATTAATTATCAGCTTAGGAAAAATCTGCATTGCTACAGGTTTGCACATCATGATGCTGGACATGCAAGTGAATCAGGTACATACATGGCATAGTTGTGAAGTTGTGGATAAATGGTGGGAATGAGTACAGAAAGTGGTTATCAAGTTCCTTGCTTCCTAGCAAACTAGCCCACCTACAAATCATTGTTATTTCTTCTACCTTCACATCTGTTGTACAGTGCATCCCCAAATCACTACCAGTGATAAGCTGCTACACCTTCTTCAGTAATGCATTTTGAGGTATATGCAGTTGCATATCTCCACTGGGCCTGTTGACGACAGACTACACATTTCTTTTTTAATAAGGGCAGACATGAGATTTGCATTTGTAGCTCACCTTAAATTTGCCTTGGACAGTGCTACTCTAGAGGAAATTGAAAAGTGAGAAAATGTGAAATATTGAGTCTTTTAAAAAAGAAATTTAGGCCGGATGCTGGTGGCCCACACCTGTAATCCTAGCTACTCAGGAGGCTGAGCTCTGAGGATCATGGTTCAAAACCAGCCCAGTCAGGAAAGTCCATGAGACTCTCATATCCAGTAAACCACCAGAAAACTGGAAGTTGTGCTGTGGCTCAAGTAGTAGAGTGCTAGCCTTGAGCCGAAGAGCTGAGGAACAGCGCCCAGGCCCAGAGTTCAAGCCCCACAACTGACAAAAAAAGAAAAAGAAATTTAGTTAGCATAAACAATATTGCATGTATTGCTTCCATCTTAGTTATTACACTAAATTTGAGTAGGTATTTCTTACTACAGTGGTAGTAAGAAAATTTAGTGGTATAAAATTGCTTGTTAAATGGGGGATTTAGCCACTTGTTTAGTGTTAAAATGAAGAATACTGGAGGACTCATTTGGAGGCATTCAACAGGAGAATACATGGTCTTGAGAGGTGATGAGTTAAATATTATAGAAAGCATATACATGTTATAATCTCAGGAGATAAAAATAGGATACACTGGCATACTTTATTCTGAAGTCTTTTTAACTGTATTTTTTTTTGTCTTTTCTTTTTTGGTACTGGGGATCGAACCCAGGACATTGCACTTGCTAGGCAAGCGCTTTGCCACTGAGCTACATCCCAGCCCTATGGAAGTAAGAGGGGTTTCTGTTGTTATTGTTTTTTTATGTCGGTCGTGGGGCCTGAATGCTGTCCCTCAGCTCTTCATCTCAAAGCTAACACTCTAGCACTTGAGCCATAGCACCACTTCTGGCTTTTTCTGCTTATGTGGTGCTGAGGAATCGAACCCAGGGCCTCATGCATGCAAGGCAAGCGCTCTACCACTGAGCCACCTTCCCAGTCTCTGTTCTGAAGTCTTTTGTTTGAGGTTTTTTTTTTTTTTTGCACAAGTCATAACCCATTCTATCCTTTAGTTTCCTCATCTGTTCACTAAGCTTTAATGGTAGGCTCAAAGGACATGCATAATGGTTGAGCTTCCAAGGTAAGTAGGTGATGTGATTGAATGATTATTCCTGCCATTGATGTCATTTTCTAACCTTGATCCAGGAAAAGGGTTCCTTGGTGCTCCAGGCATTGATTGATCCAGAATAATGAAGTCTGGCCAGGTTTGGGGTCCACTGTCCTTTTGCCAAGAAAGGAGAAAGGAAGGAGAGATTATATAAGAAAGGAAAGAGAGATTATGTTCAACTTGATTGATCCTAAACACTTGGGAACAAAATCACTCTTTTGATAAGTTAAACCTATAAGATAAAGGAATACAAGCTTTGTATCCTGGCAGTATTGATAACTATCTAATGGGTTTCTTGCTGCTATTGCACATGCCGTTTTCTGAAATTGAATAATTTTGTTGAGTGTTAGTACCTATAATTAGCTGATACTAGAAGTTGTTATCAGCAAATACCAAATTATATAATCTATTATCCAGTGTGTATTATTGCAGAAAAATCAGAAAATGAAAACTAAGAATAAAACATTTAAAAAAAAAAAGCATCACCTTTCTATCCAGGCACAGACACTAACTACAACTTTAATAAGTAATTCTCACGCTTGTTTTCTAAGGAGATTTTTTTCCTTTTAAAATAGGGGTTGGCAAACTTTTTCTCTCAAGATCTAGATAGAAAATAATTTAAGAAGCCGGGTGGTAGTGGCTCATGCCTGTAATCCGAGCTACTCAGGAGGCCGAGATCTGAGATTTGTGCATCAAAACCAGTTCTGGTAGGAAAGTCTGTGAGACTTATTTCCAATTAACCACCAGAAAACCGGAAATGATACTGTGGCTCGAGGTGGTAGAGAGCTAGCCTTGAGTGAAAAAACTTAGCCCTGAGTTCAAGTCCCATGTCCTACCATAATAATATTATTAATAATAATAGCAATTTAAAAGTGGCAGGTTATATGATCTCTATTGAAACTAAAAAATTATATATAGATAAATTCATGTAGCTATGTTCTAGTTTGAGTTTATGCATTCTGGAATTTGAATTTTATAATTTTATACGAAAAAGTTTTCCTCAACCATTTAAAAATGGGAAAATTAACTATCTGAAAAAAGAAGGGGTTGGGGGAAATAAGAGTAGTGGGGATGAAATGACTTAACTACATTATATGCATGTAGAAAAATGTCACAATGCAGTCCATTATTTTTGTATAATTTATATATGCTAATAAAAATGGGAAATGTTCTTAGCTCAAATACCATACAAAATGGGCAGTAGGCTGGATTTGGACTTCGGGCAGTAATTTGCCAACTCATATTCTAAAATTTTGTGTTAAACTCAATAGGTTCTGTCCAAGCATAACTGCTCACAAGAAAGTGTAGCTATCTGCTACAGTCAAGAGAATAGACTCGGGAAGATATTTCAGGGAGCAGTGCTCTTGCTCAAGTCAGGTGGATGTGGCCTGAATTAAGATGGTGGCAATGGGAAATAGAAAGAGATATATTTAAGAGCTAGTATCTATGGAGTAGAGTTAAGAAAAGCATGGAGTTGTATGCCAGTGGCCAACCCTATAATCCTACCTATTCAAAAGGCTGAGATCTAAAAATAATTTAGATCCAGCCCAGTCAGACAAATATGAGAAGCACTTATCTCTCTTTAACTAGCCAAAAGCCAGAATAAGAGGTTTGGCTCAAGTGGTAGAGAGTCAATCTTGAGTGGAAAAAGCCAAGGGAGATAGAGGCCTTGATGTCAAGTCCCAGTACTGGAACAAAAAAGAGAAAGGAAGGAAAGAAGGAGGAAAGGAATGAAAGAAAAGAAAAGAAAAAGAAAAGCATGGGAATTACACGCTTATTTGAAGCTTTCCAACAAAAATAATGAAAGATAAAATCAGCACAAATATCTTGGAGCAAAATTAACAGTATTTACCATATTGTCCTGAAGCTGTAATTTGAAAATCTTTAATGTGTCCAGAAGCCATTCCCAGGGGAATCTGACACTCTGAAATCAAACAGGGGGAACATAGTAGCTACAAGTATACAGAATTCAATTTCTCAAGTCAATAAAAATGGGAAAACATCAAAAATGTTTTGAGCCAAGTAGTTTATTTGTCATGTCATTTAACTCATTCCAACAGATAAGTGCTACAACTCTTCATAAATTACGATGGAGGAAACTATAGTCTATAGAGAAATAAACCAGTGGTGGTTCTCTTACTTGTTTAAGATTAATTCTCAAACTCTTCCAAATGATAGTTGTGGATTATCTTTGGTCATTGAAAGAAAGTTAAGTTACAAAATCTTCTATTGTGAAAAATGAAGTTTTCACCCATTTGTGAACTAATAGAGGTTTAAATTTTACTTAGCTGCCAGCATATATGTCTTCCAAGGACTACTGTGGCTAAATATTTTAAATTTAATGATGATATGAGCATATTTTTATTTATTGACAATGGCAATCATTCCCAAGGAAAAGGAAAGCTGTACTGCAGTAAGCTAAGGTGGCAGCGAGACTCTGCCCATAATATTACTCACGCTTGCTGTACACCAGAAAGAGAGTGCTCATCCCAGCATTTAGGTGCTCGCCAATAAGGCATTCAGCCCGCCAAATCCCAGCTTTGGATGGTAGCATTTCCACTGTCTCAAAAACACCTTTTCAAAACCAAAAGGAACACAAATTATTTCTTTGTACTAAGAAATGTGCATGGAATACATTGGCTTAAGCAGAATACCAAAGTAGAATTACAAAATTTAACATTAGGGGCTGGGAAGGTGGCTCAGTGGTAGAGCGCTTGCCTTGCATGCATGAGGCCCTGGGTTCGATTCCTCAGCACCACATAAGCAAAAAGAAAAAAGCCGGAAGTGGCACTGTGGCTCAAGTGGTAGAGTGCTAGCCTGGAGTTGAAGAGCTGAGGGACAGCGCCCAGGCCCAGAGTTCAGGCCCCATGACCAGACCCCCCCCCCAAAAAAAAAAATTTAACTTTACTCTCAAACCCAAATTGTTGCTATGTGATTACTAATGTCAGAGGCATTGGAGACTGAATTCTGACCATCCCTCTTCCAGAATATGAGACAAAGTGAGGTTGGATACAGGAGAATGCTTCTGCATTAGGATCAGGATACACTCAAAGCATTTTGGAGCAAAAGTGTCTTTCCTGTTTTCCAAATATGAGCTCCAAGTGATAGAGAAGTCAGAGTGAGGTCTTCTTGGATCCAGATCACCAGACAAAGTAATCCCAAAAGAAAGAAGCAGGAGCAACTTAGGAATGAGTGACAGGGCACACCTAGACTAAAGGTGGAACAACCAAGCCAATGGTACTTCATGAGAATCCCCAAAAGGAGTCTTTGGGAAGCTCCTGAATGGTCCTAATAAGAAAGTCAGACTTAATTGCTAGTCTAATGCAGACACAATGAAGCTAGCTTACAACAATGCTGCCAGTTGTGAGTAGGTAAGAACTATCTCATTCTCTTATGTTAACCTATCCATGCTGGAGTTCAAAAGAGCCCTTAACAAGAGGTTGGAGTTGGGAAGCACAATTTGCCAAGGGAGAGAACAAAGGACTCAACTATATATCCTTTTCTCAATGCAGACTTCCAGTCTGATGCAGGCTCAAGTTGGGGGAGGGAAGATTGAAGTTAAATGAAATTCAAATGTTTGTGTTACTGTTTTGAGACAAAGTCTCATCGTGTGGTCTGAGTTGTCTTCAAATTCATGATCATTTTTCTTCATCCTCCTGTGTGCTGAGATTATAAGTCTGCACCACCAAACCTAGTTACATGTATAAACAGATAACTCTGGGTAATAGCTGGTAGCATGTTGGTTCTGAGATTAAAAAAAAATGAAAAAGGACTCCTAGCAAAGTGCTATGAAGTTAACCATTCATGTATTGTGTTTATTTTGTAGGAATTTTATGTACCTGAAATAAACTTGTTTGGTTGATATTTATTTCTCTCTGTAAGTAGGCTAATGTTACTTGAGGGCAGGGAGCTTGTCTGCTTTGTTCTCTGATTATATTATTAATGCCTACACCATTTTATGTAAGTGCTCAACAAGTGCAGTATGTAGAATAAAGAGCACAAACTAGTTCACACCTGGATAGAGGTTGTACACAGCCATTCTGTACTCCTCTGTTTTCCGTACAGTAAACACATGTCCACTGAAATGAATAGAATGGATGTTTTCATTGCTGCCCATACTCAGTAGATACCATCTAATCCTTTGATCCTGAGCCATTACTAAGCCAGGGAGTGTATCCATCACATAGCCATTGATTGCTGGAAAAAAAAAATAGACAAAGCTGTTAAAATCTATTATGATGTTGCTTCCCTCCATTCCATGAGAACCACTGATGGCCAATTATATGTATTATGTATATGGAATCATACAATGTTCAAGCTCATTTTTAAAAAGTATATACTGTATCACTGTATTTAACAGTAATATTTGTGTGTGGGATATGTTACCATGGAAGCGATAATTTTCTTTTAAAGAGGAGTCTTCCTTTTGGATATTACAGGATGTCCTACAGTTCCTTTCCATATTTTCAGTGAAGTACCAACTCTTAGTCTCATCAAAGATAGTGAAAAACAGAGCAAATTCCTGTACTGTTACTTGTCTCCCATGAGCAGGACTCAGTGTGTTAGTGCGACAGATCAGAAGGGGTCCAATCAAGCCTGAGTGCATGTCCTTCTCCTAGGGAGGAAAGACACAAACTCTTAGGAAAAGTTTTCTCATCCACAAACCAAATAGATTGCTCAACATTTGTGCTATACTATCCTGCTTCCCAGTCTTCCCAATATAAATCCATCCTCAGTAGATTCCAGGCTATTTCTAAGACAAATATGATATCACCTCTCCTATTTAAAGCTTCTCATTGTGTTTAGGATAAATGCCAACATCATTAACCCTCAGTCTAATGTCCATTTTCTTTAAATGAGAATATGGCTAGTACAATGAAGACCTCCTTACCAGATCAACATCAGAGAAGTAAGCCCAGGCTTTGCAGTCAAACTCATCTTTCGTGGGTGCCATGTGATGTTGGACTTCCCAAAAGTAAGTTTTTGTTTCATTTGGTTTGACAAAGTTTTTTCTGGGTTCTGCTCCTTGTCTGTTATCTTCCTTATAAAAAATGAGACTAGAATAGAAAGAGTAGGGACGAGAGGCTTGATTTTTGAAAGTTACCTGTAGAGGAAAAAAATGCAAGAATCATCTCTTAGGTCATTTAATCTTTAGCTTAGGTTATACATCTCAAATAGGAATCTTCTGGTTTTTATGAAGTTACAAATATCCTAGAGGAAACCGAAAGATATTGTTAGAACAAAAACCTACAGATCTATGAAGGAAAATCTGAAATGATTGTTGGGGATGGAAGGAGGCTACTGGGGCTTAAATTCAGGGCCTGGGCATATTCCTTAGTTTTTTCACCCAAAGCTGGTGCTCTACCACTTGAGTCACACCTCAACTTTGGGCTTTTTGCTGGCTAATTGGAGAGAAGATTCTCATAGGCTTTCCTGCCCAGGCTGGCTTCAAACGGTGCTCCTCAGATCTCAGCCCCCTGAGTACCTAGGATTACAGATGTGAGCCATCAATGCTTGTCTTGAGATTTTAAATTCTAAAGTTAAGACAAGAACTTAAGACTGGAGGTATAGCTCTGGTGGCAGAGCACCTGCCTTGCAAATGTAAAACACTGAGTTTAAACCCCAGTATCATATGGAAAGTAAGATAAAATTCAAGTCAGAAAAAATGAAGCCATAATCCTATGGTATTAGATCTTTCTATATTCTTGTTATAGCCAATCAAATGAATGACTTTTATTTTTTTAAATATTTTTGTGTTAGTCCTGGGGCTTGACTCAAGGCTTGAACTCAGGGCCTAGGTGCTGTCCCTGAGCTTAGTTTTACTGAAGGATACAGCATTACCCCTTGAGCTACAGCTCCAATTTTGGCATTTTTATGAGTGCTTAATTGGAGATAAGAGTCTCACAGACTTTTCTGCCTGAGCTGGCTTTGAACCATAATCTTCAGATCTCAGCCTCCTGAGTAGCTAGGATTACAGGTATGAGCCACAGTGCCCAGCTGAATGGCTATTTTTAGAATAAAGGACCATTGACACTTGTCTTACAAAATGACTAAAATAACTTGTAGTCTACAGGAATTATTGATAGATTAAATAGCTAAATGTACAAATAAGTTGCAACAGAAATTATAGATGATTTTTAAAATCTCTCCACAGAAAGCAATTTTTATAAAACATAAAACTAGTAAACCATTTAACAACATGAATACCAGGAAGCTTTAACATGTTCAGGGGGGAGACAATAAAAAGGGGGACACATGAATGGAGGGATGAACGATGAGCAAATGCAATCATTATAGTCAATGTATATTACATAAAAATTGAACTACAGAACTTGAGGGTGATATAGGGAAAGATGGGGGAGAATGCTTGAGTGGGGTAACACTGATCAAGGTGCATTGTACTCATAACTTGAAAAATGAATAAAAGAATTAAACCAATGAAAATGTCAAGGAGGAAAGTTTTATGGACTATGACCTAAACATTCAAACCTGTTTTGTTTTCAAAACATCACATGAGAAATTAAGACTTTTTTTATTAAATAAACTTGGAAAAACTATTTACTAAAATTATCAATGGTTAGCATCTAATATTAAGGTAATTTTAATAGAAGTACTCCCTCCAAAAAGACAAATTTGCAAATGACATAAACAAATAGTCAATAAGAGGAAATCTTAAAGCCTTCATATACATTTCACTTCTGGAATTTTATCATAGCAGAAATACGATTGTAGAGCTTTTCTCTTTTTAGCAGAGCAGGGATTTATGCTTACAAGGTAACCCTTGAGCCCCATCTCTAGCCCATTTTACTTTAGTTTATTTTTCAGATAGGACCTAGTCTTGAACTGTGATCTTCCTACTTCTGCTTCCTATTGGGATTGCAAGTGTGAATCATCACACCTTGGCTTGTTTTTTTGAGACAGAGTCTTACTAATTTTGTGCAGGCTGATTTCAAACCATATACTTCCAGTCTTTGCTGTCTGTGTAGCTGGAATTGCAGGCATGTTCCATATCATGCTGAGCCCTATAATAGACTATTATACACTAATTACTAGAAAGTGTTCTGTGATGACATAAAAATGTCTACTGAGGCTGGGCACCAGTGGCTCATGCTTGTAATCCTAGTTACTCTGACGGCAAGATCTGAGGATTGCAGTATGAAGCCATCCCAGGCAGGAAAGTCCATGAGACTCTTACCTCCAACAAACTACTCAGAAAACCAGAAGTGGCACTGTGGCTGAAGTGGTAGAGTGCTAGCCTTGAGTACAAAGACACTCAGGGATAGTGCCTGGGCCCTGAGTTCAAGCCCCAGGACCAGCAAAAAATGTTTATTGTAAAATATTTAGTCAAAAAATAAGTAAAATTCAATGTGGCATAATTGTGACTACATAAAGAATAGAAAAATGTATAGGAGAAACAGTACACACACTAGTGACTCATTCCTGTAATCCTAGCTATTCAGATGGCTGACAGCTAAAGGATTGTGGTTCAGAGCCAACCTAAGCAGAAAAGTCCATAAGACTCCATCTCCAAAAATAACTAACAAAATGCAGAGCTGGAGGTATAGCTTAAGTGGTGGAGCACCAGATGAGCAAGCAAGCTGAGTGAACACAAGGCCCTAAGTTCAAACCCTGCTACTGCCAAAAGAAATAAAAAGAATATATTTATACAACAAAGATAATTGGGATTCCTTTTCAACTTCTTTATTTTGTTTATTTTTTTTTTTGTTCATTTGTGAGGCTTGAATTTTTTTTTGTTGTTGTTTTTGTTTGGTTGTAGGGCTTGAATTCAGGGGCCTGGGTGCTGTCCCTGAGCCCTTTTGTGCTCAAGGCTAGTGCTCTGCCATTTGAGCCACAGTGTCACTGCTGGTTTTTTAAGTGGTTAATTGGAGATAAGAATCTCATGGGGACTTTTCTGCCTGGGCTGGCTTTGAACTATGATCCTCAAATCTCAGCCTCCTGAGTAGCTAGGATTACAGGCATAAGCCACTAGTACCCAGCTTACTTCAATTTTTTTTTTTGGGTTCGGTTGTGGGGCCTGAACTCTGGGCCTGGGCGCTGTCCCTCAGCTCTACAGCTCAAGGCTAGCACTCTACCACTTGAGCCACAGCGCCACTTCCGGCTTTTTTCTTTTTGCTTATGTGGTGCTGAGGAATCGAACCCAGGGCCTCGAGCATGCAAGGCAAGCGCTCTACCACTGAGCCACCTTCCCAGCCCCTAACTTCAAATTTTTAAAATATGAGAATACTTTATCTTTATAATCAGAAACAAACTACATATATGGAATTAGTTTATTTTCATAATTCCATTGTTTTTAACTCACCACAATGTTGTCTTCAACTTCTGCTCTTATATATGGTCCCAAGATGCCTAGGTGTTCATTTAGTTCTCCACGGTATAAAGGTTGACTGAAGGAGCCATCAGTGAATTCCTGGAAAACTACCTTCTTGAACTGAGGAGCACTGCCACTCTGATCCCTGGAGAAAAAGTATAGAAAAAGTAGTATTATGATGGACAGATAGGATGAATTACTTGATCTCATTGCTCTCATTGTTTCTGACACTTAGTAGAATTGGTGATAGATTGTCCAGAGAAGTGGGTCAAGGAGGAGAGAAAGGGGCATTGAAGACAGCTTTCAGGTTTCTGGTTTGGCCAAATGAAAAAACATAGCTATGTAATTCTGAGAAGGGGAGCCCTAAAGGGGAAGTAGGTTGGATACATGGTTTTAGACATATGGAATATGTGTATGAGTCAAATTAACAAATACACAGAGGTCAAGAGTTTGCAAATTTTTCATGTTTTCACTTTACAAGACATCTAAAAAACATTTTGCATGGTCATCTACTCTGTCCTCCTTTACTTTTTCAAGCCTTTCCTAATACATCAGATCTATGAAAGCAGATTTTTTTCTGTTTTGTCTGTTTTTGCCTTTTTCATATTTTTACCTCATGTTTGTATGCCCTTAAAGAATATAGTTCAGCTTTTGAAGTATCTAAATGGAAAATAATGTTTATACCTTTTTTCTTTTGCTAAGCATTATTATTAATCTACATTGCTGTGTGTATCTATAGTTTATTCCTGCTGTGGCATAGTGTACTGTTGTGTCAACATATCCCAATTACATACAAGAGCGTTCTTTGTAAATTTGGATGCTTACACCTGATATGAACCTTCTGTTAAGTCTTTTGATGACCAATACAAGAGACATCCATTTACCCCAAACTCTCACAAATACACTGCATTGACCATACTTTCATTTTTAGTAATCCTGGTGGGAACATTAGTATTTGCCTCATTGTAGATTTATTTTGTATTTTCCTAATCAGTACAGTACTATCTTCTCCTATTCTGTAGCTGATCTTATTCTTTTTATGTTATCATTCAATATGCATAAGTTGATAATTTTGGCATAGTAAAAAAATCTCTCAAGGTAATTTTGTTTTGTATCTCAATGTCAGTTCTCTTTCTATACCCTAAGATTAAGGCATTCTCTTATTTCTTTGTTGCTAAAGTATTTATGATTTTATCTGTCTTCAATGGAGAGAGAGAGAGAGAGAGGGAGGTAGAGAGAGTTGTGAACTAGTTATCCATATCAGTGGTTTTTTTCATAGATACCAAAAATTTCAAAAATTTTTTTACTGAAAACTGCTATTCAGTGATACTTTTGCTACAAATAAAGTGCATGTGTACATATGTGTCTATTTTCTGTTTTTCTATTGTTTTATTTACATATATGTTGATTCTCAGACCAATTGTCATAACTTTTTGTGTCTAGGGTAGTCCTGGGGCTTGAACTCAGGGCCTAGGCACTGTTGCTGAGCTGCTTTTGCTCAAGTCTAGCACTCTGCCACTTGAGCCACAGTGCTACTTCTGGCTTTCTGGGTAGTTTAGTGGCGATAAGAGTCTCAAAGACTTTCCTGCCCCAGCTGTCGTCCAATTATGATCCTCAGGTCTCAGCCTTCTGAGTAGTTAGGATTACTGGACAAGTCACCAGCACCTGGTGCCAATTGTCATACTTGTAATTACTATAATTAAAATAAGTCCAATTATGCAATAAAGCAGTTCCTCCCATCTTGTTCTTCTTGGCTCTTTGAATTTTTGTATTAATTTTTAGAGAAAGCTTGCTGAGATCTATAGAGGAAAAGACTTGTTGGGATTTTCATTCAGGCTATATTGAATTAAATCACTTTGGAAGTAATTTTCTTTTTAAGTATGTTTTTCAATCTATGTAGATATTATATCTTTGCATTATTTCTCTGGTACTTGGGATTGAACTCAAGGTCTTGTCCTTGCTACATAAGTGCTCCACTACTTGAGTAATGTACCTAGTCCTTTTTTATTATAATTTTTAAAGATATTTTAAAAGGATCTTGCAGTAGCTTTGCCTAGCTAGCCTTATACTATAATCCTATTTCTTCTGCCTCCTGAGTAGCTGGGACTGCAAGTATGTGCCACAATGCTCAGCTTGTTTCTGAAATAGGTTCTAACTTTGGACTCTTCTGGCCTTAAATCATGCTCTTTCTGTTTCTGCCTCCTAATTAGCTAGGATTATAGACATGTACCACCACATCACATCTGGTTATACAAATGTCAATCTGGCTACACACACACACACACACACACACACATGTTTGTACATGTAATTAGCATATATTACTTATACAAGGAAGTTTATTGTGACATTTTCCACATATGTATATACTATTTAGGTATTTTTAAAGGTTCTAATTTCCCATAGATATTCACAGAAAATTCAATGCAAAGATTTTGATATATTTATTTTTGGTGCTTATTATTATTTTGTTCTATTCTGCATATTAGTTTCACTTGCTCATTATTTCTCCCCTGACCAAATCACACAAACCTAACTTCTTCCTCAGTTTGTGGTCTCCTAGAAAGTATACTTTGGTTATTGGTCACTCTCAAGGGACAGATCTCAAGGAAAAATTTGACAGAAACCATAATTATAAAAGTCACAATAGAACTCTGTTAGGTTTTTCACTGCTATGATAAATAGGAGAAACTAATGATTGATTGATTGATTTGAGACCAGGGTGGTTTCAAACTAATGAGTCTCCTGCATGAGCCACCATGCCTGGCTAAGAGAACAATTTAAATGGAGGAAAGATTATTTTGGCTCATGGTTTCAAAGGTTTCATTCTATTGTCTAATGCATTCTGTGAACTTGTGGAGAAGCAGAGCATCATGGCAGAAAGGGTGGAGTGGATCAAAGATGCTTACTTCATGGATGCTGAGAAGCAGAGAGGAAGTAATAGGAAGGAACCAGGGCAACAGCAAGATAAAGCACTGAAAGACATGCCCCTAATGACCCATTTTCTCCAAACAGGCCCCAATTTCCACAGTTTCATTACCTCCAATAGTCTATATAATTATTAATCTGTCAATGGACTAAGCCTTTTGTTAAACCAGAGCCCTTATGATCTGATCATCTCTGAAATGATCTTACAAACACACCTAGAAGTGTGCTTCACAAATCTCCTAGGTAACTCTCAATGCAATGAAGTTGACAGGGCTAACCATTACAGGAGACATTTTCCAGCTGCTAATAAGAATAACGTTCTTCTTCAGCCCAGCAAACTTTTTTTTTTTTTGGTCGGTCATGGGGCTTGAACTCTGGGTTTGGGCGCTGTCCCTCAGCTCTTCAGCTCAAGGCGAGTGCTCTACCACTTGAGCTACAGTGCCACTTCCAGTTTTCTGGTGGTTTATTAGAGATAGGAGTCTCAAGGTCTCTCCTGCCCGGGCTGGCTTTGAACTGTGATCCTCAGATCTCAGCCTCCGGAGTAGCTAGTAGGCGTGAGCCACCAGCACCTGGCTACCCAGCAAACTTTTAAGCAATATTATCTATGTGCTAATGCAGCACAGATATAGCAATGCTGACGGAACCTGAATGGTTATGGATAATTACCTTAGAAATGAAAAACACTGCTTCTATTTTTGCTGTCTCCTCCCATATTGCCACAATGAACACCTTCAGCAAACACATTCATTTCTTTTTTTGTTTGTTTTCAGTTCTAGGGATGGAACTCAGGGCTTTTTGCAGGCTAAGCAAGCACTTTACCTCTGAGCTACACCTCTAACCCTTGACTGTGACATTCTTGACATTGAAGCCCACATTGTCTCCAGGAAGAGCTTCACTCAGAGGTTCATGTTTCATTTCAGCATGTGATATTGAAGTGGGCAAAGATGACTACCTTGCTGAGTCTGAGAACATCAATCAGTCTCACGGTACCAGTGTCACCAGTTGTGTAGATCCCCTGAAAGTGCTGCTACAAGCATTTGTTAGTTGGCCAAATTATTGGAAGGATATAAAGCAGAACTAAAAGCAGTACAGCTTCACTCACATATCCATTTTCAAAGATGGTTTTCCATCTCTTGAACAAAAGTATGTTAACTATTTGGAACTGTAGCCTATTTTCCTAATTTAGGATTGACTTCTTTAATAATTTCCTCATATCTCTTCTAGCTGTATGATTGTTCAGTGGAATCCATCTTGTTAATACAGACAATTAATTGTTTAACACCTAGTGGGTAAGCCAGAATGACATGATGGAAATATTAGCTTTGAATTCACCAGCACCAGCAGTAACAATCAGGACAGCACAAGCAAGTCTGAGATGTTCCCATAATCATGTTTGGGGGAATCAGTAAAGTCTCTGGGCATGGATAAAATCTCTATGTTCTGGAGCATCAATGATAGTCACATGATAGTTTGTGGTCTCAAATCTCCACAGGGAAGTATCCAAGGTGATAACAGCTTTGTTTATGCAAGACCCACTAGTATTTGAAGGATCACTTTGCCATCTCAGCAGACTCAATTTTTATGGTGATTCTGTTGATCACACCACAGTAGTAGTGGACTTGCCTGAATCCATATGTCTGGTGATAAAGATGTTGATATGAATCTTTTCCTTTCCTGGTTTTGGCTTACATTTAGCATTGGGTAGTTTTCATGAAATCTGTGTTCTGGCAGCAAACTTGTAGAAAAGGCAATTCTGTATATTTCCCTCTTTTTGCTAACCTTGGCCTTAATACAAGCAAGATGATTCCAACTTGGAGCTTAGTACTTCAGGAAAACACTGATGGACTGATAGACTGATGGTTCATTCTTTTTTTTTTTTTTTTTTTTTGCCAGTTCTGGGGCTTGAACTGAGGGCCTGGGCACTGTCCCTGAGCCTCTCTGTGCTTAAGGCTAGCACTCTACCACTTGAGCCACGGTGCCACTTCTGGCTTTTTCTGTTTATGTGGTACTGAAGAATGAAACTCAGGGCTTCATGCATGCTAGGCAGCACTCTACCTCTGAGCCACATTCCCAGCCCTGATGGTTCATTCTTAAAAACCCACTTCCCAGTTTTGATGGCCTGACTGTGTTGACACTCAGGACTCTTCTGTGTTGCAATATCCTCAGTGGCTATCCATGGTTCTGGACCCTCTCTGCATCCAGTCCCTCTCCAGAGCTTGCCCAACATTGCATTGCAATTCAACCAGCTGCTCTTCTACAGGAATAAAGAACACACCATGGCTTTGCTCCAAGTGCCTGCTGGAGCTGAATTTCTTCTTATTAAGTCTCCTGATATGGAGGTCCTCTGTTGAATTGGGATGGAAGAGGTTGCCTTCTTCAGATTAGTTTTCATTTCCAAGGATAATGCTTCATTCTGTAAGTTTCCATTCACATTGACTGCAAGCTCATTCATACATGGAGCTACACATGCTTAACAAGGACTATCCTTCTTTGTTCTTTTGTAAGGTTATACAATAATTTGTCTAAGTTAGCTCAGGGAGGGATGGAGGCATAGCAAGTTCATTGGGAAGATAGGGATTTGGAGTCATCATCATGAGTTACCACCTGGTGTCAGCCTGCTGGAGTGACCTCTGATTTTATTACTTTAATAATATTTCATTATAGAGAGTATTTTATAGCCTGGTTTTATCCCACAATAATTACCTTTCCATTTCAGTACATTTTCATCTTATCCAATATTCAGTCCATAATCAAATTCTGTTTGCTTAAAAAATTATAGCCACAATGATCCTCTGATGGATTAGGGGTGAAAATTGGAAGAAAGGGATCAGGATTAACTTCAAGGTTGGAAGTTTGAATAACTGAATGGATGGAACAGTCAATTCAGTTAATAATTATTAACAATTCATGTTAATAATAACATGATTGATGATTATGAAATGAATCTGAAAGAGGGAAAATTGATGATGTATGGGAGAGAAGTGGAAATAATGGATCAATGTTTTTCATGAGAGAAGAAGGAATGAAATCAAGTATAAAATTGGTGTGGTGGGCTTTCTTTCTTTTTTTTGTCAGTTGTGGGACCTGAACTCTGGGCTTGGGCACTGTCAGCTCTTCAGCTCAAGGTGAGCACTTTACCACTTGAGCCACAGCGTCACTTCTATTTTCTGGTGGTTGAGTGGAGATAAGAGTTTCACGGACCTTCTTGCCCCGGCTGGCTTTGAACTGATCCTCAGATCTCAGCCTCCTGAGTAGCTAGGATTACAGGTGTGAGCCACCAGCGACTGGTTTGGTTGGCTTTCTTTAGGCATATAGATGATCCATTTGATACTAGAGTATCAATAAAGAGAGGTGAAGATGAGAATCAGGGCCCCCGATACTTTCAGCTTTTTATTTTATTGCAGCAGTGGAACGGCTGATTCAAGGGTAGCATGGGTTATTTCCTTTTGGTGGTGTTTTAAGACTACTGGGTTCTGAGAGCACAGTCTTCCATCTCTTTCTTGCTTTTTCCAAGTGCCTCTCTTTGGGGTGAACTTTTTACCTCATTTGCTGCTAATGGGCAATTCATTTCACATACTAGAGTATGTGGGCCTCAATTTCAGTAAATATGTTGGATATTAATTGCACAGTATCAGAGTGAGGATGGTGAAAAACATGGAGACAAGGAAAAGCAGAAAATGTAAGATAGAAATCAAGGAGAACATAAAATTCAGTGGACTAGGGAAATATTCTGTGGCTGATGGGCAACATAAAGGGTTGAAGAAAATGTGGAAAAGTGTTATGAGTATCTAAAGGGAGCTCTATCCTTCTTCAAGGACCTATAATTTCAAACTATTGCTCACTTCCACCTTTTCATTTCCCAACCACACACCCTCCAGTCATATTTGTTCCTTTTTGTCCTTCAAATATGCTACACTTGCCCCATTTCCAGGTTCTTTACATTTTCTATTCCCTCTTTTTGAGAACATTCTTTTTTGGGAGGGGAGGGGGAGGGTTGGTCACAGGCCTTGAATTCAGGGCGTGGTCACTGTCCCTGAGCTCTTTCACTCAAGGCTAGCTCTCTACCACTTTGAACCACAACAACACTTCTGGTTTTCTGGTGGTTAATCCGGGCTGCTTTGAACTGGGATCCTCAGATCTCATCGTCGTGAGTAGCTAGGATTACACAAGGGAGCCACGAGCACCCAGGAGAACATTTTTCCATAGCTTTATCAGTTGGCATTTTATTATCACTTAGGATTCAACTCCTAAAAGAGGATTTCTTTCCCCACCACAGTGAAAGCAATACTTACCAGCTACTGTACCATATTGTTCTATGATATTTTCTGAATATTCCCACTGAAATTCCTTTACTTATTTTTTAATTTATTATAATCTTGAACTCCCCAGGAGAATGTAAGCTCCATTCCAATGTCTACAAATGTATCTGCCATATAGTAGCTGCTCCTAATACTTCTTGACTCTTCTTATGCTAACCTTCCAAATATTAATGTGCTTTCTCTTCCCTGCTCAACCTTTTTGTTTCTCCTCTAGAAATCAAATAGGCTATTTTGCCCTCTGGATCCCCCATATCTTGGAAATGAACCCTACCTACATCAACATCTTTGTCACACATTTCACTTCTTCCTCCTTCCTTCCTTAGTGCTTTTTCATGAGAAGAAGATTCCTCATGCAGCTCATAATATAACAAATGAGGCTGTATTTCTACCATTTCAGTACTTGCTAAGTCAGAGATCACAAGAGCAGGAAAAGGGAATAACCAACAGACTCATACCTGTTTCTTAGAACATGAGGGGATCTACTCAGCCCATAGTCCCAAAGCCGTTCCACTGCTGCAATAAAATAATGTCGGGTTCTCTTCTGAAAGCTTCGGGGGCCCTGATTCTCATCTTCACCATAAATGTCAAAATCACCTCTCTTTATTTCTGTTGAGATGGTTTCATCATAGTCAGTTTCTTCTTGCTCTGATTCAAGGGTAGCATGGGTTACTTCCTTTTGGTGATGTTTTAAGACTACTGTGTTTTGAGAGCACAGTCTTCCATCTCTTTCTTGTTTTTTCCAAGTGCCTTCTCTTTGGGGTGAACTTTTTACCTCATTTGCTGCTAATGGGTAATTCATTTCACAAGGGTTCAAGGACAAAATATTGTCCATTGTCTGAAAGGATGTGTTTTTTGGTGAGTTCTCTTTGGATTTCCATTCTTCATTTGGTATCTGGGTAACATATTGGTTATCCAAAGCAAGAGAATCCAGCAGCTCATAGGGAGTCTTTTCAGAGTTTTTGGTTTTCTGAAGAAGGGTCTCTTCCATGAGGTCCACTTGGCTGGGAGATCCATGACTAGTTTCTGTAGGTGTATGATGAATGGAGACTTCAGGAATCAATTCAACTTTGCCAGGTGCTTCAGGCAAAACTCTTTTCAAGAGAACAATGTTCTTCATTTTTTTGTATGAGTTTGTGCCACTTGTCCCCAGGGAGTCAACCTTTCCTTGATCTTCAATGCTCTCCAGTGGTAGGATAGCTAAAGAAAGGTTATTTTTATTAGCTCTTTGTAAGAAATTGCTGCCTTCTTGAGCCCTAGAGCTTTTTGTCCTGAATGTATAGTCTGAAGCTAGAAAATGAGAAGAGTTCTCTTGGGATGGTATCCTCATCAGATCCACAGATATGATTAATGGAAATGCTGATATATTTCCAATGGGTAATGCAGAGTTACTAGTCTGAGTGGTGCCATTGCTCATGAAAATACCTGGTAATGGAGACTGAGTAATGGCCTTTTCTCCATTCTTGTTGTACTCTATCTGTGTAAGGAGGCCCTGGGTTGAATATTTCATGTTTGGGGTTGAAGTGCCATCTACAATGTATCCCTTTTCAAGCTCTGTTTCTTGTAGAGGGAATCTGTGTTTTTTTAGAGCCTGTTTACCATACTGAGCAATAATGTTCTTCTGGCTTATATTAGGAGACATTCTTGTGCTTAGATAATTCTCTTCCATCTGTGTGGTTTGATTTCTCAAGCCTTCTATATTTGTTTCCTCTTCCTCACTTCTTTTTGAGAAATGGGTCACGTGAATCTCTGCTGTATTTGTTGAATCACTTTTTGATCTCATATCTTGAAGTATTGGTGCATATGCCTTTACATTTAAACTTAAATTTTGCCTTGGGCTTAGTAAGAAAAGGTTCTTCAAGACATTCTTAGTGCCAGTCAGTGCATACACCTGAGACAAAACTACATTCTCTTGTGTTAGTGCATCATCCCTTTCTGTCTCTTCCTGTAAAGTTTTTACTTGGTCATATGTATCTTTTTTTTGTATATTCACCAAGGCCGTTAGTGATACACTGTCATTGCTTGGAAAAATTATCTCTTTGGGTCTCGTGTTTCTTGTAATTTCATCTTCTTCTACTACCACTTTCCTCTTCTCTGACAGAAATCTCTGATCTGTTATAGACTTTTCTAATCCTAAGGATAGCAACTGCTTTAGAGTAGGTATGTGTCCAGAATTCAGGGAGTTCTTTCCATGCATACTTTTTATCCAGTTTGCTGATTCCAGATCTTCTGCATTTGGCAACACAGGGCCCTCTTTTATTTGATTATCTATTTCCATATTTTTTGATGTAGTAGTTTTATTTGATACATGATTTACTGACAGAACCGTAGTATTTTTATCTACAAGCATTTCAACAGGAACCGAAGTTGTCACTTGTTGAAAATTAGTGTTCCTTTTTAATATAGAATCTTGCCAGGCTGATGTGATATTTTCAATTAATGTTGGGCTATCAGTGTGAGCTTTTCTATCAGTTACTGAATGAGTAGATGCTTTATTTGTTTTTATTAAAGAGGTATTAACTTTGAATAAATCATTATCTTTGGTTAACAACATGGGTCCAGTTGACCTTTTTTCCTTGTGTAACCTATCAATCACAATTGATGATGCGTTTTTCCCTAGTGAACTTTCTTGACTATTTGTTAAAGCTGCTTCTAGTGACTTGGAATCATTGTTTTTTTCACTCAAATTCACAAGTATACCAGTGTCAATAAATGGAGATGGCTTTTTGCCAAATACAGTGCTGATTAACTGACTATTAATGTGAACTGATATATTTGGGGATCCTAAGGAACCTGCCTTTTCAGGACTTGCTGCTAAATTACTTGATAGAATTGTTGAAGTTACTAGGTGTTTTGGTAAACTAGAAACTTTCAAATCAAGTTTTTTTAAGTCTGATTCCATAGCTGTTTCCACATTCTTATTTGAGCTTAATTGGATGTTTGGCGTGGGAGTAAATACTATGCCTCCACTGTGATGGAGTTCTGGCATGAAGTCTGCCACTTCATATGGGCCTTCATTATTGTCTGTTGGACCAGGTAAATGATCATCAGGAATAGTCTCATATATGGTTTCTTGGAGATCTGACAGGGATAATCCAGTTGGAGTAGGACCCTGTCCCAAGGGCCTCAAAAAATCACTGGAGGACACATTTTGTATTTTAACCATCCCTATTCTTTCTCCAGATTGTGGGTCAACCTTCTCTATGTTGTTTTCTGGCATTGTAGTAGCTTTTAATTTCTTTTTCCTAGTGCTAGGTTGCCTTGAATTCTGGGAGAAGCTTCTGGGTTCGAGAGCATTGTTTTCACTCAGCAAATATGCTGAAATATCTTCATAAATATCCTCATAATAATCACCAATATTCCTGTAACAACTAGAAACCTTCAGTAAGGCGGTCATGCCTCTGTTCCGAAAGTCTGAGTTGTGGCACCCCAGAACCCACACACCTGGAGATGAAAAGAATAAGACTGGTTACTCATAACTCAGGTTCTAAGTAAGATCTATTTTAGAGGTTCTTTTCTATACCTAGATAAATGTGAAACTAATAGGAAAGTCCATTATAGCTCAAGTCTTGTGTTAAAGCTCTGACAAATGTAACCATCCAACTATGGTTTGGGTTTTTTTTTTTAATTTTGCCTTGCTATTCTTCTTCTTCTTCCTTTTTTTTGCCGTTCATGGGGCTTGAACTCTTGGCCTGGGCACTGTTCCTCAGCTCTTCAACTCAAGGGTAACACTCTACCACTTGAGCCACAGCACTACTTCCAGTTTTCTGGTGGCTAAATGGAGATAAGAGTCTCACAGACTTTCCTGCCCAGGCTGGCTTTGAACCACAATCCTCAGATCTCAGCCTCCTGAATAGCTAGGATTGCAGGCGTGGGCCACCAGTGCCCAGCTTGCCTTGATATTCTTGTGCATTGCCAGTTTGTGACCATAACAAGCAAGAGCTGTAATTAAAAATGAATAGATATTGGGATAAATATACAACAGTGAAGAGCTCAATAGTCACACAAGTTCTTTGATGATGACAAGGATTTAATTTAGGAAGGTTTGTATATATACCTGATATAACAAGTTATAAAGTCAGATTTCCATGGTTCAGATCCTAGCTCTATCTATCATTCACCACATTCATGACATTGAGGAAGTCACTTAACTTCTTTGAACTCCAGTTTTCTAATCTTCAGTAAGACTTAATAGTATATCCCATCATATAATGCACGGAAATCATATAACATACATGCTATGGTTCGCAAATAATTTGTCTCCCTAGATTCTATGTGATTAAAAGCTTCATTCCAATTAGGGTAGCATTAGGAGGTGGTGGAACCTTAGGACATTTGGGAGAATGCCCTTAGGAAGGATTAAGGTAATTCTTTCATGACCTCAAGGTAGTTCTTAACAGAGAGGGTTATTACAAAAGCCTGAGCCTGTTCCATCCATTTATTTCTACTTTCTGGTATGAGATGTGATCCTTCCTCCACATGTATTCTACCATGTGCTGTTTGTCATAGGGCACTAACCAGAGTCTGTTCCATGCCATCCTGAGTTTTTAGTATCTTATTTTCTTCATAAATAGCTTTCCTAGGGGAAATAGCTATGCATTCATCATTATAGGGAAGGAAAACTGACTTACACATATTAGTATCCACTGATAGCAGTTTTCAGGATACGTAAGCACAATAGCACAGCAATTGGGTCTAGGGCATATCTAATATAAAATACCATGGTAATACTATGAATATTAAATTTCTACCATAGGCAGGATTAGCTGAGTGAAGGAATGTAATACATTAAAATAGGCAATTCTGGGTGGTAAAGTAGTGTATAAAGTGCATAAAGGATAAGTTACCTAGATAATACTTTAAAATTTTTGCCATCTTGCATAGTCTTTGCAGACAAGATCTTAATTTCATATGTCCCTTCCAAGAGAAGCCTCTATTCTACAGAGCCATATGAGATGGTGGCATGTCCAGGAAAAACGTTTCTATAGTCAATCCTGAATGTTGCATTCTGCATGCCATCAAATTATTTATAAAGTGGAAAAGGAGAATAAAAACATTTTCTAATGTTAAATACACAGAACATCCACTAATTCAGTTAATCTCAGGAAGCAATTACAGAATTTTCATGATCAAAATAAAGGAGAATCAATAAAACATGTGAGGTAGGAACCAAGAACTTAGCCTGAGGTGAAAAAAGGTCCCAAGTTGATAACTAAGCCTCAGGTCTAGAAAAAATCCAAACAAGACTGGAGCATATTCAGACCATAACATTACCCCAAAATTTATATTAGATCATGGAGGCAGGAAACTGGTCTCTATACTGTATTTGGTTATCTATTGTATTGATTCTTTCATAAAATAATCTGCTTCTTTTTAAGCTCTTATATTTAAATTTATGAATTAATGATACTGTTGGAGGTGTGTGTGTGTGTATGTGTGTGAAAGTGTGTGTGTGCACGCGCGCACACGCGTTGGTCTGATCCTGGGGCTTGAACTCGGCCAGGGCGCTGTCCCTGAACTTTTGTGCTCAAGGCTAGTGATCCACTACTTGAGCCACTACTTCACTTCTGGCTTTTTGGTGTTTCTCGGACTTTCCTGCCCAGGCTAGCTTTGGACTGCAATCCTCACATCTTGTAGCCGTTATAGTGTTTTAAATTTATTTTGGCCACTGATGTAATATAAGAAGTTAATCTCATTACAAAATTCAACCAATGTGTATGTAACTATTTTTTTCTTTTGGTTGTGGGGCTTGAACTCAGAGCCTGGGCACTGTCCCTGAGCTCTTTTGCTCAATGCTAACTTTCTACCACTTTGAGCCATAGCTTCACTTTCGGTTTTCTGGTGGTTAGTTAGAGATAAGAGTCTCAAGGACTTTCTTGCCTGGGCTGGCTTTGAACCACAGTCCTCAGATCTCAGCCTCCTAAGTAGCCAGGATTACAGTTGCGAGCCACCCACACCTGACTTGTAACTAAAGTCTCTTAATTATCGTTTCCAAATCCCAGGCCTCTGTCAGAATAAAGCCCTGCTATCTTTGGTCAGTCCTTTCTTGTTTGCTTATTGTGGTTCATTTCTCTTATGTTCACCTAGTTGCTATTTTCCTTGGTATATGGTAGGAATTAGTTTGGTCTCGGGTATAACAATGGAATTTTAAGTGTCACAAACCCTAATTAAGTCATTTATTTCATTTCTAATCCTGTTCTATACTGACCCAGCACAGTAATTTATTCTATATGTTAACAATCTTGATCAGGTCATATTCATATGTTCTTTGAGGATAAGAGAAAATAGCAACATTTAACCTATAAAAAATAGTGTAGAACAAAAAGAGAACTGTAAATCCTAATGGAAAGTGAAAGCAGAAAGGTTGGTATATTAAAATCAATACAAGACACAGTTTCCACAAGTTAAGACCATAGAGTGTATATATAGAGTGAAATGGTAATTCATCTGGATGAAATAGAAAAAAATGGAAGAGTTGGACACTGGTGGCTCATGCCTGTAATCCTAGCTACTAAGGAGGCTGAGATCTAAGAATTGCAGTTCAAAGTCAGCCCAGGAAGGAAAGTCCATGAGACTCTTATCTGCAGTTAACCACCAGAAAACCAGAAATGGCTAGCTTTGAGCAAAAGAGCTCAGGGACAGCACCCAGTCCCTGAGTTTAAGCCCCATGATCAACAAAAAAAGAAGAAAGAATTATAAGGAAGTATTACTTAATTGAAGATGACCAGTTTCTGAATGTGTATTCTGATAAAAATTTATTCACAAAAGCAGGCATCTAGCCAAGAGCCATACTGAGCCGGCTCCTGGTGTAGCTGGTCACCTTCAGTGTCTTTAATGAAACTTCAAAAGATGACCTGTTTTTAACATAGTGGACAAAAGCTTTTTTCCACTTTTTTCCTGTTCATTTCTTTCTTTCTTTCTTTCTTTCTTTCTTTCTTTCTTTCTTTCTTTCTTTCTTTCTTTCTTTCTTTCTTTCTTTCTTTCTTTCTTTCTTTCTTTCTTTCTTTCTTTCTTTCTTTCTTTCTTTCTTTCTTTCTTGCCAGTCATGGGGCTTGAACTTGGGGCCTGGGTGCTGTCCCTTGGCTCTTTCACACAAGGCTAGTGCTCTACTTCTTTGACCCACAGAGCCATTTCTTTTCCTTTTCATTTCAGAAATCATCCCAGAGACAGAACACAAACTCTACATTCAATCAAACTAATAAAAATCCTGATGCTAAGAAAATACAAAATAGTGTAAGTGCAATCAATGTCAAAAAGGTATTAGAAGATCCAGAGAGTGGCTACTTATGGCTTGCATATTTCAGAAAAGTCCAGGAGGGCATATTTTTTAGTAGTGTCAAACTTTGATTTAAAATATTTATTACAAAAATGAGATCAAGGTATACAAGCTATTATCAGTGACTTTGCTGGACTTCTTTCAACACAAGCCTCAAGAAATAGACCCAAGCAAATAATTATCTACTCTAGCCACTTTTGCAGTAAAGTTTGTTTTGTAAATGATGGACGGAAGGAAATACAAACAACCCTACAACCTTGATCTTGATGGACTTGAGAGAAATTATACTGACAATATAATCACCTGTCAAAGAAAGAAATCCTGCTAGCTTGACTCCTGAGGAATGGATTAAAAATATGGCATATAAGCACAATGGAATTTTTACTCAGCCATAAAGAAGAATGAAATTGTGTTATTTGCTGGAAAGTGATAGAACTGAATATCATCATATTAAGTAAAATAAGCCAGTCCCAAAAGACAAGTATCTCATGAAACTAGTAGAAAACAAAATGAAACAAAAACAAGGTCATAAAAGTAAGTAGGGGACTACTAGAAGTAAAAATGAAGTAGATGTAGAGTACATTAGAGGACGTTAATATGACGAAAGTACATCATATGTACATATGGAAATAGGATGAAACCCTTTACTATGTACAATTTAACATAAACCAGCAAAATCATTAAAAATGTGAAAAGTATATAAATGGCTATTGAAACAATCATAACAGTTGATGAAAGGATAAAATAAATAACTAACCTGGATTTTCCATTGACATGAAGACAGTTTCCCCTGAGAATGGGAATAGGGTAAGTGTATCTTCATAGACCATTTTATGTTTGAAGGTATATCCAGAGATGAAGACAGATAAGAAGTCAGTCTGTGCTCCAACACTCAGAATGTACCAGTATGCCACCTCATGCAAACAAACTGATAACTGCAAGCTATCAAAAACATAGCCATTTATGCCTGCAAATGCAATAGGGAACAAGAGGTTTAGCAGTATCCTGGATTTATTCTTTGGATTATGATTGTCATGATATAATTAGAACTCATTATATTTTATGCCCATCACCTCCTAGGAAGAGATAGCCTTATCCCTATCCAACCAAAGATAGCATTATCCCTCTTGCTTCACAGGCTAGGCCCTCAGTCCTAACAAAGAGAGTCATAGACCATCATGTAACGATGGATTTGAATACTTTATCGGGTGAGGGGGCAGTTTAATGAGGGAGCAAGTATTTGTATTATCTCAGCTATTTCCCTACAAACTGTTTATTGTTTGCAGGGAAGAAATAGAAACTTACACAGAGAAACCAGAAACTTGGCCAACTAATTAGTGTTAACCTCTGGTGATCATTATAAACCTCTAATGATGCTATAAATTCAAGGAAATAAAACATTAGATGTTTGTCTAGTTCCCTGTATGGAAGGAAGAAATAAAATACGTAAAATGCAGTGTTGGTTGGTGCAACTGGAATGTCAGCTAGCAGTTACAGAAATGTATCAGTGTGAAATAGCTAGAATTTCATAATGTCACTCTGGTTATGTAAGAATAAATATTCATAGGAAATATATAATGAAGTATAAAGAAATATAATGGCATGATATCTGCAACTTGTATCAAGTGGAAAATAAGTAGTAAAAGTACATATGGCTAGGTACCAGTGACTCACACCTGTAACTTAGCTACTGAGGAGGATGAGATCTGAGGATTATGGTTTGAAGCCAGCCAAAGCAGGAAAGTCCATGAGACTCTTTAAAAATGTTTCTTTTAATTATCTTCAAATAATTGTACAAAGGAGCTGCCATTCTACAAAACAGTTTATGAATACAATATGTTTTGATCAATGTTACCCCTTTCAACATCTCACCCATCCCATCCAACCCTCTCTTTTCTTAATTTTGTAGAATATACATTGAATTTTTGAGTGCATTAGCCCCCCCACCCTCCATGACCATCTGTTCTCCAATTCACCATCTGAAAGCAGGAAGGAAGTGGAAGTGAGCAAAAAAACTCAGGGATAGCACCCAGACCTTGAGCTCAAACCCCAGGACTGGCATAAAAAAATATGTATATAGAGAAAATGATAAAGCTGATTTAGCAAAATGTTAAAAATTGGTAAACCTGGGTAAAAAGTATATACATGTTCTCAGTATAAATTTAAAACATCTTAAGTTTTAAATCACTGGAAATTAAAGAGCTAAGCAGAAGTAACACTGGCTTTAAGGGATATTGTTTCTGAGGTTCTTTTTCATACAGATATCCCTCCACCCATTTTATAAACTTTTTTCTACTCTTTCAAGTGCAGTAATCAATGGTCAGAGAGTATATTGCTTTGAATAAATAATTAAAAAATAAGACAGGCTTAGGTCTGTAATCTTAGCTACTCAGGAACCTTAGATATGTGGGTCCCTGTTTAAAGCCAGCCTGAGTAGACAAATCCAAGAGACTCAATTCTAATTAACTAGCAAAAAGCTGGAAGTGGCTTAAAAATGAAAATGTAACTGAAGGGACTAAAAACCTAAAAAGTTTTAGAGGAATAGACTATGAATCTGAATGATAACAGGCCACTACTAGTAGAAATTTAAGCTAAGCCATAGAACCGGTGGCTCACACCTGTAATCCTAGCTACTCAGGAGGCTGAGATCTGAAGATCGCAGTTCAAAACCAGCCTGGGCAGGAAAGTCTGTGAAACTCTTATCTCCAATTAAATACCAGAAAACTGGAAGTGATGCTGTGGCTCAAGTGGTAGTGCACTTGCCTTGAGCTGAAGAGCTCAGGGACAGCACCCAGGCCCAGAGTTCAAGCACCACAACCACCACCAACAACAGAAAAAGAAATTTAAGCTAAATACATGGCTCAACTTGAAGCTAAAGGGCTAAACTTTCAGAAAAGATGCACAGAATTAAGTAAGTCACATACTGGCAGGTGAGTATAACCAATAATATGACTTTTTAGGGCTTTTGGACAGTCTTTGCATGCATTTTGTTCAGGATTTTAGTTTCATTTAGGGAATAAATGGGATGAAGTTTGTTTATTCTGTCTTAAACAGATTCAAAATTTCAAAAGGCATGCATTTTTGTTTTAATGGGTGGAGTACAGTCTTCCAAAAGACTATACTAGCCAGGTGCTGATGGTTCACACTGTAATACTAACACTTAGGAGGTTGAGATCTGAGAATCACAGTTTAAAGCTATTCCTGGCAGGACGGTTTGTGAGATTCATCTCCAATTAAGCACCTAAAGAGCTGGAAGTGGTAGAGCACTAGCCTTGAGGAAAAAAAAAGTGCAGGGACAGGCTCAGGCCCTGAGTTCAAGCCCCAGGAGAGAGAGAGAAAGAGAGAGAGAGAGAGAAAGACACACACACATGGGGGGGGGGGGCGAGGAAGGGAAGGGAGAGGGGAGAGGGAAGAGAAAATACTAGCTATCCACTAGCATTTTGAGAGAATATTCTTTGATTTATAGGCCCTCTAGTGGTCATAATTTCTACTTCATTTATTTTGCCTTTCCTGGTAGGGTAGTGAGATTATAACCATGCTTTTAACTATTCAGACGTGTATGTATAAACAATTTACAAATGTATTTGATAGACTGAATTATGTCCTAATTCCCAAGACTTCAAAGTGTGACTGTTTTTGAAGATGAGTCTTTAAAGATACAATTAGTTAAAATAAGGTCAGTGGGATGTGCAGTAACCTTATAAGAAGAGATTATAATGCAGTCAGCCAGGAACATAGGGAAGACCATGTGAGGATACAGAGAGAGACAACCTCTGCAAGTCAAAGAAGAAAGTAAGCCTACCAGCACCTTCCAGCTTCCAGAACTGTGAGAACATAAGTCTCTGATATAAACATGGAGAAAATATGTTTTTAAATGAATTAATTGGGCATGCAATAATTGGAAAGCTATAATATGGGTGGTAAGAAAGAGGATGCAGCCAAGTAAACATTGAAAGAAAAAAATGTGACTACATTTTAAAAATATGAATGATAAGCTCATTTGTGCACTTGATTATACATTTGCAGATAACAAGTTTTAAAGAAACATTACTTGCATGATTCTTGATCTCCTTCACTATCTTGGTATTTTTTGGTGGTGTCCATTTTCCTTTATACAACATCCATTGTATGTAAGTGGTACTTTACTCACTGTGCATTATGTTTGAGGCCTGGAACTCTGGATCCTTTGGCTGCACTGCAGCTGTGTTGGAGAGGAAGTGCTGCATATTCTCCGTGAGGTACCAGCTTTGATTTTCATCAAATACAGAAAACAGGATGACATTTCTCTTGTCTGACATCATCTGTTAATTACATGTATTGAAAAAGAGAACGAAATGATATTGTGAGTGAGGAAGTGAAATTCTGTGATGGAATACACTAATCCTCTGGTTCAAATTGCATTTCCTCTTGAGTTGTTGGGGAGTCATGTCAGGAGAGGGGCTCAAAGACCTCTGTCTGGGATAGCACAAGACACTGCAATTTTATATTTCCAAATCTCAATCCCAACATCACATTCACTAAACCAAAGGACCATCCAGTGAATCTGTATGTACCCATGAAACTATGCAGGACTGAGACTCAAATTCCCATTTGCAGACAGGGAGTACTGGAGCGAGGACTGCAAGCTGTGAGGCAGCGATGCCACAGTGAGTCTGCAGGTCTACTACTGCCCAGCACAAGTACAGTGAGGAATGGGTTGAGGTATGAACACCATGCCAAATGGAAAGACAGAGCCACCTAGAATCCTGGGTTCCATTTGATTTGAGCCCAGTGGAGAGATAATTAGAAGTTGGTGCACACCACAGCAATCTGAGAATTGTGTTAGTGGAGTAGAGAAGGAGCTAAGACTGTGCAGGAGCCTGGCAGATGCAAATTTCCATCAATCCAGTGGAGAGAGAACTTGAAAAACATGAGGGCCACAGTGGTCTGAAGCTTGCCCAACTTGCAAAACTGTTTTCTGTTTACCTGTTGTGAGAGCATCTGGCTCCAGCCTTGCACTGAATGGATGGGCACTCTGCCACTGAGCTAAATTCCCAAATCAAACAACCCACTGTGATCTAACCTGTTCAGACTTTTAAAAATGCTCTAGAGAGAATTCACCTACCTTCACAACAAGGAAGAAGAACCAAAGTTTCCTTCCTTCCTTCCTTCCTTCCTTCCTTCCTTCCTTCCTTCCTTCCTTCCTTCCTTCCTTCCTTCCTTCCTTCCTTCCTTCCCTCCCCCCTCCCTCCCTCCCTTCCTCCCTCCTTTCTTCTTTCTCCCCTCTCCCTCCCTCCCTCTCTCTTTCCCTTCCTTTCCTTCCTTCCTTCCTCCCTCCCTCCCTTCCTTCCTATCTGCCTTTCTTTTACTTCTTGCTGGCTTGCTTTCTCTTTATGCATTTCTTTCTTTTGGTGGCACTGGGACTTGAACTAGGACATCATTTGCTAGGTAGGTACTCTACCACTTGAATGACACTTCTATTCCTTAGTGTTTTTTTAATCTTTCTTTTTTAAAGATGCTATTGTGTTTTTGTTTTTTGTTTTTGTTTTTGTTGGTCGTGGGGCTTGAACTCTGGGCCTGAGCACTGTCCTCAGCTCTTCAGCTCAAGACTAGCACTCTACCACTTGAGCTACAGCGCCACTTCTGGTTTTCTGAGTGGTTGATTGGAGATAAGAGTCTCAAGGACTTTCCTGCCTGGGCTGGCTTTGAACTGTGATCCTCAGATCTCAGACTCCTGAGTAGCTAGGATTACAGGCCTGAGCCACCGGCACCCGGCTAAAGATGCTATTGTTGATGTGTTCATATTAACTTTTCTATTTTGTCTTTCTCTGCACATTTCTTACTGTGCTTAGAACAGCTACTTAGAAGTACTGAGAAGCGTGATATATATAACCAGATAGACCTGTATTTGCCATTTTGTATTAGACCTGCTTGAAGAATGCAGCTGCTATTCTACCTGCCCTTGAGCCCCTGACACTCCTGGATGTGGAGCTGAAATTAACGACCCTCTGGCAGGGAGTACCTGACAAAGTACCTGACACATTCCAGACCACTTTCCCGGGCCTAGGATCGGAGATCGTTGCTGCCTGGCAACCACTTCTCCTAAGTTACCCTAGAAGTACTGTCTAATTAGTTTAGAACACAATAGCTCGCTAGGCTGACTAATTATTAGCCCCAGCCCTTTTCCCGCTTTGTACTGTGCCAATCATCCGCTAGAATTATGATTTAAATTTCCCGCGTGGTGTATTGATTCGTTGCCAATACACACTGAGGCCTTACCCCTACCAAAGAACATATAAAAAGTGCTGTAACCCTGTGCTGGGGGCCTCTCTCTGCACTCGGACATCAGTGCACAGAGGGGTCCATGCTCGAGCTCGTCAATAAACGACTCATTGCCACTTGCATTGATCTTTGGTCTCTGGTGGTCTTTTTAGGCGCTTCAAGTCTCTGGGCATTACAGTACTTTTCTGAGTACTTATTTCTTGCTAAAAAGCACTGACTTGGGCCCATGAATTCACCTAAAAGCAAGAGGAAAACCTTCCGAACCTGCCTCCATTTTACATCTGTCTCCTTTACTCGGAGTCTCTCACTCTCGGGTAACCACCCTGAATTCCAGGAAGGACACAACTAGCTGACAACATCTTTATGACAAAGGAATAAAACTACCCCCCAAGGAAAGGATCAGCAGAGCATGGCAAGACAGACCACCCTAGCCTCAAATGAAGACAATTACCTATAATGAATGAGGCTGCACACTGGAGCAGTAGGAATCCTGTCATGGAACCAGACTGCTCCCTTCTCTGGAACCCTCACCAACCAGAATTTAATTATTAATCAGTACCCATTTTGCCTGGGGCTAGGCATACCTCTTGCCCCTTACCCTAATTCTTCTTCTAACTAAACCTAAAACTCATATTTATACCCTGAAGGTGTTGCGAAATGCTGGTTTTGCCTCTTCCCTCCTTTCCTTTCCCCATTACTCATCTCCTATTTGATATATTGGGGTGAGTGGCTGGACCTGATATGTGGAGCCATTAATGTTGGACCTCTGGCCTTGAACTCTGGTTATATGTCCTCTGTCACTACAATTTCTAATACTTTAACAATATATACTTTCCCCACTTTTATGACTTCTCTTTTCCTTTCTTTTAGTATAAACTCCTAGTTTATCCCATAAGTATACTATACATATTATGATTTTACATTATATATCAATATATCTATATAATATATAGTATATTGTTAAATTATATATTATATACATGCTTATATACACATAATTATATATACTTATAAGTATATAGATATAGTTATGTAGATTTTTATATATTCATATAGATATTAATATATAATTAGAATTACATTTATAAAATTTATATATTTACAAATATATAAATATTCATATTTTTTATAATTTATTTATACAATAGATTATAAATTATAAAGTTATATATTTTATACACTTATATTTATCTGTAATATATACTATAAGTAAGTGTATATACTTATATATGTATATAAGTATACATAATTATATACTGTAATATGTATTTTATAGTACAATAATATATATATACTATATAATTCCTTTTCTTTATAATTTTATTGAGAGGAATAATTGAAGTTTCCAACATTTGTTGTTGGTGTTTTTGTTTTTTGTCAGTCGTGGGGCTTGAACTCTGGGCCTGGGCACCCAGAGTTCAAGGAAAGCTCTTTACTGCTTGAGCCACAGCACCACTTCCAGTTTTCTGGTGGTTAATTGGAGATAAGAGTCTCACAAACATTTCTTCCTGGGCTGGCTTTGAACTGTGATCCTCAGATCTCAGCCTCCTAAGTAGCTAGGATTATAGAGGAGAGCTACCAGCATCCGGCTTCAACTTTTTTTTTTTAACCACATCTAAATAACTGTCTTTTTGTTTTGTTTTGGTGTCAGTTCTAGGACTTAAACTTAGTGCGTGGGCGCTGTCCCTGGGCTCTTTTGCTCAAGACTAGTGTTCTACTACTTGAGATACAGCTCCACCTGTGGCTTTTTTGTTAGTTAATTGAAGATGAGTCTCATGGACTTCCTTGTCCAGGCTAGCTTCAAACCATGATCATCAGATCTCAGCCTTCTGAATAGCTAGGATTACAGGCATGAGCTACTGGCATCTGGCTAACTGGTTGTTTTAAATTGTTCATTTAATTATTGATGTTGTGTTCTTGAATGTTAGAGAAAAATATGCCCAACCTAATATACAAATGGCAGCAGAGAAACACAAATAATATGCAAAAGCAAGACAATATGACTACCTCAAATTCTTATAATAGATCAACAACTTAATTCAAAGATTCTGAGATGGCTAAAATGACAGATGAAGAACTCAAAAATTAGAGAAATGACCAATGACCTCAAAGAGCACTCAAACAGATAATGAATTAAAGAAATCAGAACAGGACAAAGCCAGTTGCTGATGGCTCACACTTGTGATCCTAGCTACTCAGGAGGTAGAGACCTGAGGATCACGGTTTAAAGCTAGCCAGGACAGGAATGTCTGTGAGACTCTTATCTCCAATAAACCACCAGAAAATTGGAAGTGGCTTAAGCTGTGGCTCAAGTGGTAGAGCACGTGCCTTGAACTGAAAAGCTCAGGGACAGCATCCTGGCCCAGAGTTCAAGCCCCACAATTGACAAAAAAGAAAAAGAAAAAAAAAGGAACAGGACATGAAATTCTAAAGTATGGATGAGAATTCAGCAGGGAAATTAAGACTTTTTTTCTGGGGGGGGGGGAGGAAATAGAAATATTGGACATGAAAAGCTCAATAAATCGAATAGAAAACAGAAGTAGAAAGCTTTACTAGTAGATTCGAACATAAAGAAAGAATATGGAGGTTGAAAATAAGAAGGAACTATCACACTCAGACAACAATAAAGAAAGAGAAGAACTCACCTGATTTCCTCTTTGATCTACAGATTCTTTGTAGCAGATAAGGAGAGGGCCAATGAGTCCTGAAGCTAGATCTCTTTCCAGATTAATGAAACTAGAGTAATACCTGGTCAGGCATCGAGGGTCTGATTCAGTTGGCCCATCTTCTACAGTCACTCTCCATTTATACTTGAATATTTCTCCTGGCAGAATTGGAAAATCCTTCAAGTGTTTTACACCTATTCACACCCAAACCCAGAAATAGCTCAGTTAGAATATTATAAACTCTGCATTGGTTATGTTTGTTGTAAAATTAGTTCTGTACATATCTTAAGTTTGCTCTAAAGGTTTCCTTGTACATAGAGAAATAAAACCTAATTTAATCAGCAAATAGTTTGTAACAACATGGAAATATACTTTTGTAGCAAGTAGCTACCTTTCAGGAAATCATAGCTTCTGAACCCCAGCTCATTAGAGGCCAAAAGCTGTCAAAGCAGGATGATATATCTTCCAACTGTGCCCAATTAGGTCATTTGTATAAGTCATTTCATGTTTTCTGGCTATATACAGCCTGAATTATGTGGGGAGGTTAAACATTCAGAATTATAGATGATCCCCATTTTTTCCCAATCAATGAATTATTTCTTTGCTAAAGTAAAAAAAGTCAAATTTAGTTTTTTCATCAAACAATTGTGTTTTTACTTCAAAAGTTTTCCAAATCTGTGTGTACATGTAGTTTCTTAGTAAATTAAAACTTAAGTGGCACCTATTAGATTCAGACAAGCTGGGCACCAGTGGCTCACACCTGTAATCCTAGCTACTCAGGAGGCTTAGCTCTGAAGATCACGGTTCAAAGCCAGTCTGGGCAGGAAAGTCTGTGAGACTCATCTCCAATTAACTACTCAGAAAAAGCTGGAAGTGGTGCTGTAGTGTTAGGGCACTAGCCTTGGCCATAAAGAGGCTCAGGGACAGTGCCCAGGTCCTGAGTTCAAGCCCCAGGACTGGCAAAAAAACAAAAAGATTCAGACAAATAATATTAAGCAATATTCGACTATCACTAGGGGGCAATACAAAAGTACACCCGAGTCTCATTATTAACATATGTGCGATCCTACCTAAGGATGCCTAGAATTTATCTGGTATAACTTTAGGGCCTCAGGTTCTATGACAACAGCTTGGGAAAAACCAGCAGAATTTCAGTTGTTACTAATGCTATGACCTCATCTACATATACCTACATCTACAGGCACATTATCTACAAAACTGAGTTAATATTTACCTTTTGGCAATCTCCCTGAGTGCAGAGGCCTGACATCAGTGATTCCATGAGGATAGATGTTATATGGTCGGCTTGCTTGATTCTTAAATATAATCTAAAAGTATTAATGCGATAGAAGATCAAGTCCTAAGGTGACTAGAGTAAAGAATAAAACTGACCTAACTCCAGAAAACCAAAAGCTACCTGCATCTATGCTATATGATTATGAGCCTAGATAAAGTTAAAAATACTACTTTTCATGAAATTGCTCAGATAGCTACTTGGGTTTTTGGAAGTTTATTTAAAGATTTAATCAAGTGTAGCAAATCAGGGAGAAATAGAGAAGAAAGAAACACTACCTAAAACACTAAGTGGGACCTCAAAATAGTAGGCCTCATCCTGGTATATTTATGCCTTCTAGATAATCCAGTTTAAACCTTTCATAGGCAGATGGTCACCTGATTATCATTTTAATTATTTTACTAAGTTCTTGTTCCTTGTTATGCACATGCCAGCAATGGGTTTGAGGGTAGCTTTGCTATTACACAAATGTGAAGACAATGGACTTAGTTACATGGCATCTCCTTCTTGTGATCTTGAGCATTCTTTTTTGATCAAAAAATTAATTCACCAGAAGCACTCTGTATTCTGAGGCTTCATTACTCTCATAAGGAGATTATATGCTTCATATTTAAAAGAAAAGGTAGGAGTTACGTGCCAGTGGCTGATGCTGTAATCCTAGTTACTGAGGAGTCTGAGATCTGAGGATCACAGTTTGAAGCCAGCCCAGACAGGAAGTCCATGAAACTCTTATCTCCAATTAATCTCCAAAAACCAGAAGTGGAGCCGTAACTCAAGTGGTAGAGCACCAGCATTGAGAAAAAGCAGCTCAGGGACAGCACCCAAGCCTGAGTTCAAACCCCAAGACTGGAATGGATGCACACGCACATGAGTGTAAGCATGCACATGTGCAGGAACACACAATCTACTAGATAGGAAGGTACAAAAGAAAACAATATGCAAATATTAACAGTTATTATTGACAAGGCATGGGGAAAGAGGCACTCATGCATTTTTGGTGGGAATCATAAACAGTAAAGGAATGGTAAGTCAGTTTGGCATTATTTAACAAAATTCCATAGACAATAACCAGTACCCTTCATGACACTTTTGTGCAGGTGAATCCATGCAGTCAACCATCTGCAAATTTTGGGGGAAGAAAACAATTTATTTAAACGTCTGGCAGCTTAATCATAAGTCAGCCAACATTTCCTAGAAAGAGCTTAAGAGTAAATGCTGTAGGGTTTGTCACATATTCTCCTCTCCTCTCCCCTGCTTCTTCTCTTTGCAACATTTTATAAGTGTAAAAGCCCTTCTCTAAGGTCACAGACTGTCCAAAGGTGGCTCTAAATGAAATCTGGTTCATAAACATAGTCTAATAATTCCTACAACACAAAGAATGAAAAAAGTTGTAGATGGATGTGTATCATTCTAAACAGTATTCAAAAGAGTTGATAGTTTTATGGGTAACATTGTTTTTATTCTACATACTCCTTTAAAATATGTAATTAGTATTTATTTGTGTAACATTTATAATTTTTAGAACATTGTCCATTGAAGACAAGGCTGAATTATGAAGTATTGTAGAAACTCAAAATTCTCCAGACTGTCTTCTGATCTGATCTCAGATCATTCCTTAACTTACCAACAGTGTATCTCCAACTTCTCCATAGAGTAAAGGTCCCAAAATTCCTGATTCATACTGAATAGTTTCACGTGTCTTAAAGGTTTCATCTGTGTATGCCATAAATCTAACTTTTTTATACTTTTTACCAATCTGTCGAGGGCCATTTTTCAAGTATTGACTTTTATAACTTCTGTAGAAAAGAAAGACAAAAAGAATGAGAAGTTAAGGAGAAATTTTTAGATAAGGAAAATGAAATTCTAAAATAGCTGAAATGATTGAGTAAAGGCAAAGACTGAGGAAAATCCAAGTATCTCTGCTGCTTAGGTAGTTCCCAAATATGTTAATAGCTGCCTCGGTGTGGATTTTGAATGTTCCCTAAGGGCTTTGCGCAGCTGTGGCTTTATTAGGAGGTGGGGAAATGTTTGGGAGTTGGAGACTACAGGGAGGAAGTTAGCCCCTGGGTAGGGGGGGCGTGCCCTTGGAGGGGATATTGAGATCTGAAGCCCCTTTTCTCCCTCTTGCTTCCAGACTGCCATGAAAAGAATAGGCCTCTCCCATCATGCACTGGCACCATGATGTGTTGAGGAAGAACACAAGTTAGCCACTTAAGGGACAAACAGTTTTTGGAAAAGTTCTCAGAAAACCCACAATCGAAACTGCAATTATACACCTAGCAACTGCCAGTTAGACAAAGGGTTGAGAAACAGGACCCTAGTTACTGGAAAATGGACAGGTTGGTCAAGTTCCTGGAAAAAGCAGCTGTAGGTCATAAACAGTAAAAAAAAAAAAAAAAAATATTGTTGCCTGCATTCCTATGGTTAGTCTTATGTGTCCCAACCAATGATCTACTTGCTATGTATGATTTAACCAATCCTGTAATCACTAAGTTAGAAAGCCCCTACCCTTACTGGAAATGACTATGCCCCTAACCAATGATCCTACCCTGAAACTTGCCCATGAAATGCTGACCAATTATGTAGAAGCCCGTGAACCTTAAGTCAATCATGTAACTGCTAGGATGGAAACCCCCTCCTCTTGCTGGAAACCCTATAAAAACCCTGCTGAACATGTGGCTGGGACTCACAACTCTGACCCACTGCATCGGTGATGATTGTGAGTCCAGGCTCGAGCTTGCAATAAATGGCTCTTGTGTACTTGCATCGGATTCAGCTCCTTGGTGGTCTTTGGGGGTCTGCGGCCTGGCACAACAGATGCACTGTGCTACCAACATGGCAAAACAACTATGAAGCCAAACAAAATAAGCCTTTCCTCCTTTATCAGTCATTTATCTTCGAATTTGGTTACAGTGCTGAAAAGTTGACTATCACAAGACCTTTGTCATTTGATTGCATACATGTACTAACCCTTTCAAGGAGCTCAAGGATTTGCTGGTTTGAAAAACTGAGAAGAACCTTTTGAGCATGGGGGAGAATAGTGCCTATAGTCAAAAGGTATTTGTTTACCCATCATCAGGGGTGAGGATTGAAGGCGCGTAGTCCCACTCCTCTTCCTCAGCAGCAATATAATGAACCCAAGTTTTAGGATGCTTCTTGGCAGCTGAACGAATTTGGAGGAAGGGGGAGTTGTCATCATCAAATCTGAACACATCCATCTCAGAATCAAGATCATCATCATCATCATCATAATCTTCATCTTCATTATTTTTCCTCTGTAGTTGGGGTTCCTCTGGGCAGCTATCTACTTTGATATATGCTTCCATGCCATCTGGAACCAGACAAACCAAACAATATCATACTCCTACAATACTTTCTTGCCTTAACTACTATGACCTCTCTGTTATTAGGTTTTCAAGACTGTCTCCAGACCATCCCTCTTTCTATATCGGTATCCTTTTTAGCCAATCTCCTATATGGATTTATTCCTATATGGATTATCTCTCATTTTATATTTTATTTTCCTGACTTTTGTATTCTTGTGTTCCATGTAAGTTATACTCCTTTCCCAAAACTTATTGGTTTGCTTATTAATATATATAACCAAATTAACTTATTAATTTGCTTTGATATATATATATATATATATTACATATATATATATATATATATTTCTTTTCTGGAACTCATTTTGTGTTTATCAAATTTTGAAACTGAAGTCTTCAGAAACCTTACTTTTTCCTGATAAGCTGTTACTAAATCAATGGTTTGTATCACATGATGAAGTAAATATAGACATCATTATGTAATTGATGGGATATGGAGTTGGTCTGACCTTGACTTTCAAAGGCTGGAAATATAAAATAAGAAGACTTAAGGTGCGTTATTTTCAGCCTTTGAAAACCTAGGCCAGACCAACTTCCCATCTGTTTGGATGGAAAAATGAAGGGTTTTGTGTAAAGTCTAATTTCACAAAGTATTTTAATAAAAAGTAAAGATTAAAATGAGTGAAGAGAGGTTGTCAAGAAGATTAAATAAGTACATACTCCTCTTGCATTGGTCAGGCTCAAACTGGACAATCATCAATCTGCATATAATTAAATGGCCTATGTGCCCATGTGATTTTGTTTCTATATCAAGTTCCTCTTAGCTATCCATTATGATATCTTTCTGCACTAATATCTTCTCAAAAATAATCATAAATATGATCATATAAGATGTTGCTAAGCAAAATGAACCCAAAGATAAGGACACAAGAGGTTTTATCTTTCTTGCTGTTGTTTTTAATGTACTATGTGATTTTTTTTGTTTCTTTTGTATGTTCTTCCCCCATGATATAACCCTCCCCCCTTTTTTGTTTACTGTATTTAAGTCCAGTGCCCTGTATCTTATATATACATTTTTCTGATTTGGGGAGGGGAAGGGAAATAACAAAATGCTGAAACAAGGATACAGGTTGACCCATTGTAACAATGAGATGTACAAGACACTACGTTGAAAATGAACTTTACAACTTTGGGGGGTGGTAAGGGAGGAGTTGAGGAGGTAGGGAGGGAAAGGGATAGTAGGGGAAAACCAAAGGAGGAGGTAACAATGCTCGAAGGAAATGTACTCATCACCCTTATTCATGTAACCATAACCCCTCCGTACTGAATTTTTACAATAAAAATATATATTAAAAATTCATAAATAATATGTAAGAAATGAAAAAGATATCCTACATTCTTTGTGGTAGTGAGATTTAAATTCAGAGTCTCATACTTGCTAGTGCCCCAGACCTAGATATTTCTATTATTAATTACTATAAAAGACTTTGAGGAAATATTTGGTGGATATATGACAAGATCAAATCCCTCCCCTGCCTATACCAGGTTTTGAATTCAGGGCCTTGTGCTTGCTCAGCTTGTGTTCTAACACGAGCCATGCCTCTGGCCTGGCTTCTTGCTGGTTATTTTGGAGATGGAGCCTATGCTAAATGATCCTCCCCTTCTCAGCCTGCTGAGTAGCTAAGATGACAGGCATGAGCTATTGGAGCCCAGCTTCAAATCCCTTTCCTAAGCCACCAAGGAACTTTAAATGAAAGTATTATGAACAAAACTAGTGTTGTTAAACATGAAATATTATGTCTTCCCAAGACATAACAGTTCTTTTTTAATGTTTGCCCCTCTTAAACTCATGCTGAAACTTAATTGCCATTGTGATGTTGTTGGGAGGAAGAAAGGACATTTTAAGTATTTAGGCTCCAGCCTCATGAATGAATTGACACTTATCTCGAGTGAGTTTGTTATCACAGGAAGAGATTGCTCTCCTCCTCTCTGGTCTCTTCTTTTGCTCTTCTGTCATGTGAATCTTTTTGCCACATATGATGTAGCAAGACTTTGTTCAATGATAGTACCCTGATATTGATCCTTCAACAATAATTTGAAACTATAGGTCCTAACTTGCTTACACTAGACCTTTGATCCTTGATAAATTCTCCATCAAGTAGTCCTAGAAGATTTCATGAGGTACCTTATCACCCTAAATCTTTGCCTCCAATCTGTAGCCTTCTTCCATATTATTGAAGCCTAGTTAATGGGATCAGGCTGAGAAACCAATGACACACTGTCCTTCCTGTTTCCCATCTTGCTCATGCCCACGCTACTAATACCCTCTTACACTCAAGGTAAAATCTTTATTCTGAATGCTAGCCACTAAGGGATATTAGTTGAGGTGTAACATAAACTTAACTCTATAATGGCACCCTTTGAAACTCTTATATAGTAATACACTATCCAGTAAATTCCATTATAATTATATATTTATAAAATTCATTTTTAAGATCAAAGATGGTAGTACCATGTTGGTGGGAAGGGATATGACAAAACAGTAGAAATTGCCCAAGGTCCATCAAGAGTGTCTGAGCAGTAAGGAAAGTTATTGGTGATATCTCCAAAGAAGCCTGACGATGGTTCCTCACAAGAAATGTGTGACCTTCTAAAAATATTGAGTGTACTTCAGGGGTAGTTCCCATTCCAATCACATGCCAGTAGACCATTTTCCTGTGGCATCCAATCAGACCTGTAAGATAGAAATAGGACATCTATAGCCAAGAAGAAAATTTGAAGTGGAATATACTTGCTGGGGATAGGATGAACAAATTAACCCTATATATTTTATTGTTACCTTGACTTATAAATGAATTTGCCATGGAAATCAGGTTACTATTAAACCAACAGATCTTGCCAAGGTCACTAATAACCACCATGCTACTAAATCCAGTTTCAGTCTTTGTCTACATCTATTAACATTCAATTCATCTTGAAACTTTCTTCTCCCTTAACCTTTGTAGCAATATCCCTCTGGTTTTGTTTTTATGCTGTCCTCACTCCTGAAACCTCCTAGAATTCCACACTCATAAAACCAAGAACCTTCTCAAATCTCCACTTGGATATCGCATAAAATCCATATTCCTGATCTTGTTTCAAAGTTCAGTTCAAGTGACCTCTAGTCTAGGCCAGACTCCTTTACTATATGCTTACATATAATTATGTGATTTCCACACAGAGTAATTCTTGGTTTATAATTTTGCATTTGTTATTATGACTGTTTATTATATGTCTCCCCATTATGCTATACACTATGAGAAGAGGAACCTAAATGTTTTAAAAATTAATTTCTTAATTCTGAAATTATGCACATCAATTTTGGAATTACTATAAAACACAGAAAAGGTTTAAAAAGAAAATATCCCTCCATCTTTTATTTTTCTTTTGGATTGCTCAATCTCCCAAATTCTTTTTCAATTTACTCTTTAGGTTTTTTTGTGTGTTTGTTTTTTGTCAGTTGTGGGGCTTGAACTCAGGGCCTGGATGCTGTCCCTGAGCTTTTTTTGCTTAAGGTTAGTAGTCTACCACTTGAACCACAGCGCTACTTCTGAGTTTCTGGTGGTTAATTGGAGATGAGAGTCTCATGGACATTCCTGCCTAGGCTGCTTTGAACTGTGATCCTCAGATCTAAACCTCCTGAGTAACTAAGATTGTAAATGTGAGCCACCAGCACCCAGCTACTCTTTAGTTTTACAGTAGTACATATTTAGTGGGTTCTAGGGTCTTCCATTTCTGAAGATGTTTTTGGTCTCCCCCCAAATATGATTCATAGTTGGCCTATAAATTTTCCCTGGAAAAATATTTCTCTTACAGGTATTTCTTCATTTTTATCTGTCTAATTTTTATTACTTCTTATGTTCCTTCCAGAAGAAGCTGCTGTAATATCTTCTTTGTGCTCTTAAATGCCATAATGATAATTCCATGTGGGACTCTTAATTCTTTCTTTTCCTTCCTTCCTTCCTTTCTCCTCCCTTCCTCCCTTCCTTCTTTCCTTCCTTCTTTCCTTTCTTTCTCTTTCTTTCTTTCTTTCCTTCTTTTCCTTCCTTCCTTCCTTTCCTTCCTTCTGTTTTCTTTCCTTCTTCCTTCCTTCCTTCCTTCCTTCCTTTCTTTCTCCTTCCTTCCTTCCTTCCTTCCTTCCTTCCTTCCTTCCTTCCTTCCTTCCTTCCTTCCTTCCTTCTTCTTTCTCTTTCTTTCTTTCTTTCTTTCTTTCTTTCTTTCTTTCTTTCTTTCTTTCTTTCTTTCTTTCTTTCTTTCTTTCTTTCTTTCTTTCTTTCTCTCTTTCTTTTTTCTTTCCTTTTCTTCCTTCCTTCCTTTCTTCTTTCTTTCGGTCAGTCATGGGGCTTAAACTTAGGGCCTGGACACTGTCTCTGACCTTTTCTGCTCAAGGCTAGCATTCAACAACTAGAGCCACAGCTCCACTTTTTTAGGTGGTTAACTGAAGATAAAATCCTCATGGATTTTCCTGACTGGGCTGGGTTTGAACAGCAATTTTCAGATCTCAGACTTGTGAGTAGCTAGGATGACAGGTGTGAGCTACCAGTGTATTTTTTGTTTATCTTGATGGGCAATTTTAGTAGCAAGATGCATATCTCTATTTCTTAACATTCTATTTTGTCTTCTCTGATTTGCAAGTTTATTTTAGAATATATTCTCAATCTTTTACTTTCTGGGAAATTTTCTCTACTTTTCATACTTTCTATCGGAGTTTGTATTGTGACCATCATGTTTCTAATTTTATGAGTATGTTTTTGTTCTGGTTGTTTCTTTTTTATAGACTTCTACTGGTACTTTATTGATGAAATATATTGAGTTATTGTAAAAATACTAATTAGAGCTTCTGACAAATCTTATTCTGATTATTATTTCACTCTTTCTGAAATTATTTTTTGTTTATTTTTGTGTATGTCTTTCATATTTCAGACTTTTCTTAGGTATTAGTTTATCCTTAAATTTTCACTTGTATTTAAGCATAAAGAGACATTTGGTTGTAAGCTCTGTCTGTGTGCATTGGTAGGCTTTCATTTTCAAGTGATATTAAGAGGAATTCGTCATTATTATTTAAGAGTACCAGAGGCCAGAATTCAGTGGGCTTTCATTTTGGGGTGCAGAGCTAGCTGAAAACTGGAGAAGAGGGTATTGTTATTGAATTCAGAAAACCCTGGCATTTGTTGATCAGGTGTACACATACCTGGCAGAGACCTGTTTACATAACCATTGATTGTGTGTATTTTATGCCAGGCCCCAGCAGGTGCAGAATCTGTAGCCTGGGTCAAGGGACCCTTTGGTTCTGAGTACCAGCTCTTACCTGATGAGAGAGAAAGCAAAAATAGAGTCAGCTGAGTTCTATCTCTTGAATTAATCTCCCTTTATCTCTCCTCTTCCTTCTATAGGAGAAAGACTATTTCACACCGTAAGCATGTCGTTCCAGCAAAATAGATAAAGACTCAAAGTAAGAGAAAGAATATAATTACTAATGGCAGACATTTCTTGCTTAAATTGATTATTTTTCCCCAGGCTTATCCATATCAGTAGGTAGGAAAATGACAAAAGATAACTAAGGGAAAGAGACTATTTGGTTACTTTTAGCCCATGAGGCTTTCATTCTACTTATTAGCTTATTTATTTAAAGGGGTTGTCACTCCTAGCTGAGGTCTGAGGATTGTGGTTCAAAGCCAGCCCAGGCAGGAAAGTCCGTGAGACTCTTATCTCCAACTAACCACCAGAAAACTGTAAGTGGTGCTGTGGCTCAATTGGTAGAGTGCTGGCCTTTAGCTGAAGAGCTCAGAGATGGTGCTCAGGCCCAGAGTTCAAGCCCCACGACTGACAAAAAAAATTTAGAAATAAACCTAACCAAAGAAGCAAAAGACCTTTATAATGAAAACTCTAAAATTTTGAAGAAAAAAAATTGAAGGATGACATCAGGAAATGGAAAGATCTTCCATGTTAATGGAAGGTAGAATTAATATTGTAAAAGTGACCACATGGCCAAAAATGACCTACAAATTCAATGCAATTCCCATCAAAATCCTAATGAAGTTCTTTACTGACATGGAGAAAATAATCCAAAAATTCATATGGAACGACGAAAGACCTAGAATAGCAAAGCAATTCTAGGCAAAAAATGTGGGTGGTATCACAATCCAGACCTCAAGCTCTACTACAAAGGTATAATAGCAAGACCAGCTCGGTATTGGCACAAAAATAGACTTGAAGATCAATGGAACAAACTAGAAGACTTGGAAATAAAGCCATATACTTGTGGTTATCTGATATTTGATAAGGGAGCCAAAGATATACAGTGGAAAAAAGATAGGCTCTTCAATAATTGGTGGTGGGAAAACTAGATGTCGATATACAGAGAACTAAAAGTGGATCCCCATTTGTCATGATGCAAAAATACCAACTCAACTCAAAGTAGATCAAAGATCTCAAGGTCAGACCTGAAACCTTGAAAGAACTGCAAGAGGGAGTAGGAAAAACACTAGAACTCATAGACATAGGCAGAAACTTAAAAAAAAAAGAGTCCCAGACAACAATGAGATGTACAAGCCGTTATGCCGAAAAATGAACTTTACAACTTTGGTGTGGCGGGGGGTGGGGGGATGGGAAGTGATGGTAAGGGGAAACAGAAGAGGAGGCAACAATGCTTGATAAGAAATGTACTCATTACCTTGCTCATGTAATTGTAACCCCTCTGTACGGTATTTTCACAATTAAAAAAAATAAGAGTCCCAGGAAAGAGACTTGACCCTGGGATTATATCAAAATAAAATGTTTCTGCACAGCTAAAGACATAGTTGCTAAACTAAAAGGACAGCTGACAGACTAGGAGAAGATCTATACCAGCAACACATCAGACAAGGAGCTCAAGAAACTCACCCCTACCAAAGCTAATAAACAAAATCACTAAATAACCAAAGGAGTTAAGGAGGGATTTCTCAGAAGAGGTAAGCATGGCAAAGAAACACATGAGAAAAGGCTTATCATCCCTAGCCATAAAGGAAATGAAAATCAATACAGCTCTGAGAGTCCAACATCTGAATTTGAACAATAACAAATATTGGGGGAGATGTGGGGCAAAAAGGAACCCTATTGCACTGTTGGTGGGAATGTAAACTAGTACAACCATTCTGGAAAGCAGTCTAAAGGTTCCTCAGAAAACTAAACATAGATCTTCCCTACAAACCAGCCATACCACTCGTAGGCATCTACCCTGAACATCATAAGCCAGAATATGATAAGGACGCCTGCACATCCATGTTCATTGCTGCACTATTCACAACAGCCAAGATATGGAAACAGCCCAGATGCGTCACAATGAGTGGATCAAAAAAATGTGGTACCTATACACAATGGGATTTTACACAGCCATTAGAAAACAATATTATATGCAGGGAGATGGATGGAAATAAAACAAATCATGTTAAGTGAGGTAAACCAAGCTCATTGAGACAAACAGTGCATGTTTTCTCTCATATGCAGAAGCTACATCTAAAATATCCTGGGATGTGATAAATTATATAGGACTCTAGATTCTCATAGTGAGACCAAAGGATGATATTTTTAGGAGAACACAAAGGCACAATACCTATGTGCATCTGATCATATAAAATAATGTTTATTGAAATGAACTCCAGGAAAGAAGAAGTTTTTTTCTTCTTTTCTTTTTTTTGTTCTGTTAGTTCATTTATTTGTCTTTGGGAGTATGAAGGGAGGCACAGAACTGAAGGGCCAAAAGGTGAACAAACCCAGCAGTGATACTCACTAGACACTATGTTGAAAATGGACTATACAACTTGTGGGTGGGGATGAGAGGGAAAAACTTGGAGAGAGCAAGGGAAGGGTGACATTGTTCAAAAGGAAATGTCCTTATTACCTGGCTTATGTAACTTTAACCTCTCTGTATGTCACTACTATAATAACAATAAAAATACTCATTTCAATTTTGGATTTGAGAAAACTGCAGCACAAAAAAATGAAGGAACTTTCCAAATGTTGCATATTTACTAAGAGAGTAAATAAAAGATGTAAGAAGTAGAGCCAATGGTGTTTGTTACCTGTTGCCCAACTCTTTTATCCTTACTTCATACTTGCCAGTGGAATTGAGATTGCATTTTATCCTTAACATTCACTTTCATCCTGTCTCCTTTCTGTTACATAGTAATAGTTTGTGATCTTTCTATATATAAATCCCTTAACAAGCTACCCACATTCTCAAGCACCAGATTAAGGAAATATACTGGATTTCCTTAAAGAAATATATTTGATTTTTTCAGGATTTCAAAATGTTAATTGAAGCTCACTAACCTTCATCAAATACAGCAAAAAGTAGTACAAATTGGTGTAAAGTCTGTGTCCTTTCTTTCTCCAGGCTCCCTGAAAGAAATGAAAAGGTCTTCTGTTCAAAAATCACATCATAGAAATATTGCCAGTAGGCGGCAACATTTCTTCATCAACTGATGGTGAGAGTAAGTACAAGTAACCTGGTCATAATGTCACATACCAGCGACCCCAGCTACTTAGAGATAGAGACAGGAGGATCATGAGTTTGAGGTTACAGCTAGCCTGGGGAAAATTAGTGAAATGCTATCTTAGAAACAAAATATAGTCAAGAAAGTCGAATGTGTGGATAAAGATGTAGAGAGCACTTGCTTGGCATGCGTGTGACCCTTGGTTCAATTCCCAGTATTGTAAAAAGCAAAAAGCAAAAACAAACAAAAACCCCAAACCCATGTATTCCTCTAATTATTGCTAACTTTGTCATAACATTTTTCTTTGGTGCAATGTTTCCTACACAAGTATTTTCTGAGTACTTGATTTAGTTATTAAATAAATTTTGTTTCTGATCATTGCTTTTGTAGAGGACAATTAAAATGAATTACATAAATCAGATGTGGTAGTCCACCTCTAATCCCAGCATATGGGAGGCAGCGGCAGGAGGATTACAAGTTGGAGGCCAGTCTGGCTACATATAGTTCATTCTAGGACAGTCTGGATTATATAGTGAGAGTCTCTCAAAAACAAATTGAAGTAAAAATAAAATGAATTACTGTAAAATGGAATTTAAAAGACATACAAAATAAAAGCCCATATACTAATCACATACACACATATACATCACAACAGAAAAAGAAAAATTATAGCACAATAAACATTGTTAATTGAAAATATATACATAGGCAATTAATATAGGGAACTTCTATTACTCCTGCAATTTTTTTTACATTACTGCAATGTAAAACAGCAAAAAGTCATGAGTGAAACAAACACCTACACTTGATAAAGTGAATTTTCTTAATTTTTAATTGTTGAGTTTGGTGGCTGTGTTTCTTAGTATTATATATCTTTTGTTTGTAGGTTTATTTTCAGTAGGAAGATTTTTGTTAATAACCATTAATGCTTAGAAATAAGAAGTAACTTAAGAGGGGTATAGGACCAAGGGGAGAAAGGTAGATGAATGAAGGAGAGCAGTGGGGAAAGAATACAGTCAAGAATTCATTGTAGGGATGGTAATGTGGCTTAATGGTAGAGTGCTTGCCTATCATGCAGGAAACTCCAAGTTCGATTCCTCAGTACCACATACACAGAAAAACCTGGAAGTGGCATTGTGGCTAGAGTGGTAGAGCGCTAGCCTTGAGCAAAAGAAGCTCAGCGACACTGCCCCAGTCCCTCAGTTGAAGACCCAGGACTGGCAAAAAAAAAAAAAAGAATTCATTGTATATACCATATAGTTAAGAAAAGTAAGGGGAAGGGTAGGTCAAAGTGGGATGAGAATGTTGAAAGAATTAACACTGATCAAGATGCCTTGTGTTAATAAATTGCTTTGTTAAATGCCACCTCCTTTGTTCAACTTCTTGAAGATAAAAAATTTTATTGACTTAAGAAAGTAAAAAACGATATTTTCTCAAGGAAAGTAATGAACATTTGAATAACAAACGATTTCTCTCAAGGACTCTGAAAAACCTCATGGAATAACAAGTCTCTTTGTGTGATTTGTGAATATTTTCTCCCAATATATAGCCTGTTTTTTAAAAAATCATTTTCTTAACATTGTTTTTCACGAAGCAAAAATCATTCATTTTTTGTGTCTTTTAAGAACTCTTCTCTTAAACCTGGATTATTAAGAATTTGAGTTAATATTGGGTAAAGAAGTACAGTTTACATAAAGGTTCATTTTTTTACATATGAGTGTCTATTACCTCACCATTTGTTGAAGAGGCTAGCCTTTCTCCATTGAATTGTTTTTTCATGGCTCTTGTGTGGATCTATTTCTGAACTCTTCATTGGTCTATGAGTCTGTCCTATTCTTTTGTAAAAATACATTTGACTAATCTAGCAACAGTAACTTTCTATGTAAATTGTAGAATCAGCCAGGTGCCAGTGGCTCATGCTGTAATCCTAGCTACTCAGGAAGCTGAGATCTGAGGATCACAATTCAAAGCCAGCCTAGACAGAAAAGTCCATGAGTCTCTTATGTCCAATTAACCATCAGAAAACAGGAAGTGAGGGCTGGGAAGGTGGCTCAGTGGTAGAGCGCTTGCCTTGCATGCCTGAGGTCCTGGGTTCGATTCCTCAGCACCACATAAGAAAAAAAGAAAAAAGCCAGAAGTGGCGCTGTGGCTCAAGTGGTAGAGTGCTAGCCTTGAGCTGAAGAGCTGAGGGACAGCGCCTAGGCCAGAGTTCAAGCCCCAGGACCGGAAACCCCCCCCAAAAAAACAAACAAACAGGAAGTGGCATTGTGGCTCAAGTGCTAGAGTGTCAGCCTTGAGCTGAAGAGCTCAGGGACAGCGCCCAGGCCCTGAGTTCAAGCCCCAGGACCAGAATTTGTTTGTTTGTTTGTTTTTTAGAATCGGTCTATATAAACAAAAATTTATATTGGATTTTTTGGGGAAGTATTGAGTATTGAACCCAGGACCTCATGCCTTCTAGGAAAGTGCTTTACATTTGACCCTTGGGCCCCAGCCTGATGTTTAGATTTTGATTGGTATTGTATTAAATATGTATTTTTGGAGATAGTAGACATCTTTAGGTTTAATATTGTAGTCCATGAACTTAGTGTGTTTCTCTACTTATTTAAGTTTTCAATTTCTTTCAACAGTACTTTGTAGTTCTCACTATATGGGCAATGTACATATTTTGCTAAATGTCTACCTACATTTCTTTTTTTTTGGGTCTGGTCGTGGGGCCTGAACTCTGGGCCTGGGCACTGTCCCTCAGCTCTTCAGCTCAAGGCTAGCACTCTACCACTTAGCCACAGTGCCACTTCCAGCTTTTTTCTTTTTGCTTATGTGGTGCTGAGGAATCGAACCCAGGGCCTCATGCATGCAAGGCAAGCACTCTACCACTGAGCCACCTTCCCAGCCCTCTACCTACATTTCTTAAAACCTTTTTGTTTCTAATTGTTCTTTGATATAGACTATAAATGATGTTCATATTTTGATCTTGTATCCTGAAATTTTGTTAAGCTCAGTTATTAGCTATGAGAGTTTTTAAAAAATGTTTTCTGAGATTTTCTATTTGGCCAATCCTGTTGTCTATAAATAATGGATGGAGTTATTTTTCTAATATATTTTTAATGTATGTCATTTATTTATTTTGATGATGATGATAAGGGGATATTTCTATAACATGGAAGGTGAAATTGATATTTCTAGATTCCTGGCATGTTTCTTCCCTCTTCTTTCTGATAAGAGAATCTCTCTCTGTATATAGGACAGGACCTTTTTCTGGGGTAGATTAAGTAAGACATGTTTCTTTCCTATTTCTAATACTTCCATACCACTCAACATTAAGAATAAACTTCCAAAAAAAGAATAAACTTCCTTTCCATTTCCTTTATATGTATGTTTGCATTATCTATCTTTTCTTATGCTTTGCTTTTAACGTATATTATTGATGATGGTTATTATTATTATCATCATCATTATTATTTGGACAGTACAGGAATTAGCACTCAGGGCCTTAAGCTTGCTCAACTTGCTTGCTTATTCTACTGTTACTCTAACACTTGAGCAATGTTTCTGGACAAGTTTTCTGGTTATTTTGGAGATGGAGTCTCCTGTCTGAGTCTTCTGCCTGAGCTGATATTGAACTAAATCCTCTGAATCTCAATCCCCTAAGTAGCTAGGATTATAGAAATGAACCACCAGCACCTGGGTTATATTATTTTTTCTAATGTGTTTTTTTCTTATAAATGTGGTATATATAAAATGTGATATGTGTGTGTATATATAGAAAGAGAAACATAGATATATAGATAAATATAGATATATAGATATATCTCAAGGACAGTGCCCAGGCCCTGAGCTCAAGCTCCAGGACTGGCTAAATAAATAAATAAATAAAATAAAGAGATAGGTAAATAAATAAATAGATAAATAAATAAAATAAAAAATAAAGTATATGCAGGAAATGATTCCAATGATGTAATTCCTTTAAACAACTAATTTACAGTTTAACAACATAAATACCAGAAAGCTGGAGTTGAGGTCAAGGAGAGAGGAGTGGACAAATGGAGAGAGGAAGAGTGGGCAAATGCAGTCAAAAAATTATATTTATCTGTGTATCTATCTGTTAAGACAGAGAGAGAGAGAGAGAGAGAGAGAGAGAGAGAGAGAGAGAGTCTATGTATATAAACCAGCATGAGTCTAACTAAGGATCTACTTAGGATAGGAAGGAAGAAGGAAAAATGAAAGAGGATAATTTTGAGATATACTACCAAAATATATGAAAAGAGCACAAAGCACTCCAATGAAAGTTGTTTATCAATGGGGGACTTGGAGTGGAGGAGAAATAGAAACAAGTTGGGCTAATGAAGGTGAAAAGGAACAAATATGGTTGAAATAGATTGTTGGTATGTATGAAAATAGAATAATGAAGCCTGTTGCAATTTTATTAGAAAGGGGGAAAGGAGAGTAATGTGGGGGAGGCCTGGTTGGAATAGCTTCTATGTGGTTACTTTAGAAATGGTAATGTAACTTCAGATTAGCTCTGGATTGAGAAGTCTGGCTACCCTATGGCACCTGACAGAACTGAGCTAGCTATCTGAGCTGGTCAAGTCCAGGTACCAGACATGTGAATGAAGTCACTGTTGGGAACTTCTCACCTCAGGCCACAGTTTACTACCTGATAAGATAGTCTCAGACAAGATGCTTTCAATTTCTATGAGACCTATAAAACTAGGAGAGATTTAAAGAAGTATTATTGTTGTTTTAAGCCAGTGAATTGTGGGATTGTTCAGTAATAACTAGAACAAAGAAAAAGCTCCAGGGAAGCCAATGCTGGCATAGGATTAAAGTGAAATTACATTAAGTATATTTCCTGAATTCAGATTATGTTACTAAGCAATAAATTAAAAACAGGCAAATAAATGGAAGATTAGTTTTAGAATAACAAGTTATCAGTACAAATAAATGGTTTCTTTTCTCCAATTTTTATGTAGATTTGGCTTACAAATAACAAATGACCCTATGTTACTGAAAGGTGTGTTTACCTCCATGGAACTTCCAAGGAAACTAGCTCAATATTTGTAAAAGGTAAAGGATAGTAGAAACATTATAGAGATAGCCCACAGATTTGAAGTGGAAATGGCAGTTCTTTGAAAACAGCGACCTAATTCTGGATGTTGTCTGCTCTTGAGCCTGGCTTACATTTATTGGCGTTACATAGGATGGATATGCTTTTCTCACAAAATGGATTGTTTTCTTTTCCATAGACATGATGCTAGGGGAAAGAAGCACTTTTTCCAGAAGAAATAAATAACACAAGGTCAGGTGTTTATACTTACCTATTTACTCTGTATCAGTCCTATCCTTTGTAAGCCTTACCTTCCCTACACACCAGCAGAGCTCCAATGAGGCCTGAATTCAGGTCTTTTACCAGGTCCACATGGGAAAGATATGAGTAGGTGAGACATGGTGGGTCAGACGCCATTGGAGCATTTTCTTTCAGGACCTGCCAGACATAGGTATGGCTCTCACCAGGAAAGACTTTATCATCTTCTTTTTCCCTCTGGCTTGTCTGATCATCATATTCAGCTCCTAAAGCAAGAAGGAATAAAATGTTCCTTTCTAGGCCCACTGTGCATATAAGAATTAGAATTACTGAGACTTCTGCTAGGTAACTCTTATCTCATAAAAGTATCCATATTGAGAAATATGTGGGTGAAAGAATGTCTGGAAAGTCACTAAGAAACAGAAAGAAAATTCTTTTTTTTACCTACATACTATTAGACTTGATCCTTCCTGGGAAGTTTATGTGAATAGGAAAGGTTATTGGACTTGTTCCACATGGGAAAAGAGAGGACATAATCCAAATTCAGGGCTTAGAATAAAATTATGATGCTCCTAATTTCATGAAGTTGTTTTCTACTAGGTCTCCAAATGAATCCTTTGACAAGGCCACATTTAAGAGGGAGGTTTATATGTCATGATGGCATAATTAATCAATCCCAATACAGTCTCAAGGACTGACCTATTCCTCCATCTTTTCCTGACTGAGACTCTGAGTACCTAATGAAAACCTTGGAGGCACTCCAGTTATTGGATGAAAAACTTTTGTCTATCCAGATCTGAGATGAGCCACTTCATATATGATAGATGAGATTTTGTCACATCTGTCAAGTTGAATGCTATCCTATAGAAATAAAACATGAGCACATGTGCAATTTTAAATTTTCTGGTTGCCAAATTAACAAAAGTGAAGGAAAGTGTGGACATTATTTTCACTAATGTATTTCATTTAATCCATTGTACCAAAAGATTGTAATTTCAACATGTATCCATAAACAAAGAGTAGAGGATTTTGCATTCTTTTTTTGCCAAGCCTTTCAGATGTAGTATGTATTTTACAGTGTCTTAACTATAATTTACCACATTTCAAGTGGCTTGTGGGTGCCATATTGAACTGTGCAATATAGACTGTGGCTAGTGTCAGCTGGTTGAATTAGATTAGCTATTTCACTTGGAATGTGGAAATGTAGAATCCATGAGCCAGTAGGATCTTTTGTTATATATCTGGCCTTCATGCCAAGGAAACATCCTTTTTGCTGTCCAAGTTCTTGCAATTCTCAAGATCAGCTTGTAGAGATATTTCTGGATTCCTGGCATGTTTCTTCCCTCTTCTTTCTGATAAGAGAATCTCTCTCTGTATATAGGACAGGACCTTTTTCTGGGGTAGATTAAGTAAGACATGTTTCTTTCCTATTTCTAATACTTCCATACCACTCAACATTAAGAATAAACTTCCAAAAAAAGAATAAACTTCCTTTCCACCTCTGGATCATTGTCTGTAAAAACAAGGCAAGCCACTGGCCATTGATCAAAACAAACTAAGCAACTCAATGGTAGCAATGGGAGGGAGGGAATGAGTGGGAAAGAAGGAACAACTGGGCTGGGAAGGTGGCTCAGTGGTAAAGTGCTTTCCTTGCTTGCATGAGGCCCTGTGTTCCATTCGTCAGCACCACAAAAGCAGAAAAAGTCGGAAGTGGGCTGTGGCTCAAGTGATAGAGCACTAGCCTTCAGCTGAAGAGCTGAGGGACAGTGTTCAGGCCCAAGACCGAGAAGATGTGTGAAGCTTAACTTAACAAAATTAAATTTATATAAAAAAGAGGGAACAGCTGACACTAAGCAAAAGGAAAGAAATGTACATATCATCCAATGTAGAAGAAATAACTATTTTCAAAGCTCACAGAACTCATAACCTTTATTTATTTATTTATTTATTGTTGGTCATGAGGCCTGAACTCTGGGCCTGGGTGCTGTCCCTCAGCTCTTTAGCTCAAGGCTAGCACTCTACCACTTGAGCCACCGTGCCACTTCTAGCTCTTTCTGCTTATGTGGTACTGAGGAATAGAACCCAGGGCCTCATGCATGCAAGACAAGCACTCTACCACTGAGCCACCTTCCCAGTCTCAGAACTCATAAACTTTATAGACCACGATAAAGACAATTTGCCCCATGAAGGTTAGAATGTGTTTGTGACTTTAAGTATCACTATCCCACAATACTGTGCAATTTGTGAAATTTATGTAATCACTTAATCACAATAAAAAAAATTGCAAAAAAACAACAACAAGGCAAGCCTTGAACTTCCAGTGGTCATATATGTCATCATCTTAGAAAAGTCAGCCTGAAAATAAAAGCAAAAAGAAGGAATGTGGAACTGAGATAGTGGAGAAAAAACAGCCATGATGCTAAAGCCATCATCTGAATCCATGAACCCAGCCATACTCAGTTGGCTCCATGGATTTTCTAGTTTTATAAGCAAAATTCAACATTATCTATATGGCAACATTGCACAGTAGTATAGTAGTTTACAGCATAAGTTCTAGAGTTAATGAGCCTAGGTTTGGAACCTTATTCCATCAGTTACTGACTTTCCATAATTGTGTGTGTGTGCGTGCCTGCATGCCTACGTGCTCGCACACACATGCTTGAACTCGGCCTCAAACTCTCACTGGCTCTTTCACTCATGACTAGTTTTCTGCCATTTAAACCATACTTCCAGGTCCAACTGGGATTACATTTATATTCAACAGAATCAATCCAATTCCAGATGTGCCACTATTTTGTTTCTCAAAGGTCTTGTACTGGAGGCCTGGCTCTTGAGATATTGGTTTTAAAACATGTGAACCTTTAAGAAGTAGGGTAAGTTAATAAACTTTCTGTTATTGTAACAAAATAAACAAGACAGCTAACTTACAAAGAAGAAAGGTTAGGTTTTTTGTCTTTTTCTTTTTTGGTACTGGGATTAGAACCCAGGACCTTGCACTTGCTAGACAAATGCTTTGCCACTGAGCTACATCCCAGCCTGAAAGGTTAGTTTTATCTCCCAGTTTCAGAAGCTTCAGCTCATGGTCACCTGTTATTCTATCTGCTCACCAAAAGTAGATGCTAGGCCAGGTGTCAGTGGCTCATGCCTGTAATCCTAGCTACTCAGGAGGCTAAGGGTAATAATTGCAGTTCAAAGCCAGTCAGGACAGAAATGTCCCTGTGAGACTCTTATTTCCAATAAACCACTAGAAAACCGGAAGTGGTGCTGTCGCTCAAGTGGTAGAGCACTCTCCTTGAGCTGAAGAGCTGAGGGACAGCTCCCAGGCCCGGAGTTCAAGCCCCACAATCGACCAAGAAAAAGAAAGGAAGAAAGGAAGGAAGGAAGAAAGAAAGTAGATGCTAGGGTCACACTTTTAGACCCTCAGAAATAAGAGATAAATAAACTTATTACTATAGCACTCAGTCAGGTATTTTTGTTACATAAACCAAAAGTAGAGTAGGTCACCATCACCAAGTATATGCATCTTGGCTTTGTATCTTTAAGACAACAAGAAAAGAGAAAGGCCTTTGACTTACCCTCAGAAGCTTTCCAGTATGATACACCAACAGCTTGAAGACTGACAGGATGAGAAGCCATGTTCTTAAGTGTAATAACCACAGTGTCATAAACTTCAGCCCAGATGGTAGGACCCAGCAGACCTATAAGAACAAAAAGTCCCTGAAAGGCTCTTTGGAGGATGGCACATCAAAAAACTTGTTTTTACAAAAGTAAGTGTCATATTCACAATGGCGCATGTCCCTGGACTATTGCTAAAAAATTGCTTATGCTTGTTGCTAATACCACCTCAGTTACATGATTGTTCTGAGGACTTATTTCTGGAAATTTGTTTAGTACATTCATAATTCAACCAGTAATTTAAGTTACTATAGTCTATAAGAATTTTTCTAACCAAGCATCAGTGGAGTGACATCGCTGTAATCCTAGCTACTCAAGAGGTTAAGATCATGAGGATCATGGTTCAAAGACAGCCTGGGCAGGAAAGTCTGTGAGACTCTTATTTCCAATGAACCACCAAAAAGTTAGAAATAGAGCTGTGGCTCAAGTGGTAAAGCACTAGCCTTAAGCAGGGAAAGCTCAGGGACAGTGCCTAGATGTTAAGTACAAGCCCTAGTACTGGCACAAAAAGTTTTTCTAGGCACTGGATATTTTGCAAATCATATTCTAAACATATGAAGCATATAAAGAACTAAACAAAGATGATTTCTAGATGTTATAAATTCTATTGAAGATGATCATGTGGTAGACAATGATGAAGCAAGAGGCAGAGGATACTTTACAGAAGTCAAGAAGTATGTCTTAGGGGAGTTGGCATTTGAACAGATATCTGACTAGATAAAAAGAAGCAATATTTTAAAATATCTAGTGGAAGAACATTAAAAACAACTAAAAATGCAAAAATTCTTAGTCAAGAATAAGCTCAACTGGGTGCGGGTGGCTCACGTCTTTAATCCATGCTACTCAGGAGGCTGAGATCTCTGGGTTGTGGTTCAAAGCCAGCCCGGGCAGGAAAGTCTATAAGACTCTTATCTCCAATAAACTGTTCAGAAAAAGCTGGAAGTGGCGCTGTGGCTCAAGTAGTAGAGTACCAGCTTTGAGCAAAAGAAGCTCAGGGACAGCGCCCAGCCGTTGAGTTCAAGCCCAGGACCAGCAAAAAGAAAAAAAAAAAAGAGTAAGCTTGACATAGTTAGCTAATGTGGTTGAAGCAAAGCAAATGAGCAGGATAGTGACAGGAAAATAAGATTATAGGCAGGTAGCAACATAGGCCATTTTAATTTAGATTTATTTTTGTTTTAGAAGAAGTAAGACAATTTGGACCTTTTTTGTAGTAATAGTTAACAAGAGCTGGTGATGGCTTAGATGAGGGAAGGAAGGAAGGAGAGAGAAGGAAAAAAAGAAGGTGTACAAGGAAAGAGAGGAGAATAGGAAGACAGCGAACAGAAGAAGAGAGGAGGGGAGGGGAGGAGCAGAGGGAAGAGGAAATATTAAGAATGATTCCTAAGAGTTTGACATTTTACTGGGTGATTATCCATCCATGTCACATAAAATTAATGGGAAATTAATAGTTGTGTTCCACAGGTATTTTAAGTATAAGATGAATATAAAGGCTTATTGAATCAAGTGGAATCAGTAAGTGAAAACATAAAGTGGCTTTGTTTTTCTTAAACCACAGTTTTAAGTTGCATTGTGTGGAATTTCCCATTTAGGTGCTTTAACAAAAACCAGTCTTTTCCATAAACCATTAGGTATTAACAAGCTGTAACATTTTAAGGCACTAACAAGTCCAATCCATTCTTACATTAAACTTCTATTTTCTAGTTAAGTCTGACAGGCTCAGAAACCAATAATAGGTAAAAGTGGTTTGTTGGCAGTTTCATCACTTTCCAAACTCTGTTTCCTAATCTTCCTCCCTAACTGACCACTGCCTCTATGTCCTTTAAGGCAGAAGCAAGCTGAAAAAGATTCAAGACTGTAAGATCTTCCTTGAAAGGGACAGTGGTGAGTGGCATTAGGAACTGAAAATGTAAAGAATGGAATAAACCAAGGACCAAGTTCTGCATGCAGAAGTCAAACAGAGAAGATGGAAAATTTAGCCAGTGTATTTCCCTGACGTGAAGGAAACCTGGCCAAAAGAAAATTCTCTTTGGCAGCTGCCTGCTCTCTTTAACTGCAGCCTCAGGATTGAAAATCCTTGCTAGGAAATAAGATACTCAGTGGTATAATTAGCATTCAGTATTGTTTTTATTACCCATCCAGTGTGGCCTTGGCTTGGTAATGTTGAAAAGACCATCTGTGAACTCTACAAACACAGTCTTTTTGTACATGATGGAGGTGTTGAGTGGAGAAGATCTTGGCATTTTAGGAGGAAATCTGTTGAAAACAAAGGAAAAATCATTCATTTCGATGGATCTTCTTTGAACCCACTGCACATATACACTATCCTCTTCTGCAAATTGGGAATTGTATATGAATCCCTCAAAACAATCCTGATTCTTGTACTTCCACCAAGGTGTTGATCCAGAGGAGCCAACCCACCCCCAATTACTTTCCTATATATGAAAGACAAAAGAGAAGAAATGCATATGTTAACATTCCTACATGTGGTTTGAAAACTATGAAAGTACTTAATAAAGCAGAGAAATAGAATTGGCTAGAAATACTTGTCCGATTTGCTTTCAAATACTTCACTGCCAGCTATAAATTTGCCACAAGAGTTTAGGAGACATGATTGGGAGAGACCTGCTTTAGAAATACTGAAAACATAAATGCACCAAATGCTTTGCATGGAGAAGGCTGTGAGGTCACCTCTGGGAGGAACACAAGTTACCCTCCACACACCAAACCACAAAGATGCTGTGCTAAGTATGAGAAATACATGTAAGCACATGCTGGGGCGAAACCAGCAATTCCTCAAGTTTGTGCCTCAGCTTGAGACAAAGTGGAGACATTTCCACTACAGGAGAATGCCTTTCTAAACTTTCAGGATAATCGGCACAAGTAAGTGACATAATGTTCCAAGATTCACAGATTTTACTCGTTCCTGTTTTTTTTTTGTGGGGCTTTTGTTTGTGTGTTTCCCTTAGGATTTGGCATATAAATCTTGTCAGATATGTTTGGTAATAATTGTCCTTGACATAAACTGTTCCTTCATGTTTTATCTGAAACCAATCAGAAAGCCTATTATATTCACTGGCCATTTCTTAGAAGAATCTGAGCAGCTGCAGGAACAGATAATGTGAAGCTGAGTTTCCTTAGCTGTTTTTTTCAAACGTTAGCAATCACTGTCAGGATGTGTCCAGAGTCAGCTTATCTTGTTAATCATAATGAAATAATTTAGATTATAAAACAATGTGATTAAAATAAAAATGCTACCAACTTCTTCCTTGTAAATACATGTGACTTCCTACACAACAGAAAGATAAATAATAAGTGAGTTAATTCATTAAATTCAATTTTAAACTCACAATATTATTTATTATGCTTTAGGCTACTATATTGAGACTGCAGTATGAAGTACAGTATATGATGTATAATTGTCTCAATATTAAAATTGAGACCAAGGTTAAAATAAAAATGACTACTTGTTCAATTAATACTAGGCTACTGACCATCTGAATCGCTAAGATCATTAATTGTACTCAAATGAATGCTATATATACATTATAAAATAAATTTGGGTCCCTTCCTTACACCATACATGAAAAATAACTCAAAGCAGATCAATGACCTTAATATAGGGACTAAATATATAAAGTTCTTTGAAGAAAATGTAGGTAAAATCTTTGTGAGTTAGACTTGGTAATGATTTGGTTTCATATAATATCAAAAGCACAAGTAACCAAAGGGGAAAACTGTGCTTCATGAAGTGAATTGGACTTTATCAAAATGAAAATTTTTGTGCTTCAGGGCCAGGCACTGGCAGCTGATGCATTGATCCTTGCTGCTCAGGAGGCTGAGATCTTGGGATCCAGGTTTTAGGGCAGCCCAGCAAGAAAGTCTGTGAGACTTGTATCTCCAATTATCAAAAAGCCAGGAAGGGGATCTGTAGCTCAAGTGCTAGAGTGCTAGCATTGAGCTATAAATCTCAGGGACAGGACCAAGGCCCTTGAGTTTAAGCCCCAGGATCAGCTCACACAAAAAGATACTATTAGGAAAATGTAAAGACTACATACAGAATGTGCCAACTGTTTTTTACCAGTTAAAAGATTTAACTCAAGTAAAATATTTCAATAGATGTTTCTCTAAAGATATACAAATGATCAATAAGTACATGAAAGAACACATAATGCAATTACTCAGATAAATACAAATGTAAAACACAATAAGATGCCATTTCATCCCTACTAGTGTGGCTATAATAGAAAACATAGTGCAACGAGTGTTGGTGTGGATATGGAAAAAATAGAATACTCATACACTCCTAACAGGCGTGTAAAATGGAGTGGCTGCTTAGCAAAACAGCTTGGCAGTCCCTCACAAAGTTAAATTTAGAATGACCATATGACATAGAAACTCTACTCCTAACCAACTGGAGTGACTCAAGTGGTAGAGAGCCAGCCTGAGCAAGAAACTCTACTTGTAAGTACAAATCAAAGCATACATCCACACAAAGATTTGCACTTGAATATTCTTAGGCGCATTACCCAGAATAGTCCAAATGTGTATATTCAGTGGAATATTTATTCAGCCATGAAAAGGAATGAAGGTGCAATACATAAACCTTTATATATTTTATCCAATGGTGAACAGTGGGATTTCTTATATAAAAAAAAGAATATTAAGTAGATGAGTGGATCAAAAATGTGGTACCTATACACAATGGAATTTTACACAGCCATTAGAAAGAATAAAATAATGCCATTTGCAGGGAAATGGATGGAGCTAGACCAAATCATGTTAAGTGAGGTAAGCCAAGCTCAGAGAGACAAACTGCACATGTTCCCTCTGATATGCGGAAATTAGATCTAAAATACACTGGAATATGATAAATTATACAGGATTCTAGATACTCATACACAGTAAGGCCAAAAGAGGATAGTCTTAAGAGAGGAAATGCAAAGGCACAAGGCCTAAGTGCCTCTTCATATTTATATAAAATAACATATATACTGAAATGAACTAAAAGACATGGAAACAAAAGACATTTTTCTCCAGGCTGGGAAGGTGGCTCAGTGGTAGAGTGCTTGCCTTGCATGCCTGAGGCCCTGGGTTCGATTCCTCAGCACCACATAAGCAAAAAAGAAAAAAGCCGGAAGTGGTGCTGTGGCTCAAGTGGTAGAGCACTAGCCTTGAGCTGAAGAGCTGAGGGACAGCGCCCAGGCCCAGAGTTCAGGCCCCATGACAGGACCCCCCCCCCCCCAAAAAAAGACATTTTTCTCTCTGTCTTCCTTCCTTTATCTCCTTCCTTTCTTTCTTTCTTTCTTTCTTTCTTTCTTTCTTTCTTTCTTTCTTTCTTTCTTTCTTTCTTTCTTCTTCCTTCCTTCCTTCCTCCCTCCCTCCCTCCCACCTTCCCTCCATCCCCCCCTCTCTCTTTCTTTTGATTTTAGTCTTCTTTTATCAATGCATCAGCTATCAGTGCCTGGCCCTGATGGTATCTTTTGAAGCACAAAAATTTTCATTTTGATAAAGTCCAATTGACTTCACGAAGTACAATTTTCCCCTTTGGTTACTTTTGATTCCCTTTTAGTTACTTTTGATATTATATGTAAATAAGTCATTACCAAGTCTAACTCACAAAAATTTTACCTATATTTTCCTCAAAGAACTGTACATTTAGTACCTATATTAAAGTCACTGATCTGCTTTGAGTTACTTTTTATGTATTGTGTGAGGAAGGGATTCAAATTTATTTTAAAATGCTTATTTTATAATGATTCTGTCTTATTTACCTTATGTATGGTGTGTTCAAGTGTATATCTTCAGGCGGGTTGGGGGAGTACAGAACTTGGGGTAAAAAGGGTGGAAAGTTCAGCAATGGAGCTCACTAGACACTGGTTAAAGTGAACTGTAAAACTTGTGGGTAGAGATGGGAGAGAGGGACTGGGAGAGAATGAGGGAACAGAAGACACTGTACAAAAGGAAATGTACTCCACCTGACTCATGTAAATGTAATCCCTCCGTACATTACCTCTATAATAACAATAAAGTAAATGAACAAAAAAGAAATTAATGTGCAGTTTGCCAATAAAACAGCATAGTTAACAATCAATCGTTCTTTTCTTCTCTGCTCAATAAAAAAGAAAACCACACCAAATGCTATAGAATACAGAAATGGTGTTCTCAGAGAATGGCGAATAGCTTTAAATACTTTCAGTATAAAAAACAACAAATAAAAAGAAAAAAAATACTACTTTTTCTATGTATTAAAAAAGTGCAGCGATCCATAAGAAAGCCATAGTCAGTAAGTATTAAATCTAAAAATCAATAGTTTTAAATATCTACGAAAAACAAACAAAAAGTGTATTCTTTGGAAAGATTCCTATCAACAACAAAATAGACAAATCCTTGGCAAACTTAATCACAGAAAAAAGATAACAAAGATACAAGAATTTAGTAGTGAGAAAGTGCACAAACCTAGGGACAATGTGGAGGAAAGAATCATCAAGGCATGTTGTACAACACTGTGACAACAAAATTGAAAAATAAAAGCTGGAGAGGAGATTGCAAATGTTACCAGTACCAAGTGGATTCATGCGAGTCTTATCAAACTTTTAAATAATAGATTATTGTAATACTGTTTGAACTGCTTTAGGCAATAGAAGAGAATGGAATATTCATTAATGTATTTAATAAATCTATCCAATATTTAATACCAACCTCAATAAACATAGTACAAAATAAAGCTATAGAGCTTGACATAGTGGTTCATTCCTGTAACCTGAGCACTCAGGAGGCTGAGGCACAAGGATCAAGTTTGAGGCCAACCTAGAGAATAGAAAGTTACAAGCCAGGGTGGGATAAATAGTAAGACTATGTTTCAAAAAGAAACCAATAAAGAAGAAGTTATAGATCAATCCACATATTAAGGCACACAGTGCTGGTCCTGGGGCTTGAATTCAAGGCTTGGGTGCTGTCCCTGAGCATTTTGCCCAAAGCTGGCACTCTACCACTTGAGCCACAGCTCTATTTCTGTCTTTTTGGTGGTCAATTGCAGGTAAGAGTCTCATAGACTTTCCTGCCTGGGCTGGCTTCAAACCATGATCCTCAGATTTGAGCCTCCTGAGTAGCTAGGATTACAGCCATGAGCCACCAGTGCCTAATGGCACACAGTGGTTAAGGAAAAATTGCACATAGAAGTATAATAACTTATATGAACAGTACATTGTATTCAAGAATGTAAGGGTATTTTGTAAATCTATTAACATAACCATTTACCATCAATATAGTAAAGAGGATAATTCAGATAATACTAGATACTGAAACGTCATTTATAATAATTTTATGTAAATAGAATGAGATAATTTACTGAAACTAAACAGAAAATGTTATTTTAAATAGCAAAATATTAAGGCTATCACAAGTGAAATCCTGGGACTGACAGGAATGCTTGCTTGTGCTGTAATGATTAGCATTTCTTTGTTTCCCAACAAATCAATAAAGTAAAAAGTGAAGCAACAATCTCTAAACATTGCAAAATAAGTAAAAGAATCTTTCTCACTTAGCTATGATTCATTAAAAACTCTAGCATACAATTATTACAATTAGTCACAGAATTTGGTAAGTTTCAAAGTACATAGAGATAATTGTGATCATATTAAAATTTGTGTATATACGATGACATTTCAGTTAAAGTTACAGCAGGACTTGCTCTTTTTAATTGGCATAGATGCATGCACACCTTCCCTGAAAATATTGAGTAAGAAGCTTAAGTAAGCATCAGTTAACTATTCTTGCTTGATATCTGTATGTTCCTCCAACCAGTCACATTTTCACAATGCTGGCCAGTACTTAATTGGGCTTTACAAGATTTTACCTTGTGTCCACATGCAGGTCATTGAGTAGATCACTTTGTACATAGTCCCAGGACAGTTCCACAGCACCCAGGTAGTATCTTCTGGTGGCGCTAAAACTTACTTGTAAAAGGCACAGAAAGAAGGAGGTAGAAAGCTCTATTTGCATGGCTGTTATTTCTAGCAAACATTCAACTAGAGAAGTGAAAAATGAACTCTTCTAGGAAATACTTTTAGCTTCCAGGAGAAAAAAAAAAAAGGTAAAATGTCTATGATTTAGTGTAAAGTCCTAAAAGTTTTGCAGAGAAATTTAAGGACTTGCCTCAGTGAAAGTGAGAGCAGCAGTAGCACTGAACAAGGCAGAAAAACTGCTTCCTTTTTGGCAGTGGGAAAGCATCCACAGGAAGAACTAGAGTAGGAAACGGTGGCGGAGCTAGGGTTTAACCCATTAGTCTCTGAGAGCAACAGAGGGCACAGACTGCGTGATGTAAATTAGAGCCCTTAAGGAGAGAAGGTGAGAGATGGGAGGGGGGTGTCATGGTGAAAGGAGGTTTAATTTGTATTCGCCTTCCTAGTCTTCTGAAGTTAGGACTGTTGAAAATTCTGGAATTCACTTGTATAAGTGGCAGTCTCAAAAGAGTGAGCTAAAACCCTTACAGAAACTTAGGGGTTTTAGCTGTCTTGGCCACACTGTTCTTTAAATTTTCAAGCACACTCATTGATGAAAATCTGCTTTGTTCTCATAAAACAATATTGTTCCCATGGCTTGGCCCACTGACTGCCCTTCCCCCAGGGGACCCTCCTGAAATTCTCCAGCTCAGTCTCCAGCCTAGAATCTTAATCTAAATGTGAAAGCCCAGTCTCCAACCCTACCCCCACTGCACTCCCAGGTGATAGGTCCCTATTCTGTGGGGCAGAGGTCTTAAAGAACAGATTCCTGACCCGTGGCATCAGAAACTCCTGAAAGTCTTTGAGCCCTGGAGCTACGTGTGACACCCTGTCTCCCACCATATGAACATTTGAGCTCACAGTGACCCTGTTCTGCAAGCATTACCTTACTTAAGCCCTTCCACCCCTGCCTCCATTAGGCCATGTCTGCCTGGCCTCCTCACTCTCCTCAGGTCACCATGGTGTCCCTTTTCAACTTTCCATTAAAGTTGATCTGGTCTGCTGAGCTCATTTTTTGCTCTTTCTTCTGATGCCCTTGTGACTGTTTCTCAACAATCATGTCACTAGATGTGAACAATATTTCCTCCCATATGTGTAGTAAGCCCCATTGGCACACATCCTTGAAGTCTTGGTCTAAATCTGCCTTCTTTGAGAGCTTTGAAGATGGACCATTATGGCACCTTCATTTTTCTTGACAGCACTCAAAACTAATTCACATTATTTTTGTGTGATTGTTGTTACCTGATGCCTTTTATGATTGGTTATGTGTGGCTGTCATGCAAGATATATTTACTTGTAGCACATGTAGCCATAAGCTTAAGCAGAGAGTGTAGCCAGGTTAATGCTCGTTGTGGGGGTGAGGAGTTTTGCCAAGGTCTTCCCGGTATAGGAAGTAAGTAGAAGAAAATGGATGAAAGTGTTAGGGAATGAATGAGTGGTGAGTTGTTATCCAGCGTAGATGTCAGCAGGAGGCAGCCTGTTTGATGAACATTTGTTGAGGCCTCCTGTGTGGTAGCTAATGGTTGCTCTGTGGGAAAAGTGGTTTTAAGTGTTTTGTTATACAAGTTGTTCTTGTCTTCATTTTATGGGCACTGGATTTGAAGTGCAGAGACATTAGGAAAGTTTCTTGTGGGCACCCAGCTGTGAAGTGGTAGCATTCACACACACACACACACACACACACATACAATCAGGCACCAGAAGGCATCTCCTAACCAGTATAGTATACATGGTCACCTTAGAAATGACTATGACAGTTCCTGCCACCTGGGGGTCTTTGTTCAAGGGGGAGGTCAGATAGGTGGAGTTGCAATACAGCGTGATAGGTAAATGCTGCGGCGCGAGCTCACACACACTGAATCTCTGCGTCAGTTCTGTAGCACAGGTGCAAATGAAGTAACAGGCGCACAGGGGCTAAATGGTTCGCCTGAAGCCTCACCTATTTGATTTGAAAAGACACGGTTCTAAACATCAGGAGGACAGCAGTGAGAAGCTGGGAGAGGGACAGTACGAAGACATTGTTAGGACTGACGTGTTTTTAAAATGTGTTTCACCACTAAGGCACTGTGGAGAACGTTCACATTCGCGTGGGCGCAGGGAGCTGGGCGTTGCTCGCGGCACTCTCAGGCGCAAGACGGGCAGGTTGCAGGGCGGGCCCGCCGGGCCTGTGACGTTGGCGGCTGGGATTGTGACGCACCGCCCGGGACAGGAAGTAGCCTGGCATAAGTGGCCCTCTTCCGCCACCGCAGTGGGAAAGGAAACATCTCTTTCACGGGCCGGAAGCCACCTGACCACCTTCACCACGGCGCGCTACTCGGCATCCTACCGCGCAGAACCTCTGCGCGTGTCCTCGCGAGACGAACTCGCCGAAATGGCGGCGTCCAGTCAAGGTAAGGAGGGGAGCTCGCGGGAAAGCGTCCCTGGGGAGCCGCCTTTCCGAGCTCCGGAAAGGGGAGGCCCCGCGATGCCGGTGCCTCCTGACCTCCCCCGGGAGACCGAGCGGCGCCCGACACTCGTCCCTGACCCTGCCACTCCGGCTTCTGCCAAGGTCATGCGCCGGGTGGAGCGGAGCGGCTTCGGCGTGTAGACCCCGCCCGGAGACACGCACTCCCTGTTCTCGGAAGCCTTCCGGCCCCCGCGACGAGCTTGTTTGTCCGGTGGGAAGTTCCGCCCAGATGCCTGGCAGCCCGTCAGACGCAGTGGCAGCTCGCCAACTACGCTATTGACGAATTTTAAAAAATGACTCCGTAGAGGATGACACTTTGAAATAGTCTGTTTTAGGTTTCGTCGGCTTACACTAAAGAATATTTCCTCCGATTTCTACTGGAACATTTCGTTTATGCTTTCTTCACTTCTTCTCTGCCTGTCCTGGGGCTTGAATTCAGGGCCTGAGTGATGTCCCTTAGCTTTTGCGTTCATGGCTCCGGAAAAAAAAAAAAAAAAAACAAAAAAAACAACTCACCACTCTTCGGATCGCTAGTTGCTGCTCTCTCTCTCTCTCTCTCTCTCTCTCTCTCTCTGTTTTCTAGTGGTTTATTGGAGATGAGAGTCTCACAGACTTTCCTGCCCAGGCTGGCTTGGAACCGTGATCCTCAGATACCAGCCTCCTGAATAGCTAGGCTTACAGGCGTGAGCCACCGGTGCCTTGTTTCTTTTATTGTTCTTACCTAACTTTGCTATATTTAATATACACTAGTCAGTAGCTACAGGATTCACATACTAAACAGAGCTGTCATCAAAAACTCAGTCATAGCCAGGCAGTGGTGGCTCACAGCTGTGATCGTAGCTACTGTGGAAGCAGACATCCGAGAATGAAAGTTCGAAGCCAGCCTGCACAGGAATGTTCATGACACTCTTATCTTCAGCAACCAAAGCCAGCTTAGGCAGGAGAAGTCTTCAATAAACCATGAGAAAACTGGAAGTGGGGCTGTGGCTCAGTTGGTAGAGTGCTTTCCTTGAGCTAAAGAAGTCAGGGACAGCACGCAGGCCCAGAGTTCAAGACCCTCGACCAACAAAAATTAAAAAGCTCAAGGACTGCACACATACTCTGAGTTCAACCCCCAGGCCTAACAAAAATAAAATTTTAAAAATCAACTATATAAACTTAATGTTAAATGAACTGCATTTTTTTGAAGTGGCTAGGAATTTCAATCCTTAAAACTAATCATTGATTTCTTGGGATGGAGATGTTGGCAAGTAACTTATTTTATTTTACTTATTTGGTTCTTTTTTGGTGCTTGAACCCCATGCCTGGTACTCTCTGTCCCTGCACTGGCAGCTTTACCACTTGATCCACACCTCCAGCCTGGCTTTATACTGGTTATTTTGGAGAGGGAATCTCACTGATACTTTTGTCTGCACTGGCCTTGAACCATGATCAGATTTCAGATTCCTGAGTAGCTAGGATTAGAAATCTGAGCCTGGCTAGTAACTAACTTTTTTTTTTTATGTAGATTTTAGAGGTGTTCCAGGAATGACTGAATGAAATTGGGTAGGTGTACCCTAATGGCTCTCTGATTTAACAGTGCCTCCCCACCCTGTTTTAATTGTGTCACTGTATAATTTGGCATTCAACTCTAATCTTCTTACCCAGCCTCCCAAGTTCAGAGATTACAAGTGTTCGCCACTACACTCCGTTTAATCTCCCTTTTGACTAGATCCACTTACTAAGAAAGGGACTTTGAAAAATTACATTTTAAAACTCATTCTTGTTTTCATTAACAGTTTTTTCTTCAACATACTAATGGTATCTTGTTATAGTACAAATATTTTATTACAAGGCCATCAATAACTCAGTTCCTCAGCATCAGTATTGTAATTCTGCTAAATTGGCATCCACACTTGTTTGTTGAGATGACTTGCTTTCTCCCATTGAATTACCGTGGTGTCATGATATGTGTAAATATATTTTTGGACTCTGTTGTCTCTTTCACTGATATATTTGTGTATTCTTGTGTCAATTCAACACTGTATTGAATGCCATAGTTTGTAAATCTTGAAATTCTATACATGTAGATTGTAGTATAGCTTCATAGGAAGTCTTGAAAAGACTTAAACTCCCCTCCCCACAAGATTATTGTGGCTAGTTATTTTTCCAGATGAATTCAGCAAAGCCAAATAACAGCAACAAAGTCTCCCTTTCCACAAGGTTTTTCTTTTTTTTTTCTTTTGGTGCAAGTCCAGGGGTTTACCTCAGGACCTGTGTATTTTTCCTTTGCTTTTTTTCTTCAAAGCTAGCGCTCTACCACTTAAGCTACAGTTCCACTTCCAACTTTTTGGTGGTTAATTGGAGATGAGTGTCATAGACTGACCTAGAACTGTGATCCTCATAGCTCAGCCTCCTGAGTAGCTATGATTATAGGTGTAAGCTACCAGCATCCAGCTCTTAATTGGTTGTAAATTCGCAAGAACCAGACTAATTCTAGAGTTTGTAGAATTCGAAAATGTTTCTAATACATAATATTTTTAATTTTCTGAAATTACACATCATAATTTCAGTTAATTTACTGTTTTAAAATAGAACAATATTTGGATGTTCTGTATTATAACTTCTTTTTAAAAATTCGCAATCTCGGCCTTAGTGCCAGTGGCTCGTGCCTATAATCCTAGTTACTCAAGAGGCTGAGATCTGAGGACCGAGGTTTGAAGCCAGGTAGGTCAGGAAAGTCCATGACACTCTTATCTCCAGTTAATAACCTTTTGAAAAAGCCAGAAGTGGAGCTGTGGCTCAAGTGGTAGAGTGCTAGCCTTCCATTGAACAAAAATACTCAGGGTCAGCGCCCAAGATCTGAGTTCCAGCCACAGGACCTGGTGCACATGGATACCAAAAAAAAAATCAATCTACAGAAGGTAATGACGTTATAAAAGTAGATATTTTCTTATTTAGTATCTTAATTCTGTTAGGAAACTTTGAGGGAAAATTTGAATCCTTGGACCTTGCAGAATTTGCCCGAAAGCAACCATGGTGGCGCAAGCTGTTTGGACAGGATTCGGGACCATCAGTTGAAAAGTATAGTGTGGCAACTCAGCTGTTAATTGGCGGTGTAACTGGATGGTAAGTGATGGGAATGAAGCCCGGTGGCATTGGTTTGTATTTTTTTTTTGCATGATTTAACATTGTGGTTATAGGTACTTTTTCTTTTAATGAATGAAAACACAGTGACTTTGTTGAAATTGCTCACTGAATATGTATCATTTATCTAAAAATCATGTTAAAATACTATTTGGTATAGTGATAGCTCATGGGCTTTATTGTGTATAATAGTTACTACATGTCAGGCACTGTTTTGGGTGGTTGTTCAGATATCTCATTTTCTACTCACAATAAGTCGTCTGACATTGGTACTGTTACTATCTGTACTCATTTTATAGAAATTGAGGCTCAGAAAGATTAATTTGCCTAAGACCACATAGCTGCTAGTAATAGAATAAGAAGCTTGCTCTGATTAGCCGTGTCAATTGTTAATTTGACACAGCTTTTTGTTTGATTCATGGTAGGTTAAAAATGTGAATTGCAAACTCAGTATGCAAATATCCAATCCAAGTCAGAAATTCTGTAGATGTAAAAAACTTATTGTACAACATAACCCAAATATAGAAAATTGTGAAAACTATAAGGAATAGAGTAAATTCATAATGTAACAGCTGCACAAGTTAAAACATATGTCTGGTACTCCAAAACTCTAAAAGTTGTTATTTTCTTGCTTTTCTTTGTAGTTTCAATCCTATTTATATCACTGAATAATATACTGTAGTTTGCCTGGATTAAACTTTAAAGAAATGTGGTCAGTATTCATTCTTTTGATTATTGCTTTGGGTTTTTTGGGGGGCTTCAGTTGATCTTTTGCATAATCAGCTATGTTGTATATAGCTGTAGTTTTTCATTTTCATCTTATTTAGAATTCCTTTATGAGTATAGTACAATATATTCTTATCCTGTTGGCTGACATTAGAGTTGCTTCAGTTTTTGACTAATACAAACAATGCTGATATGAACCCTTTTATGCACATTTCCCAGTGTGTATGTGTACATGTTTCTGTAAGAGAGTCTATATCTCTGCCTTCCAGGTAACTAAGATTATAGGTATGAGCTACCAGGCATCTAGCTAAGCTAATTTCTTTTATACTCCACCTGTGAGTGAAATCATACAATATTTCTCTTTCTGTGCTTGGCCTATATCACTTTGCACAGTGCTCTCCAGTTTCATCCATACATGATAGTATTCCCTTCTCAATAGCTGAATAGTACTCCAATGCATATATCTTCTACATTTTCTCTATTCATCCATAGATGGACATTTAGGTGATTTCATACTTTGGGTCATGAATAGTTGCAATAAACATTGAAGGGCAGATGTCTGTCTCACATACTGGTTTCAGTTTCTGTTAGGCTATCTTAGGACCTAGCAAGTGTCTGGATTTGGCTCCTAGGCCAGCGTGTGGTTGGTTCTATTTTAGAAAGACTGTTTAGGCTGGTCCGTTGATAGTAGATTCTAGGAGGCAAAATCAGACATCTGGAGACCCAGGGTGGGACCCTGTAATAACAATCTATATCAGAGATCTTGGCATAGGCCAGAACAGATCATATTTAAAGCCAAGGAACTATATGAGAAAATCTAGAAAGTAAGCACACAAAACAGTGCTCATTGTCAGTAATCATCAGGAAGATGCAAAACAAAACCATAATGAGATGTCATGTTACTCCAGCAAGAATAGCCAATGTCAAAATGATTAACAATAGCAGTTGCTGCTGAGGATGTAGAGAAAAGGGAACCTTTTGTTCTGTTGGTGGGCACGTAAACATTATAGCCATTTTGGAAAACAGTATAGAGGTTCCTCAAACTAAAAGTAGAACTGCCATAATGGCCCAACAGTCTCACTCCTGGGTGTATAGCCAAAGGAAATTGAGTCAGTATATGAGAGACATCTGCATTCTCTTGTTTACTGATGCATTATTTATAATAGCCAAGACATAGAAACAACTTTTAGCTGTCAACTGAAAGATGAATAAAAAAAAATATGGTCCATATATTCAGTGACATACTACACACCATAAAAAAATCAAATCAAATATATACAAATTGGTAATAACATGGATGGAACTAGAGGTCATTATGTAAAGTAAGGCTGACAGACACACACACAAAATAGTGCATGATCTCACTGTGAAATCTAAAACCATGCCAAATATATGTGGTGGAGAGGAGGAGAGAGGAGTGGAGATAAAATAGTGATTACCATCGTTGGTGTACAGAAGAGGAAATGTAAAACAAAAAATATAGGAAATATGTAGGATGAATAGTTAATACAGTATCAGGACTATAGGTAATAAGAATGTATTCAGGCCAGCCACTGGTGGCTCATGATTGTAATCCTAGCTAGTCCGGAAGCTGAGATCTAAGGATTGCAATTCAAAGCCAGTCGAGGCAGGAAAGTTCATGAGACTCTTATCTCCAATTAACCACCAGAAAAGTGGAAGTAGTACTGTGGCTCAAAGTGGTAGAGCACTATCCTTGAGCAAGAGAGCTAAGAGACAGTGCCCAGGCCCTTGAGTTCAAGCCCCATGACTGACAAAAAAGAATGTATTCAGGATTGGTTAAATAAATAGATTATAGCTATTCTTGTAACCGTCTATAACTGTGTGAAATGATAGATATGTTAATTTGCTTCATTGTAGTCAACATTTTACTGTGTGTATTTATCTCATATATATGTAAATTTGGTTATCTTTTTAAAAGAAAGAGTAATAATTGTGTCAATAAGTACTGGTTCAAATGAAATGAAGGCTGAGAAGTTCAAATGGAATGAAGTTCAAATCAAATGAAGACCAAGAAGTTAAAATGAAATGAAGACTGAGAAGTTACCACTAATGTTTGGCAAAGGTGAACATGAGAAGTAACCTTGATAAGAATGGTTTCATCTGGGTGCTAGCTACACAGGAGGCTGAAATCTCAGGATTGTGGTTCAAAGTCAGCCTGGGTAGCAAAGTCCATGAGATTCTTATCCAGTTAACCCCCAAAATGCTGGAAATGAAGCGGTGACTTGAGTGGTAGAGCACTAGCCTTGAGGGAAAAAGCTAAGGGACAGTCAGTGCCCAGGCTCTGAGTTCCAGCCCCATTAAATCCTTCCCCCTCTAAAAAAAGTGGTTTTATTGACATCATGGTACAAAAGCCTACAGGAGTGGCTTTGAGAGAATTGACTGAGAAATCAAAAGAGGCAGAAGGTGTAGGCAGCCTACTTGTTTTGATGTAAAGAGAGGCTGAGTAAAGGGAAGATGTCTGGAGAAGTATTGTCTAGAGAAGTTTACTCAGCAGTGGTTAATAATTACAGCATACTTGTGTACAATGAATTAAAAAAAATCTTGGCCTTCATGCAACTTACATTTTAGTATAACAGGAAGATAGATAATAAGAAACAAATCAAGCCGGGTGGCACATGCCTATAATCCTAGCTACTCAGGAGGCTGAGATCTGAGGATCATGGTTCAAAGCCAGCGGGGCAGAAAAGTCCATGAGACTCTTATCTCCAATAAATTACTCAAAAAAGCCAGAAGTGGCACTGTGGTTAAAATGGTGGAGCATTAGCCTTGAGCACAAAGAGGCTCAGAGACAGTGCGCGCAACCCTGAGTTCAAGCCCCAGGACCAGCCAAAAAAAAAAAAAAAAAAATCAAAGAATTACATTTTAACCTCCTCACAGGAGTCTCTACTTTCATCCCTTCATTCAGTCTTTTTTTGCTAGTATTTAAACACACTCAGTTTTTTTGCTCATTCCTGGAGATAAGTGCCTGTCTAGGCTGGCTCCATATTGAGATCTTCAGATCCCAGCCTTCGGAGTAACTAGGATTACAGGCATGAACCATTGGTACCTGGCACTTGGCCATTCAGCCATCTAAACATATAATCTGAGGATTTTAAAGTACTTGCTCTAGACCAAAAAAATACTCAATGTTAGAGCTAAGATTGGATTTTTGGGGGACTGCTTTTGATTCTGCAGAGGGTGGGAAGGAGTCGGATCACCTCCAGGTGGGACATTACATGCATGTTGGTGTATATCTTATCTGATGTTGATTTTGGTTTTGTAGGTGTACTGGCTTCATATTCCAGAAGGTTGGGAAATTGGCTGCAACAGCTGTGGGTGGAGGATTTTTCCTCCTTCAGGTCTGTATATGAAGTATTCCTAAATATTTGGGAATTGTGCTTGCTCATTAAGCAGTATATGATAAGGAATTGTTACCGTGGCTATATTATGCTAGAATAGCTTTTCTACTTTTTTTTTCTTTTTGCTGGTCCTTGAGCTTAAACTCTGAGTTTGGGCACTGTCCCTGAGCTCTTTTTTTTTTTAATTTTTTTGCTCAAGGCTAGCACCCTACCACTTGAGCCACAGCTCCATTTCTGGCTTTTTCTGTGATTAATTGGAGATAAGAGTCTCATGGACTTTCCTGCCCAGGCTAGCTTTGAACTGTAATCCTCAGATCTCAGCCTCCTCAGTAGCTAGGGTTACAGGTGTGAGCCACCACTGCCTAGCCTCTTTGGTTTTTTATATGTTGTAATCCATTTATCTGTCTACAAAAATCTTCATGACATTGTTTAACATGTCATTTCTATGTTGTATCCTTCATTCCATAGGCACAATCTCTTCACATATTTAGATTGTCTTTTTTCTTTGACATTTTGTGGTTTTCAACATATAGATTCTATATATTTTTATGTTTACAACTAGTATTTAATTTTACAGCAAGTGTATATTGTTTTAAAATGTCAATTTCTAGTTGTTCATATTGCTGGCAGTTGGTTTCATTTGTTGATCTTGTATCCTATGACCTTGCTAAATTCACTTTTTTTTTTTTGTCGGTAGTGGGGCCTGAACTCTGGGCCTGGGCGCTGTCCCTTAGCTCTTCAGCTGTAGACTAGCGCTCTACCTAGGATGGCCACCAGGTGTGAGGCTCAGTGCCTGCTGCCCGAGCAGGACCCCAGGGGAGGACACACTGGAACCCGTACGGTGTGGTACATCTCACAGACACTTTTATTCATGCCACATAAGAAGTGGTGCTCCTACAAGGATATGTACAGGGGTGTTCCATGTTCCCATCTAACAAAGCTTGCTCAAATATGCAGGCAGACTGGCGTTTCCCGTCATGCAGAGGAGCTAATGATGACCGTAAGAAGGCGCAGGAGTGGAACCTTTTAAAGCCTTACTTCTTTTATCAGCACTCCTGATCTTATACACGATGAAGCCCATCAACCCCATCCCTACCCAGATCTCCTGGTAAACCTGGGTGTAGTAGGGTTTCAGGGTGACCCAGACATTTTTCATAAAGCTTTTTGAAGCATCTCGACAGGTCGGAGGGCTCAGACCCCTGGTTTGGTTATTTTTGAACAAAGGTCTGCTTTTTCCCTAGGACACCTTAGAATTTATACTTTCTTCTGTAGTTGGATGACAGAATTGTGTTGGTTGTACCTAGCTTTTTCTGAGATGGGGTCTTGTGAACTTTGTGCACAGGCTGGTTTCGAACTATGATCTTCCCAATCTCTACTTCCTGAGTAGCTGGGATTACATGCATAAATAGCTAGCATCCAGTGTACAGCAGTTATAGGATTTTTTTTAAAATCAACTTGGAGAATTTTCCTTCTATTCCTAGTTTACTAAAATTTTATCTTAACTGTGTGTTAAATTTTGTCAGATACGGTTTGATTTCTGCTTTGAAAGTAAGTCAGATGGTATTGCAGAAAAAAATAAGGAAACATAGTACTAGTTCAGTGGTATTTTGAATTCTGGTCTCCTCTAACTTACCTGCTGCTCTTTTCTTGTCAGAGGTCTCTTTATGTTCTAATGCTTTATTAACATGATTCTCTGGGACAAACTGGGTGAAGGAAATGAACCTTCATTCAACATATGATTTTCAGTATTCATCTCAATTACTTTTATAAGTAGCTTTGTTTATAGCCAAATTGGGGAGTATTTCCAGTTATTTTCTATTACAAGGAAAGCTATTATAGCATTTGCAGTTTCAGTGTTAGTAAATAATGTCAAATTGTTCCCTTGACAGACTCCAGTTAACACTCAAAGTGTATGGCATCTTTTTTCCTTACCTCCACAATATTTTGTCTTTTAATGTTCTCAGATCTATAAAAAAATTATTGTGGCACATTATTTTAATTTACATTTCCCTGATTACTTGTACCATTGAACTTTCCGTTTGGGCAACTGTATTCTGTGAATTGTCTTTACCCAGTTTCCAGATGTTTTTCTTCCTGATTGCTATTCTTTTTTTTTTTCTGGTCCCAGCTTGAACTCTGGGCCTGGGCAGTGCTGTCCCTGAGCTTCTTTTGCTCAAGGCTATTGTTCTACTGCTTGACCCACAGTGCCACTTCCAGTTTTTTCTGGGTAGTTTATTGGAGATGAGAGTCTCACAGACTTTCCTGCCCAGGGTGACTTCAAACCATGATCCTTAGATCTCAGTCTCCTGGGTAGCTACAATTATAGGTGTGAGCCACAGGCACAGGCTAGGAAGTTCACTTTTTAAATGAACATATTGTCTCTAGGCTCTTAAGGTAGCTAATTGGTGGTAGTGGCATAGGACCTTGCATTATATACTATGTGTCAAGTACATGTCAAAGAACCATAGAGTAGATAATAAACAAATGAAAAATTGGCTACTAGATGCAGGAGTATATTGTGGACATTTCAAAACACATTTTTCAAAATGTCATTTTTCTTTTTACTTCCTTTCCCAGATTTTTCTCTGTTCTTTTTCTTATTTTCATGTTATAAAAAGTGCTACTCATTGTCTGCCTTGTCATTTTGGATAGAATCTTATCTCTATCTTTAAAGCTAAGCGCACTACCATTTCTCTTCTGGGTTGCTACTTTAGCTTTCTAATTGATGTTTCTGATTCGCAACTTTGTAATTTATGCTGACGCAAAATAGCAAGCTTATTTTCTCATTTCTATCACTGTTATTGAAAATGTAGATTGCAAACCATACTGGCTACATCAAAGTTGACTGGCAACGCGTAGAAAAGGACATGAAAAAAGCCAAAGAACAGTTGAAGATTCGTAAAAGCAACCAAATACCAACTGAGGTGAAGAGCAAAGCTGAGGAGGTAAGACTTGTTATATTCATATGTACTGTGTAAAGATTACAGACAATTTTGTGTGTACAAAGTGAGGGTGTGAGGTGCACCAATGTCTCAGCAGTGGACAAAGCTTAAAGATTTCTAAGAACTTGAAGTAATGAGATGAAAGCTATTTTCTATAGGCCAGCATTAGTTGAAATATCTTTATTGAATATCTTCCTTATTAGACAGGTTATTGTTAGGTAACCCAGACTGACCTTGATCTCAAGATCTTTCTGCCTCACTGTCCTAGATGTTGGGATTACAGGCCTCTATCACTATGCCCAGCTTAAACAGGCATTTTATTAAAGTTGGGTAATTCAGGTGTTTGTTGATCTTTGTCAGTGAGAGCAAAAAGTGATACAGATACTAAGGTAGTTAACTAGTTCTTGTAGGAATGGGGCATCATAATGGTTGGAAAGGATATAGTAAGTTATATTTTGTTCCCATGTCTTCTTGACTTTGAACATCCATCCTCTGCTTGTCATACACATAGCTGATTGGTGGAGCATAGACAAGGAGCCTTGGGCAAGTGAGAACTTTTATAGAAGCGAAGGGGAGATGAAAAGCTTTGGAATTAAAGGAAATAAGGACCTCACTTATTATTCATCAGTAACAGAATTGGTTCCTGATTTTAACATTCTTAGCAAACTTAATGTATTGTGCTAAATCTTCTGTTCTCAGGTTGTGTCATTTGTGAAGAAGAACGTTCTAGTAACTGGAGGATTTTTGGGAGGCTTTCTGCTCGGCATGGCATCCTAAGGAATGCATCTTCCCGTGTTCTGGTTTTTCCCAGCCAGCAGTCTCTACACTCCATCTATAGGACATCAAGTCTGTTCTCTTCCTCCTCTTCTTCTGTGCCTTCCTCCCTGCGGTAGCAAATCTATCTGGATGGCTTCTCTAGTCAAGCTGTTGGCTCAAGTTAAACAACACCTACATGAGCTTGGCAGCAATGGAAGAGACAGTAGATGTTAGCTTTCCTCCTAGTGTACTCCTTACTTGGCCAGTCTATAGATCAACAAGAATGTTCCTTTTCCCCTATGTAATATTCATACCAGAACATGTTACAAGATGGTTCACTGTAGAGGATGACTGAATCCCGAAAGGCTGTTCCAAACTGTGCTTTCGGAAAAGAAGCACATAGTGAATGTATGTGCTGTGTGAAAAGGAACTGAATACATTGGCCTTTAAGCATAAAAGATTTTGGTATCTTGGTGTGTACTTTCTTTTTTAGTTTTTACAGAAGGAGAGTTGTTTATACCTGTTGTAATTATCCTGACAAAAATGGCAACATAAGTATAGTAACAACAAATCTATGAAATGAACTTGTGTTTGAGATATATGATGAGCAAAAGGTATTTTACTCAGTAGGGAGGTGATTAGGGAAATCAGCTTCTAGAAGTACCTTGTTGAATTGTCAGATGAGTTGGGGAATTCATGTCCAAGTCATTTAGATGGGAAGAAGCTCTTGGATTTTTGTTTCATAAAAAAATTTTATGTTTTGAAATGTGAAGCATGTCTGTTAAAATGCTAGGGACAGCCATAGTTGTCCTGAGGCAGTTCTGTTGCTTTATTCAGTTAGTGTGAAATACAGCATTTAAATGAGAATTTTAATGAGGTAGCATTCTAGGAATTCATAATTGTAAGAGATAATGGTAGCACATGTGAAATAATATCTATAAAGTACAACCCACTGTGTCATGGTGACCTGGGATTCTTAGTATTATTTTTTAAGATAAAAGCTGGACATTGGGCTGGGAAGGTGACTCAGTGGTAGAGTGCTTGCCTTGAATGTATGAGGCGCTGGGTTCGATTCCTCAGCTCCACACAAGTTAAAAAAAAAAAAGCCAGGGCTGGGAAGGTGGCTCAGTGGTAGAAATATCAGCCTCCTGAGTAGCTTGACTTACAGACATGAGCCACCATGCCCAGCTCAGCCCTACTCTTAAAAGTAATTAGTACTATAGTACTATAACTAATATTAGTACTATAACTAGTACTATAATCGAAAACAATCTGCTCCATCAGTGGGAGGTTGTTTTGTTTTCTTTTGCTGGCTCTGGGGGTTTGAACTGTAGGCTTTGCAATTGCTCAGCTTCCTTGCACATCTCCAGCAAAGCTTTCTACTTCTTATTTTGGAAGTGGCGTCTCATGGACTTCTCTGCCCAGGATGGCTTCAAACCATGATCCTTCAGGTGTCAGCTTCCTTGAGTATCAGCATTTCAGGTGTGGGCTTCCAGTGCTTGACTCATCATGTCTTAAGTGTTTCACATTTAGTTTGAATCAAAATTCAAACAAGGCCTGTATTGCATGTGCATGATGTGAGTCAGTGTTAGTTCCTTTTGTTTGTTTTACCTGCAGTATCTTTATGGCTGACACTAAGGCAGTGTGTTTCAGAGTTCTCCACATCCTTCTGATGCCTGGGGTTCTGGGTTAGGCCATTTGTGGTGACCGTGGCTGCAGCTGTCATTTCTGTTGTAACTAATACCAGTGGAGTGGTGACTGCGGGAGATAGTTAAAGTACTCCTTTGGGTTGCATGTGGGGGAAAGTGGGCCACCAATGCTTTGCCAGTGGGATGGGTGTTGCTCTTGAACATCTCTTTTTTCTGTGATTGTGGGTGAGGCCAGTAAAGATGAGGAGGTTGAGAATCCCTGAGAATTTGGAATACTCCAGCCTCATAACTCCTGGTTGTCTGAAATAAGATCTGTAGGTCCGTCGTGATGTTTTTATTTCGAGGTAGTTGCTTCAGAGACCTTGCATGGCATGGTTGAAGACAACAGTACATGTCTGCTTCATCTGGTACTATGAGAGCAGGAAGAATGGCCTTGAGTTCTGCTCAGAGTGTGGTCCTCAAGTCACTTGTGATTGTGCACAGGTGGTGCAGAGGTTGAGCCATTACTAGTAAGTATACTTCTCATGTTTGCATGTAGCTGAACCACCATCGAAGTGGTCTTAGGTATTGAGAAAACCTGAAAGGAAGTCTCATTGTGCCCACAGCTTTGTTTCAGCTGAAGTAGGAAGGTAGCCACCAAAGAATAGCCGCCCCTGTATACGAAACAGGTGGTGACATGAGGCAAGGCAGCTGCACTGAGTGCACTTCCTCTCATTTGATTTACATCTATTGAGTGAGGCAAATGCGTCCTGCAGTACTCAGAGTCCAGCAACATTGGCTTATTACTAGTAGTTATAAAGCTGAGAAACGAAATTTCTTCACAGAGGGATTGAGTCATGTCAGAATGTATGGTTCAGAGAAACTTGGCTTTCAATGTGTTTGGTATTTGGCGCACTCTGCTGGCAATGATGTGGTATCCCTGCACTTGGAACTCCAAATTGTGGCCCTAGATAGCTATAGCCACTGCCATCCTCTCCTCCCTGACACCCCCCTTTCCCCGCCCACGCACCCGGGTTTGTGCTGTCTCCTCAGCCTCTTTCAGGTTCCTAAGCCACTACAGCTGTGCCATGCATCCTTACTACTCTGGGCAGCCCTTTGACCTTTACCGTGTGGGACAGAGTAAGCAGGGACTTGAGGTCTGCCCCCTCCCCAGGTCAGAGAGCAAGAGGAAGGGTCAAAGGCACTTTGCTACAGCTGCCTGCTGAAGCTCAACAGGCAGACTCCAAGTTTCCAGTCTCAGGGCCCTATGATCTCTGCTAATCCTGAGGCCTGGTGAATCCTCTGCCAGAGCAGCTAGTGCACGTGTCACTGACATTCAAATGATGTCCTAATATCACTTTACCCAAATGGCCCCAGGTTGCCCCACCTCTTAACTGGTTGATCTGCCCACCACTTGGATGAGAGCCCTCGCTGCCAGATCTGTCAGATGCTGTGTCCTGGGTTCTGCTAGACTATAAGGGATGAACTAATGTTATTAATGTGGGAGCTTGTGGTTTCTTAAGACAGAAGCTCCTGTGTAGTTAACTACTAAAAGAATGCCTTTAAGCTAGGCACCAGTGGCTCACACCTGTAATCCTAGCTCCTGAGGAGGCTGGATCTGAGGATTACAATTGGAAGCCAGCCCAGGCAGGAAACTCTGTGAGACTCTTTATCTCTAATAAACGACTCAAAAAAGCCAGTAGTGGTGCTGTAGCTTGAGTAGTAGAGTTCTAGCCTTGAGCACAGAGAGGATCAGGGACAGAGCCCAGGCTCTGAGTTCAAGTCCCAGGACTGGCCAAAAAAGAGAAAGGAGTGAGTTCTCCACCATCTTTTTGTTCAATGTTTTCCAGAAAAATGGGCACAGCTAGTAGTTAATCTCTTATTTGAAACCTCTATTTTTGTGCAGTTGATGAAAACACCATAAATCTCTGCTTGGAAAAAAAAATTATGGTATAGGGATAGATTTTAAGTTTCTAAGTGTCCTCAGATATCTGAGGGAAACTTTCTTCCAGCCCCTCACCCCATAGGAAAGAGCGCTGTCTTCTCTACTCCTTCCACCAAATACTGTTTCATTTCTTAGTCGTGACATGCAGCAAGATTTCTGGGAAACCAGAGTCAGATTTTAAAAAATTCTATGCTCAGTTAATCATTTATACAATGTTAGTATTAACCCTTGGAGAACAGGGTAGAAAACCTGTTTTAGGCCTGAACCTGATTTCCCAGAAATCACTTAGTGTGGCTTATATGCATTTATTTTTAAAGGTCATGGATTTTCTTAAAATTGTTTTTTTGCGATATTGGTTTGCTTGCTTCCCTTTCATTCCCCTTTGCCTTCCCTCCCCTCCTTCTTTCTTTTCTTTTCCTTGCCTCCTTTTTTTGTTTGTTTGTTTCTGAGATAGGGTTTTCCAGGATGGACTCAAACTCAGTCATTCCTTTTCCTCTTGCCCTCACCTTTTTCTTCCTTTTCTTCTTCGTTTTTTCTTTCTTTCTCTGTCTCTGCCTCTATTTCTCTCACTTTAGCCAGTGTTTCTCTTTGTAGCTTGTGAGTTTGAGTCTATCCAGCTCCATGGCATCGTCACAGAAAATAAGGATGATTAGGTTAGAATTGTATATAAATTTTATTTAGCAAGGAAGGAAAACAATGCGTCTCTAATATACTGGAGATGTGGACATATGAAAAGTGGATGCCAAGGGTAGGGCATATTCGTAAGGCTTAAGTGAGTCAAAGCAAGTTTCCAACTTTTAACTTTCTTCCAAATAAGCACATGGTACTACCTAAATCATCTGTTATAAAATTTTGATGCTATCATCTAAGCATGAAGATAGTGAATTTGATGTGAACTTCTTAATTAAATGGTCTCTGACACATGGGTAAGACTTATTGGTACTCGTTGACTAAATGGCAAGCACTAAGTGTTAGATATATAATTCATCTAGAGCAGGGCTAGAAAAACTGTGTTGTATATTCTTACTTTGGAAAAGGAAATGTGTGCTTTGTAATTTTGCAGTCTTAACAACTCTCCTCTAATTATAGCTTATGCTTTGGAAAATAAAAATTTGAGATTTCCAAACACCAAGTCTCCTCAGTTGACAAGTTGACATAGGGGGTATTGTTGGTGCATTTGCCCAGTTAGAAGATGTGTTTTCCCTTGACAGCCATGTCTTAGAGCTGTGCTCACTGCCAACTCCACTGAATCATCTCCCCTTCCATTCCCCTTGAACAAATGCACTGGCAGTCTTGGAGGAGAGCCTGAAAGCAATGCCATGTCTGATGCAGATGCGACTGACACAGATGCTGTTAAGACCTTGAAACTCCTCAGATTAACAGTGCTGCCCACCCCACCTCCAGCTCACATTGCTTTCATCTGCCCCCCCCCCCCCCACTCCCCTCTGACTTCAGTCTTCACTCTTTCTTCTTGATATTTAAAGAGACTGTACTTGTAAGCGGACGCACCATTTCCCCTTCAGCCAAGCTGAAGGAGATTTGGTTGCCCTTCCCAGGCTTCACTCCCAAATAAAGCCTGTTGGTCTGTTGAAAAATTAAAGAAGAATATGTTTGTTTAGAGCAGAAAAGCCTGTTATTAGGGGATATTCTTGAACGAGAGAATAACTTATTCAAGGGTGAGCTTTCCCAGATGTTTTTCTTGTTGTTTACTCAGAATGTGCTCTAGGCAAGTGATGGTGTAAAGTTAAAGCATGGCTAGTTGCTGTTGCCTAACTGCTGGTTGTGGTGGTGATGTGGGGGCTGGGAAGTTGACAGACTTCAAGTTACCAAGTAAAACAATGATTATTCTTAGATCTGGCTCTTAGTCATGGAATTTTTCCACGACCT